TATTCTTCGCTTTTACTATAAAAGCTGCTTTTTCTAACTATTCGTCTTCTAATTATAAGAACGCTTTGTCTAACAAACCAAGGGTATTATCGGTTTGCATACCAATATAGCTAAAGTATAGATTTTTAATAGATAAGATTAATAAGCATAGATCGTACGAAGAAGTAACTATCTAGAGATTCTCTCTATAATGCTTATAATACGTTGCCTACTAGTAGGTTCTAGCTTCTGCGATTCCGTATAAAGGCTTTATAACCTTTATAATAGTCCCTTTTAAGTACTAGTCTTAAATTTGCTTCGGTAGGTAGGCGAGAATAGTACGATTAAGCCTTGTAAAGGATTAAACGTAGGCTTATATAATATCTCGAAGCTATAGTTATTTCCCTTCTCGTAGGAGTAATAAGGTAATTAATAGAATTAGCCGTTAACTTGCCTGCTAAATCGTTAGCGATTAGGTTAATATAGCCTTCTTACTATCGTCGGCATAACCTTATATTATAAGTCTCGATTTCTCGTAAGGTTTAGTTATTTTACTTTTGACTTCGTTAACGATACGAGATCGGAAGATTCGTACGTTCTAATACCTTCTCTTATTAAACTAAGTAAATTTAAATACTCTTCTAGCAATAAGGCTATTAATCTCTTATTTAGTTAACTATTCGAACGGTTTGCTTAGTATAGTAATAATACCTTCTCGTCGTAGTTTGATTACTAATTCTTCGTCTACTTACTTTTTAATCGATAGGAATATTTATTAATAATCTAGGTTATTATTAAATTCCTTTATAAAGTAGGCGATTAGTAGTAGTCTCTTCCGGGGTCTGCCTAGGCGTCTTCTCGGTAGCTCCGGTGCCTCTTGCGGTTCGTCTAGTTTACTACCTCCGCCGGCGACGATAATTTCGTCGCATACTACTTCCTACTACGGTATCTTAGCTTTAGGTTCTTCTTCTTCTAACGTAGTAATAGAATTAGGTAGTTAATCGGGATCTTCGTAGTATAGTTTAACTACGGTAGACCGGAAGGTCTTCAGACTATATAGCATATCGATAGTATAGGTTTCGCCGTTTATAGCTACTAAAGTAAATAGTCTAGTCTAGCCCTTCTTTTCGCGCTATACTTATACTTACGACCGTAATAGTAAATTAATAATTAGCTTTATATTAAGGCTATTGTAAGTAGCGATAGCTTCTACTACCTATCGCTTGCGTAAAGTTCGTATACTTCGCTTATCGCCTTCTTAATCGCTTTCGCCTGCCTTATGACTTCGGGAGATAGTAGCAAATCGTCGGTAATTCGTAGGTACGAGCCGAATACTAAGAGTATTAGCACTATTCCGTTTAGGCTAGTAGTATCGTTAACTACTTTAACTACTATTTAAAATACTAATTCTAGCGTAATTATTAGGTCTTCTACTTTGATAATTTCGTACGCCTTCCTTAAAAGTATATAGTATCGTTTAACTTTCTTAATACTATTATAAGCTTTTATAGGAATTTCCTTGATTTTAATTGCTATTCCTCTCGCCGCGTTTCGGAATTCTATTAAGCGGAAGTTTATTCTAGCGTCGGTAACTAGCTAGTCTAGGGGTCCCTAATATATATCTATCTAGCAGAGGCGTAAGGCTTCCTAAATAGCTTTCGTAGAAATGTCCTTAAGGAACTAGGCGGCGTTAAACGCCGTAGCAGTATCGACGACGTAGAAGACCGGTCTATTACCCTTAAGGTATATTACGTCGGTAATAACCTCGTAGTTAAATTCGTAATCGTCTCGTAACGTAAATTTAAACCATAATAACGCTAGTACGTATATTTAGTATCGATAGTAGACTTTCGATAGTTACTTAATTGCCGTAATTTTAACTAGGTAGCCAGCCTTCTAAAGCACCTTATATAATCGTTAAATAGATAGGTATCCGAAGCGATAGTAAACCCGTCGTAATTTAGCGTCTATAAGGTAGTTCTAGGCAAGTAGTTTCTCCTTATTAAGTAATAACTATAGGTAGCCTTATTTGCGAATAATAGGTACGACCTTATTTCCTTAGATAAGGGTATTCGTAACGTTATTAAAGTAGACTTTTAATCGGTCTATATCTCCTAGGTATATAAGGAAGGGAGTATTAGTCTTAATAACGTAAAATTTAACGCTTCTAAACGGCGTTAATACTTTAGTAGTCCTTATAGACTTTAGTAGTATCCTATCGCCGAATTTTACTATAACGCTACTAGCCGCCTTAGTATTTAACGTAATTCCTTCGTAAATTTATTATAAGGCTACGAATTATAGGTAGCTAGCGGTTAAGAATCCTGCTATGCCCGAGTCGGGCATGATCCCTTGGAAGTTCTAGGCAGAGTAGCGTCCCTTGAGTATAAATTGCGAAGGTAGCTCTTTCGGTTCTAGTTAGTTACGGAAGAGGTCTTCTTTCGTAATAGCATAGCGGGTTGACTAGTCTGCTAGGATCGTAGCGATCTTGTTGCTATTAATTACTATTGTAGTAAAATAGGTAGTAACCTGGAATTGACTATCGCTATTAGTTTCTTCCTCTTTGTTACTTTTACTAGTTTGTTTAGTTACGTAGTAGTATTATTAATGGTTTTCGGCGGTAGGTTATAGGTCTAACCCGTCGAAACCCTCGTATTAGATAAGAAATTAGCTATATACTAGAAGTAACGTATCCTAGGCATATTAGGTAGTTTTAAACTTCTCGTACGCTTTTCGTCTCTCTTCTGTGGTGTGTTTGGTTGACTAGCAGTTAGGTTTTCTATATACGTAGCACTTCTTAGGCGTTAGCGGTAATAGGGGTTTGTTACGGCTTCTTCCTCGTAATAATCGACTTCGTAATAAACGACTATATCGTAAATAACGCCCTCGACCGTTAAAAGTTCTATCAGTCTAGTACTACTCTAGTAGGTTAGCTACTATGTTAAATTATTATTAGTTAAGACGGGTAGCTGTCTCGATCGACGAGATTAATTAGCTACGAAGTCCCTCGTACGTCTTAGCCGGTATAAATAACGCTATTATATACTCTAGAATATCTCTATAAGCGTATAGAAGTTAGGTATAGAGGGATCGGTCGTTATGATCTTGTTATAGCAAACCAGGCTAAATCTTGCTTAATTTATTATATAGTATGTTAAAATACTCCGATTTAGTCTTTCTAGGGTTATTGCGAATGATTTAGGGAAGAGTAGTTATATTCTACTACGTAACGTACGCTTATTGCCTTTCCCTAGTCTCGAAGTATGATTTTAATTAGTTAATTATAGTCTCGAAGTTAGGCTATAGGTTAATTACTTTAATCGAGGCGTAGAAGTAGGTTTTAGCTATTCCTTTTAGTATTAGGGGAAGTGCCTTGTTATATTAGGAGGTATAAATTCCTAGCATTCTATAGTAATCTACGAATACTAGCATCTTCTTTTCAAGTATATCGTATATATCGCCGCTATATTTTATATCGTCGGGGTATAGTTTCGCGAATTCTGTTAATTGCTTTCCGATACGGTCTGTTAACTTATATAGTTAGAAGTCTGTTAACGGAGAGACCGTGGGATATAGCGGTCGGTATAGTAGTTGCTACTATTATTATTCTTATAGAGGAGGTAGCTATAGGGTTGGTTCGACTCTTCCTCCTATGCTGTTAGCTACTATTGCTGGTCTCGTAATCTCTTTATAGAATTCAGGGTCTTTTATTAAAGCCTTTAGGTTGCGATATCTCTTAACGCCTTGTTCGAGTTCTTAGGGTGACTAGTAGTAGAATTCTTCCTTTTTAAGGGCTAATGCTACGTTTTTCGAGATTTTCTTACTATCTATTTCGACGTAGACGCTATTACCGATTAAATAGTCTTTAAAGAATCATAAGATTAGGGGAGGTACGTTCTAAAAGTCTTCTTCTAACTAGTTAGTAAAATCGGGAGAAACTTCGTTCTATAGCTCGAGGCTTATAAGATTCCTCTTCTTATAAGTCTTAAGTAGGAAACCTATATAGGAACCTAGTTGCTATAGGCTAGCGTTTATAAGGTCGATTACCTAGTTGCTTTATACTACTAGATCGATTATACTTTCGATTCTCTATAGGATAGGGACTGTTAATTAGCTTTTAGTAGTAACGCTGCTTGCAGGCGATCCTTCTCGTGAATTTCGCTCTATTCTAATAGTATAAAAGGATTACTTCTATTTAGAATCTTAAATTCTAATTCTTAATAGCGTTAGCTACGATTAGTATAAGATATAGGCTTAGAAGTAGGAGTTAAAAGACGATTCGGGATATTACGATTCTAAGGGGAAAGAATCGTAAAATTAGTAATTTTCGTCGGTTTATCGTTTATTTCCGTTAGCGCCGTTCTTACTAATATTCTCGAAGGGTGTAAAGGTATATATAGGTCTCGAATTAGTAAGGAGAGAGTTCTACCGTAGATTCTCTTATAAATCTCTCTTTCTCGCTTTAGGCTTCGCTCCTTACTATTAGGAAGTTTAGAATCTAGTAGATAGTTAGCCTTATAACGCCTATAACTACGTATATTTCTCCTAAGCCGTAGCCTCGGAGGCGTATACGTATAGCTATATAGGCGGATTACCGCCGGTAGTCTCTGCTTGCCTTTCGGCGTATTTGTCACAGTTCTTCCTGCTAGCACGTGGCTACAACAGGCAGAGGTCGGAACCGTGATAAGAATAGAGATGTAAATAGAATAGTGCAGAAGTCAAACAAACGGTCACAAGGCAATAAACAACGATGAATTGATAAACGTAGGTATAAGCAGTTGGTCTTCTATTGAGTTGGTCTACTGACGATGATGCTGTCGAGGGCGTCTCTTATACGGGTACGGCCAGCACGTGAGATATCACGTGCCCCTGATGACTGTTCATAGAACTGTGACAGGTGCCCCTCCCAAAAAAAGACGATCGTCCCGATCGACAGTAAAATGAAAACTAATTACATGAATTTGTCCCTTCCATTACCCATCTATCGCGAAGAATCACGACCCTGACGATGAAATCCTATCCTAATCGCGGTCCAGCATGTTACTAAAGCGGCTCTGCTTAGCCGGGCCTGCGATGTTCTCGGTGGCGACGCGCTTGTCGCCCTTCTGCAACTTGGCAACAGCTTCGCGCAGTTCCACGATCTTACCGCGGAGGGCTGCAATTTCGTCATCCTTGGTAGCGATGACGCGGTTGACCTCTGCGGCGATCATTTCCTTGCTGGCAGCAGTCGCTTCGAGTGCTTTGAGGCGATCGTTGACGCTCGCGACGTCGACGGTGGACTGGGCTTTCTCGTCGAGTTCGTTGAGGCGAGGGATGATCTCCTCGTTGACGCCGTCAACGATTTTCTTCACATTCTTGGTGACCGTCTCGTTCATTCCGTGAACGTCACCTTCGAAAGCCTGAAGCGCCTTTTCCATATTCTTGAGTTGCTTGCGAGCGGTTGTATCGGTGGCGGTCATGTAGCTGATATTCACGAGCGGGGGAACAGAGGAGGTCGGCTCGGTGAACAGCAATGAGGTGGCCCGCGATGGTACCGTTGACCTGACCGTCGCCAGTATAAAAGACGGTTGCGAGAACCTGGGCGCGGGACGGCAAGTGTTCCGTGTACGAGGCGTTGTTGTTGTACGCGGTGTAGGCGCGTTTGCAAGCGTCCTGAACGCGACGAATGAACAGGTTGGAGGAGGGGGTGGCTGGGCCGGTGAAGTTGTCGAGACAAGCCTCGATCTCCTCGAGCAACATATCGTCCGGGTAGAAGGCGAACGCGTCCTGGGCGCGCTTTTTAGCGTCTCGGACCTGGGTGCTATCGACCTTGGTAGCGGCACGCTTCTTCTTCTTGGGGGTGCCGGACTTCTTGCCAGCCTTGGCCTTCTTAGCCTTGGGGGCGGGAGTGGCCTCGACGGCTGAGGCGTCGGACTCCTCCTCCTCGCTGGACTCGTCAACTGGCTCGGGGTTGCTCTTCTTGGCCTTCTTCTTGGCCTTGCCCTTGCTGGTCTTCTTGGGCTGGTCTTCCTCGACCGTCTCGGTAGGTTCGGCGTGGGCTTCGTGGGCCTTGTTAGCCTCGTCGGCGTCGAACATGGTGGTGTCCTGCTGGTCACCAGTGTGTTCAGTGGCGGCCACGGTGATTTCCTCGGCGGCGCTCTCGCTGACGACGTGAAGTTCCTCGTCGGCCAGGCCGAAGTTGTCTCCGAGGTTCTCGTCGTCGGTCTGGGTCTCGTTGTTGCCTACGTCGCTTCCGGGGGCTGCGACGGAGCCGGTGGGGGTTTCGGCGATCTCGTCGGTGTCTTGGCGAGTGCGTTGGGAAGACATCTTCGCGTTCTTGATGTCGAATCTCGCAATTGGGACGTGTAGTAGTGGTAAGTTGAAAGTCTTGATGAGAATAGAAGGGGTTTGTGATGTGTTATGAAGTGGGAGATTTGTTGATTTTCTGTTGTGTGGGTGGAAGTGGGATTTATATAGTAGGAAAAGTTCACTTTCGTGGTGGTGGTGTTGAAAGTGAAAAGGCAGAGTTTTTCGCTGCCTATGAGGCAAGTGCCTAAGAAGGGAAGGAACGAGTGTTTTGTGCGAAATTCCATTACGTTAACAAAGGGAATAATCTCGCTGATATCGCTTTATTAGGAATCAGCTGTTTTGTCGCAGAATAGCGACATTGTTCTAGTTGTTTCGTTATTGGCGTCGCTTGGAGCGGTAGGTTGGTGTAACCTCCGCGTCGACGGGATATCTCGCCTCATACTCGTTGACGAGCTCTGCTGCGTTGGTCTCAAGCGATTCGCGAAGCTCCCAGGTGTCGAACCTTGCGGTAAATCCCTTCCAGCGAACGAGATATTCGATCCTTGGCTCGCGTTTTCTCCGGTTGATTCTGCGGCTTACAATGTGGTCGATTTCCCATTCTTCGCTGCCGTCAACCTCGATAGGTTGGGGCGGCTGTTGTTCACGGTTGAATGGGTCGTCTCCCTGGGCTGGCTTGTATAGCTGCGCTACCGATAGGATTGGAAAAATTCGCCAATGGGCCGGGAGGTCGACTTCGTAAGCTGTTGGGCTCACAATTCGAACGATTCGAAAGGGGCCCATACGTCGTGACGTCCACTTGTTATGGCGTTGGCCAGGTAAGTGGAAGCCCTTCCCTAGTCTTATCCAAACCTCGTCGCCAACGGAGAATCTGACGTCTGAGTGCTTTTTGTCGTAGCGTTCCTTTCTCAGCGAGTTCGCTATATCGATCAAAGCCGCTGCCTCGTCCTGGTATATCTTTCTTATGACGTCGATAGACTCGGTTGGAGCGTCTTTTTCCGCGATGACGTCGAGAGTGCTTCGAGGCTTGAATCCGTATACGACCTCATTGGGAGATCTCCCGATCGTTGCGGTGTACGAGTTGTTGAGGTTGTGTTGCAGCGCTGGGAGAACCTCTGGCCATGGGGTTTCCGGGTACTCTGAAAGTTAGAATCGGATTGCAATTTCCGCTGTTTGGTTTGTTCTCTCGCTCTGGCCGTCAGTCTGTGGGTGGTAGGCTGTCGACAAGAGCAGTTTCACTCCGAGAGTGCGGAATATCGCGGTCCAGACGGCTGAGATGAACTTGGGGTCTCTGTCGCTGATGATACGACGTGGAAGTCCCCAGTCAGCCAGTTGGAAGGCCCTAATAAGGACTATTGCCCACTCCTTGGCTCCGTACGTGGTGTGGCCTGGTAGAAGTATAACTTTCTTCGAGAATTTGTCCGTTGTGGGCGCAAGCGTATCAAACCACTCGAATCCAGGTAGTGCCCACGGACTCCCTCGTGCTTCTACTTTCGGTAAATCGGTAACGAAGTCGATTGTTACGGTATCGAAGGGGATTCCCACGACTGGAATCGGCTGCAGGGTGCCTGGTGGTCTTTGCCGGTCGACTTGGTTTTCCTTACATCTCGGGCAGTAGGCGATATATCGCTTTACTACCGATCGCTTGTTTCGTATCTGGAAGCTGGCTAGCTCTGCTAGCATGCGGTCTACGCCGAAATGGTGCTTTTGATCGTGGGCAAGGCTGAGAACTTCCACGACGGCTTTGCGTGGGATACACAGCCTTTTTGTCCCATCATACGCACGGTGGAATAGGAAGCCTGTCTCTGATAGTTGCCACGGGGAGATTCGACGACGAATCGGCGTGCGCCTCTCGTTCCGAGCGCGATTTTCCTCGTCGTCTGCCTCCTTAGGTGACCACCACTCATCGCCACTCTCTTGTTGTCTCTTGAGTTGCTGGATCAGTTTTCCGTACTTTGGGTCGGCTTCGTAATTTTCAACGATGGTTTTGGCGAAGTCTTCGCCTATCCCAATCGTGAACCCTCCTGGTTCTCCCAACCGTTCGTCGTCCTCTGAGTTGAAAGCTGCGATATTCTCATCGTCGTGAATATCTGCGAGTACGTCGCTTTCTTCGAACGGGTCTGCTCTACCTGTTGCCACCAGCAACGGTAGACGCGAGAGAGCGTCGGGTACAACGTTGAGTTTCCCTGGGACGTGGGTGACGTTGAGGTTGAATTGAGAGAGGTAGTTGGCGGCACTCGCCAACCGAAGGTTTGCTTTGTTGAGATCCATCGTTCTCAACGACGTGTGGGTGAGAATTCCCTTTGTGGCTGCGTGGTCCGTAAGGATCTGTACTGGGTTCCTGTTTGATTGCACCAGTTTCCTAAGTTTCCTTACTGCCCACACCACTGCTGCTACCTCCGCCTCGGTCGCGAAGTATCGCTTCTCTGTTGGGGATGTTACTTTTGAGAGAAACAGCACTGGTTGGATATGCTTTTGTGGGATGTCTTTTCCGGGAATTCCTACGCCGTCCCAGGTAATATCCATCTGGAACACCATAAGCCCGAATCCTCCCTTGCAAGCGTCGATCTTAAAGAATAAGGGTTTTTCTGGGTTATGGTGGTATCTCACGACCTGGTCGCAGAGATTCTTTTGTAACGTTTCCCATGCTTCCGTTTCTTCTAGCGTTGGCTCGAAAGTCGTACGTTGGAACCGTTTAGTTCTTACAGCCCTATTGAGGCCTGTTGGCAACTGGTCCTCCTTGCGTAGGATCGCGGCTAGCTCGGTTTTCCTTTCGTTAAGGGGGGCTGCGATCACGTCGTACCATGGAATGTCTTTTCGAAGCCATCCTGCCATTCCGAGGTATTTCTCGAGATCGCTAAGGTTTTTTGGGAACCTGAGATTCTTAAATGCAGCGATTCGATCGTCCGTTCTGCGTATCCCTTGTCCGTCCACGATATGGCCGAGAAGTTTCACGGAAGGGAAACCAGCGAATGACTTTTTCGCTGCTATGTTGAGCCTGTTGTTGTTGATTATGTTGAGGACTGTTTCAACATGCTTAAGGTGGTTTTCGTCGGTATCGCTGAAGATCACGATATCGTCGATGTACGCGCGAACGAAGTGTTTATGGTCCTGGAAGATGCGATCCATGAATCGTTGGGCGTAAGCCGGCGAGTTCTTGAATCCCATGAGCACTACGTTCGAGATCTCGATACCACGGGGACTTATCACTGCCATCCTGTTACGGTGCTTCGAGTGGATAGGCAACTGGTGAAAGAACCCGGTGGCGTCGAAGAGGGTAATTCTTTTCTTGCCACGAATCGCGTTCATGATGTCGTCTTGGTCTGGCAAGGGGTAAACGTCTGGGACCGCTAGACGGTTGAGTGGGCGTAAGTCCGCGACCACTCTGGGTTTTCTCGCGGTCTCCGTTTGTCGCCATACGATGAAAAGAGGACAGGCAATCGGGATTGGCTTGCCGTCAGCCCAATCCATCTTTCCCTCGGTGTGAAGTTGGCCGTAGGTTTCGTCTAAAACCGCGAGGTCTTCGAGACCGAGTGGATAAACCTTTATGTTGGTTTTTTGGTTCTGCCATCCGTCGACGAGGTCGATTCGCATACGTTCCTCGTCGGGGAGTGGTATGATACCCTTGTTGTGATAGATATCGTACCTGTCGAGGATTTTCCGCAGTTGTTGCGCGAATTCCTTGTCGAAGTCACATATCTCGACGCCGTGCTTGCTGAGAATCACTGGCACGTCGTCTGGTTTAGAGATTCCGTAGTCTGGTATCTCGTCTATCCATGGTTTGGTGCTTCCTTCTGGGGTGCTTTCCTCGTTAGTTATGTTGAATATTGCGTTGTCCTGCTTATTTTCAGCTTCGAGGTCGCTGAGCAGGATACTCGTGTCCCCTGGTGGTTGTTTCGTGAGGTGACCGATACGGTGGCCTTTGGGGATTCGCATTTCTGAATTTCCTTTATTATGGATGAGAAATAGCGCTGGGGTCGCGAGATCTACCGTACTGTAGATCGCTGCCTCATGTGTTGGGTGGAAGTGCCAGGTCTCGCTCCCGTCGTTACTATCCCTTGGCAGAGGGCTGTATCGTCCCGGGACGAAGACTTGACTCTTCCGTGGAATTGTTACTGCGTAGGCGTTGTCCACGCGCCTGGCGGGTGGCGTCTGCCGTCGATACTCAACGGGCGCCTCCATATTAAATACGGATCGAAACTTAACAACAGACTTGTTGAAGTCTACGACGAGACCGTGTTCCTCACAGAAGGGGGTGCCGAGCAATAGGTTTGCTCCGAGCATGTTGACAACCCCTGCTGTGACAATAACGTGTGCGTTCACGTCTGTCTCGCCTATTTTACCAGGGACGTAGAAGTCAAATGTTACTTCTTCTGTGACCTGGAAGGTGGAATCTACGGCGTTCATTTTCCTTGGTTCGATCGCTCGAAAAGACGATTTGCGGGCGAATCGTGTGACCCAGGACTTTTCAACTAGTATGGTTGAGGCTCCTGTGTCGATACACACCTCGTCTGGTTCGCTATTGTCGTCGGCTTTGACGTGGAGTCGAAGGTGTGTTCTTTTCGAGGGCATGCCACGCTTATTCGGTTTCGTCTGAGCGTCGATGATTTGGCCTGGTGCTAACTTCGGCAACTCTCTGATTTCGTGGTTTTTCACGGCTACTCCAGCGAAGTCGCTAGGCGGCTCCGTCTGGGGCTCTGTTTGATACGCCGTCGTGACTACCGTTACTTCCTCTTGTATTTGAGGAGATGGGGGAGGGATCTCTGCCTTGGGAGTGGTCGCCTCGTGGGCGCGGAAGGCAACGTCACTAGTCCATCCTGTATGGGCTACCTCTTCCTCTTGTGGTTGTGCCGCTGGAACTTCTACGACGTCTTCGAGGATATACCCGTGATCGACGAGGTGATTGATCATGTCCTCGTCCGATTCGTCTTCCCACACGAACTTAGCGTCGTTAGGCGGTTGACCCGGACGGTTATACCGGGCGAATCGCCTTGAGTTCGGGAACTTCTGCTGTGCGTTCCAGGGTTTGCGGTCTTTCCAGTTTTGTTGTTTCCAGTTAGGTTGCGTTTTCTTTTGTTGCCATTGGGGCTGGTCACGTTGTAGCTGGGGAAAATCGCGTTTCTCTTGGTTCCTGTTGTTCCAGGCTGGGCGTGGTTCTCCCCATAGAGCGTTATCCTCACTGTCTGGGGCGGTTGTGTGAAGAACCTCGATTGGGGTCTGCAGGTATCTTCGAATAACTCCGCGTTTTTCCTCGGCGAGTCTGAGATAGCTCTCAACCGTATCATTAAGCGTTGGTTCGTGGAGAAATCGTTGCAGAGATGGGTCCAGAGCGTTGTAGAATATCGTGAGTAGTTGCTGCTGGGGCGTTGACGATCCCAACCATGCTCTGCTATATTTGAAGCAGTCTTGGGCGAATAATCGGATATCCTTGTTGCTACCGATCTTTTCTACGGTGAACTTGTTGGATACTACCCATTGGATTGCTTCTATCTGGGTTGGCCCGAAGCGGGCTCTCAGTCCCTTCTGCAGGCCGAACCATCCCTGGGCCTTGTACTGGTTCCTTTCCACGGGCCCGAGGTGATATTCCCACCAGCTGAGTGCTTTGCCTCTAAGTAGGCTCTGCCATTCTCTGAAGACCTCGTCTCGAGCGTGAGGATCAACGATCTTGGCTTCGATCGCCGAGAGCCATAGGTCTACGTCTCGGTAGCATGGTGTCTCTCGGTCGTGGAATATGGGCTCCCTGCCGTACTTGCTGTCGGCGTCGGGCCAGAATACTCCGTATCGTTGCTGAATGTTCGTTATGGCTGCGAATCTCCTCCCTGGGTTCGGTAGTTCCGATCCCGGCGTTGCCGTGCCCAACAGCCTTCCGAACGCGTTTATTAGCATTGCCTCGAACTGCTGCTGCATTTGAGGGGGCGGTGGAGTCTGGAAGGATGGAAATCCCGTTGCCATTGGGTATGGCATCTGCCCCTGAGGGGGAAGGTATCCTCCTGTGCCGGGGGGCATATATTGCTGTTGAGGATTCCATCCCTGGCTCGGTATAAATTGCGTTCCCTCCGATGGGGTCCCCATGACTCGTGCCTCCGTTTTTGGAGGAATAACCTCGGCTTGCAGCGGTTTCGTATATTGTTGTTGATTTGACGGTCCCGCTTGCTGAAAAGTTTGTTGAGGTTGGCTTGCGGTTGTATCCGATACCGCTGACTGTGGCTTTTGGGGGTCCTCGTGATTCCCCTCGTATTGGCCGTGCTTGAGTGGTGCCCCAGGAGGTTGTTGCTCTTGCTGTTGAAGCTGTGTTGGCGGCGTTATTGGCGCTGGTTCGGTGGTTTCGTTGTCTCTCACGGGTTGCTTGCTTTTCGTGATGTCTGACTCTTCCGAGCTTGGTTCTCCGAATTGTCCTTGAAGGTCCTGGAGTTCTCGGGCGTAGATAATCGCCCTGGCGATGCTATTTACCGCCTCGTTATAGTCGTAATTCTCTATCCTCCAGCTGTCTTCGAGTTGCGTTGCCTGAGTCCAGGTTCTATCGTCGTATCTGACGTCGATTCGGCCGATATTCGTATTCCACGCGATGAACGCTATAACACTCGTATATGCTCGGAAGGAGTCTGAAATTCTTGTTGTTTTGGGATCATCGGGATATGTCTCCCAATATCGTAGGAGACGTCTCGCTGTCTCGCGATGACCGTTGTTTAACCTCGGGTTATTTGCGTAACTCATCGTGTAAGTCTACGTTGGCTACGTCGAGGTATGGGTTGTGATTTTGAGCGAGTAGGCTCGTAGGGTGTTTCCCTCGAGATTCTCCGCGATGTATCGCGGTTGAATCGAGAGAAAAAATTAATCGAGATTAAGTTGTGCTACCACTTGTCACAGTTCTTCCTGCTAGCACGTGGCTACAACAGGCAGAGGTCGGAACCGTGATAAGAATAGAGATGTAAATAGAATAGTGCAGAAGTCAAACAAACGGTCACAAGGCAATAAACAACGATGAATTGATAAACGTAGGTATAAGCAGTTGGTCTTCTATTGAGTTGGTCTACTGACGATGATGCTGTCGAGGGCGTCTCTTATACGGGTACGGCCAGCACGTGAGATATCACGTGCCCCTGATGACTGTTCATAGAACTGTGACAGTATTCTTCTTCTTCTAGTAGGGAGGTCTCTTATAGTAGGCGCCTCGCGGTTGGTACCTCGTCTAGGGATTTATTAAGAAACTAGCAGGCGCCTCGTAATTAGCACCGCGCGTAGGGGATAGTTATAGTTAAGGAAGTTGTTATCCCTTATAGGATTCGTAAATCTTCGCCTTTATAGCGTAAAGAGGTTAGAAGACTGTCGATTCGGTAGGTTTCTTCTTCTAGTAATTAAAAACGCGTAATAGAACGCTCTTGCTAGCGATAATTAGCTACGATTAACCTTATCCCGCCTAAGGTAAGCATAGCAGTCCCTAGGTTACTTAAATAATCGGATTGCTAGTAGATTCGAGGAAAAGAAGCTTTCTTCTACTAGTTTCCATAGATCCTAGTTATTCTCGCTTCTTCTCTCGTTAGTACGAAATCCCTACTTTTACCTAGGCTTAGTGTTACGGCCCAACCAGTTGGTGCCTGGCCGGCGTAGCTATATAGTGCAGAACAGGGGATAATGATGCCGGAGTCATCATTACCGAAGCTTTTGCTTTGTGCCACAGTTGGTTGCCCTGACCTGCTCGTAACACTTAGGTATCTAGTTTAAGAAGTCGTCTCTTCTAGTATTGACCTTGCTAATCTACGGTTTATCCGTAGCAAAGTAGTAATTATAAAGTTAACTAAATTAATAGCAACTATAAGGTTTACTACTGATTAGTATAGGTTTTACAGGGGGTGAAACGGAATTCCGTTCGTTAATAACAAATAATAGTAAATTGGTTCTAATCGATGGTTTATGATAGTTGAAAGTGGTGTTGTTGACTAGAAGGTGGGGATATTCCCCCTTGGCCTGTCACGTGGGTCTGGGAGGCTTGGGCCTCTCAGCCTGGCGGGCGTGTGGCTGGAAGTGCCACACGACTCCGTATTCCAACTATCGTAACAATATTATTAGCTATTTAGTCTTATATAAAGTATATCGTATAGTTTTTCCCGAGGAAGTTATAAACCGACTAAAAGAGATCCGATACCAGCGGAAAGGTTAGACTATGCTAGGTCTAAACTTTATATAGTTACTCGATATATATAATAAACTACTTCCGTTTAGGTTTAAGATATATACTAGCATTGATATATACTCTCGTTATATTATATAGTTTTACGTTAGGTTTTCTATATATATAGCTTGTTCTATATTAGCTTAATATCTATCTATACTTCTATTACGGGGTATTATACTATAAACTATTCGTTTAGACCGTAGTATAGAAACTATCTTAACTGCTAGTAGTTATTAGTATTTATTATAAGACCGTATAAAAAAAGCCTTTTTATAGCTAGGCTAAGACGTTCTTATTTAGTTTTGTAACTATTAGATCTTTAGTAAAAGTATTATAATGTTAAGATTAAAAGCTGGTAGAACTAACTTTGTTAAGCATAGTCTATAACTTAGAAGTACGTATTATTTACCTTTATATCTATTTATTTACTAATAGTATTAAGCATATTTCTATCGATTATAAGCGTTAGGTTTATTTTATAACTAATCGCTTTCTAACTATATTGCCTTATTATTTATCTTTATACTACTTATCCGTAAAGACTTTACTTTTTTTATTTAACTTTAGAATAACTATCGTATTTGCTTATAAAAAAGTCGCCTATATATTATTTCTAGTTAACTATAGAAACTTTATTATTATCTAGATTATTAAACCGTATAAGACTTTACTTAGCTAATCGATTACGTAAAGATTTAAAAACTTTAAAACTTACTTAGAAGTAAAGAACTTAATTTAGATTAATTCCTTCCGTACGAAGTCTTTTAAGTTTATAAAGGTATTATAAAGCCTATATAAACCTTTCTACTAGTTATAAACTTTTACAGTATATAATATCTATATATTAAAGTATATAACTTCCTATAGTAACGTCTTAAAGAATATATTAAGGCAAGGATTTAACTAGAACTTTACTTACTACTAAAACAAAATAGAGGTATTAAATAGGTAAAAGAATAGTTTTATAGCTACGGGATTAATATAGATAAACTTTATATATTACTATTAGGAAGTAATAATAGTTTAGAAATAGATAAAACTTAAGTATATAGAGTATACCTAAACGATTATTTCCTTTTATTATATTACTATTTCGTCTTCTTCCTTATCTTCCTAGCTACCTCCTTTAAGAGTTATATCCTCCTAAATAACGTTTATATAGCTTTGCTACTTAACTTATAAGTATATATGCTTATATAACTTTATTCTTTTTTCTTTTGCTTTATTACTTCTTATGTTTTAAAAGAAGGCTTTCGTTTAGTTTAAGTTTAAATTTAAGTTAGAGGTTTAAGCGTAAGCATTTTCGTAAATATATTAATAGTAAGTAAAAGTATTATATTAGTTATTACTATGTTAAGTATATATTATTTTAGTCGTAACTTTTTTAATACTTATAGTTTAGTAATAAGTAAATCTACTTAACTTTTAGAAATAAGTATATAGTATAAACGTCTTTATTAGGGGTAATTAAGGCTTTGCAAAGAAAGGTAAAAAGGTTTTTAGCTTCGTATACTACCTTACGAAACTTATATATATCTATAAGATTTTTTAAAGTAATAGGTATTGCTTTTTAGTTTCGGTTAAGGAATTACTTTTTAAATGTAAACTTTACTAAGACCTTACTTATTATATCTATATATAAAGTAAACTTAGAAGTTAATAAGAACTATAACTTCTTAATAAACTTTTTAATAAACTAAACCTAAGTATATATTCGAATAGAGATTCTATCTATATCCGTAATATAAAAAGATATAAGCTATAGGTAAATAATAATATCTATAGTTAGGTTTAAAACTAGTTTCTTCTAGGTTTACTAGATACTAGCTATACGCTCTTCTAAGCCTTTAATAAGAATAGTAAGGAGACTATTGTCTAGCTATATATCTAGTATATAAAGTGCTTGTTTAATCGGGTTGGTTATAGTATTAGAAAGTCGTATACGTAATGAAATCGTAGCCGTTAGAGTTTCGAAGTCGTTAGTATTTATAAGGTCGATTTTGTCTAGTTCTTATACTTAGGATAAATCGATTAAACAAAATACATACGTCTTCTACTTCTATAGTAGTTTTACTAAGAAGTAGTCTAGGTTAGCCTGCTTAAGGCACCTTAAAAACATATTCGTATAAAATATAGTAAATATTATTATTAAGAATTAAGAATATACTCCTATACGGTCTCGTAAAACTCTATATATATATGTATACGAAACATAGAATTCGCTTAAATTTGTAATAATTACATAGTAAAGATAAGAAGCTTAACTATCTATACAGGTAGTATATGCTTATCTCGTTTATGCATCCTAATTAGGCAATGTTTGAATTTTGACCCAGTGCGCCCTGCGGACTGCCGTACCTAACCCGCATTACAACTAACTGGTAGATAAGGTTGCCGCTAGCAGCAGGGTTACAGTCCCGAATAGTCTCAGTGAAACATGGATATCCTGATAATCGTCTCCAGCATGACCTGGACAATGATCACTTTGTTGACATCGTCCGCGGAAGCCCCTATGATCGAATTGACAAATTACCAAAGTCAGTATGTTTTGCACCATTGATACCGCTACTCAATCGCAACAGATGGGTTTGTTGAAGGTGCAACAGCCACATGCCCGACGTAGTGTGCGCTGCCATGCGAGCTGTCTTTGGACCAGCGTTCACATGCCAACCAGCCCTAAAATCCTACCAATTTCCACGATTGTTGTAACTAAAAACGTTCAAATTCACGTGTAATTCAACTTGCCCCCTATGCACACGTACATTTTCTTAGCTTCTTCTACGCAGTAACTACGGAGTAAGGCTCTTGTTTTCCATTCGGCCACACGACTGCTGATTTGCTGAGCCATCTTTTGTCGTTTCGAGTACAAAGTCTTCTAACGAAAGTTTTGGCTTACTTTCCACCACAATAGCAGACTTGATGGCATTTATGCCTGATGATCTCAGGCTTCTCTTCCGTCTGATGATAATTGAGATGAAAAGAGATGGTCTGTTTGAGAATCTCGGAAAACCGGCTATCCCTTCCTTTTCCCGAACGTTTCGTACTGGGGTTGACTTGTCTATCCAACAGACGCGATTACGATAGAGGTGCCTTAGATGAAAGTCGTCGCGAGTCAGAGAAAACTCTCTCGGAACCCTAACCCGATGTGCCTTTTTTTCCTCTACAAGCCGAAATGGGAATGCTGCGCACTCACGTTGGTCAAAGCCCTGCCCGGTTCATTGTTCAGTTTGAGGTTGCTTCCATCGCCCAGACTCTGACGGCATTTTGTCGCACAGTGCCCCCGTATATTGATGTCAAACTCCTAATTCAGAAACAGCCTTGGGTTCCAGAGAACTTGGGGTTACTTGCAGCGTCTACCAATGCATGTTTATTGACATTGTTAGAGAATGTCACAAATTTACGCAAAACTTGTTGCTCGAGATTAGCAGAGTCTCCGTTTCCACTACACGATCAAGATTTCCACTCATGACTTCGCATCTGATTCAGCTCTGTTGGTGCTAAAATGAACTTATTAGTCTTCTCAACTCAAAATTCTTTTAATGGTTGGATGAAAAGCCCAACATGAATCGTAGTTTACTCATAATGTTTGTGACTCACGACACCGCAGACCATCCGTCGAACATGATTCGAACACACAGTCATATGAGCCCAGTACTTTAGTTCCAATCGAAGAACTGTCAATTACCTTATGCAGGGCTCGTGACCATGGCAATGTCTAACCTCCTAGTCTGTTCGACTTGGCAAAGTGTCTACCAAAGTTAAAGCCCCGCGGTGTGAAAGCCAGAATGCTACCCTTTAAAAGAAACTATGTTGTGCTTGCTGAGGCTCATAATGGAGAAATATGGCATATTTGAGAGAAGCCGATGTTTTTGACAACATGACTGTTTCGTGTAGGTTAAGTGTACGATAACTCAGCTCTCCAAGACCAATCCGTAAACAGGCTCTTGAATTGGAGTGACAGAAACAAGTAGTTTATTACAAAAGAAACTGGTTGGAAATTTCCTCAAGCTACTCGTTATGGTTTCCATTAATCATGTTCTAAATTATTGCCCTCAGACAAAGGTGGTTGTTATGTTAAAAAGAAGCTTCCATGACCCTCTCGGCTCCTTAATATGCGTAGAACAGCGTAGCCTCTTGATCACTGGCCCGGATTCTCCTATTCTCCCTGACAAGCATCCATTTCATAAACCAGGCACCTGCAGCACATGCGACACAGAACGCCGCACTGCTAGCCATCGGGATGACGTATCTTGGGGCATCAGAGGTAGGCCACAGATACTAAAGACGTGCCGTTAATAAGGCATGTCAGAAAAGTGTTGTAACAGGGGCTTACACTTACCGGAGTCCAGATAAAGCTGATACTGGCACTAGTATTAACAATAGCCAATGCAGAAGCTTTCTTCTCTTTCGTCTGGCCGCATGTACTTCCCACCCAACCCAGCAGAATGCTGTTAACTCCATATGTTCCCACAGTGAAGACCACCATAGCGAAGTATCGTGCGCCCGTATTCATTGTAGCACAAGCTAAAACAAACCCACACAGTGCAACGGCTTTCGAAATAGTGATGTGCCAAGTCCGCTCGTTGTACTTGCCAGAGCTCCATGCCCATGCAATCGACAAGATGCCAGCGATGAGATAAGGAGGGCAGGTCAGAACCAGGGTGATAGTGGTGTCGAATTTGAGGGTCTCTACGATGGTCGGGAAGAAGTTCTTGAAACCATTGGTTGCGAGGTGCATGTGCTGCATGTAGATGAAAACCCACACCTTCGGGTCGGCGAAGGCTTCCTTGAGCCCACCCCAAGTGCTGCTCTGTAAGCGGCTGCCGACTGTGTCGCGCGCGATTCTGTCGTGGGCAAGCTGTCGCTGTTCGGGAGTGAGCCAGCGTGTAGTAAGGGGCTCGTCGGGTAGAGTGAAGCAAGCCACCATGGCAACAGCAAAGGTTACTGCTCCTTGAAGTATGAACAGCCAGCGCCAACCCTCGAGGCCGCGTGCGCCCTCCATCCCGTTAAACACGCCAGCAGCAATCAAGCCTGCGAATGCCGTAGCTAAGATGTTGCCGGAATACAAAACGCTAATCCGCGTCGCAAGTTCCTTTCTTGTGTAGAATATCGACAGAATGTAGAGTGCTCCGGGGTAATACGGGGCCTCAACAACACCAAGAAAGAACCGAGTAAGTACGAGGCCTGTGTAGTCCTTGACAATAGCCGTTAAAGCACTGACAACAGCCCAGGCCATCATAAAGCCGCCCATGTACCAAGATGGGCGCACCCGCGTAAGGATCATATTGCTGGGAATCTGCCCAAGGATGTATCCGACAAAGAGAATAGAAACGCAGGTGGAGTACTGCACGCTGGTGAGGCCGAGTTGCTTCTCAAGACCATTGAGCCGCGCAAGGGCGATTGCGTTGCGGTCAAGATAGCTAGGCTGTCAGCGGAGAGTTACAGTGGGTTGGGGGGGGGGAGTTGACTCACTTCAGCCAGTACATTAACCAAAGCGTTGGCTATGCGCTTATTAGATAGAGTTTGGGGGAGGGGAGTTGCGAAGACTGACCATAATCCATAGGTCTAGTTTCCTCACAAGCTTGATCTCCTCCGGATCAGTCTTAGCTGCGGCTCCGGAGTAGTCAACCGCCGTAGCAACTGGCTTCTCATCCATGATGTGGGAATGTTCTTGATGTAGAGTTTGCTGCTTCTCTATATCAGCAGTAGGCTGAGGAGCCTCTGGCCTTGGTTCCGTAGAGCTCGTCATCTTCCCGGCTAGCAATGCTCGTCGTGAGTAGGAACCGCAAAGAGGAGTTCAGGAGTCGAGAATGAAGAAACTGAGAAGAATTTGTTCCCAGGCTCCTGGGAAGGGAAGAGACTGTATTTGTTCCCCAGGCTCTTCCCCGCAAACAACCCCAGATTTGACATGCTTGGCCCGCGATTCCTGTGGAGGTTACCACCCTGCTCAAGTTCTAGTGGGGATCCTGTTCCAGAGTGACGGCACTTTGGCGTTGTGAGTTGATCGCGCAGTGAAGACCGCATCTCGGCCTACGGCGCCGAAAGCCGAGAATGGGTGAAAAGACATGGCGAATAGCCCCCACGTACGCCAAAGGATCACCGCCTAGGCGCCGTTCCCCGAATCTCCAACCCCTCATCCCCCGCAGCTCCAGTGGATCGGAACATTGGTGGTGGACCAGACATGCAAGTCTTTTGTGATGTTCTGTGGCTGGCCCAATCATGTACGAATTATAGGCATGTTCAAGGTGCGTTTGCATTTGCCGGTTGGTGAGTGGAAAACTGGTGGTGGAAGATGTGGGGTGGTTTTCGGCCTCGGGCCCGCGCCCGTTGTGTTGAGCTTTGTGCTTCTTGCTTCTGCTTTTTTGCTTGGAGACTGATAATCCTCATGGCTTTTCGGACATGTTCCGAAATCCGTCACTGTTTGTGTTCATCTTATGCTCTGACTCCGTAGATTAACATGGGGTTTTAAAGACCGGAACACATCGGCTTGCTATCATGCCAAGTTTGTCGGCTTTCCGCCCGCAATCGGCGGTACAGGAGATGACGACGCGAATCGATTCCGTGACATTTCCTTTGCCTACCAAAGATATCAGTCCGCTGTGTGCCTTTCTTACATCACGGCTTATCTTGGTTTTCAGTCGCCTAGCTTCCAAACTGCACTCTTAAACGCCCCTAATCATGATTGAGAAACCACCTATTCGAATCGGAAATGTCTCCGGTGCAACAGGCGACCATCCACACGCCATGGCGCGCATGGTGCGTTCCGGGAACGTCCAGGTGATCACCGGCGATTGGCTTTCAGAGATGAACATCGCCTGGAACGCAATTACCAAACGCGATGTCGACCCCAATCTTGGATATGAGAATGGCTTCTACGACCAGTTGGAAGAGTGCATCGATGACATACTAGCAAAGGACGTCAGAGTTGTGACCAATGCCGGTGCGCTGAATACAACAGCGCTCTTCGAGAAGATCAAGGCGCTGTGCACACGAAAAGGGTACCCCGAGAATATCGTCGCGGCGATCTTGGGTGACGATGTCTCCGATTTACCTGGACACGCAAGGGGCAAAGACTTGACGTTCCCGCATCTCGACCACCCAGAGATCACTCTCAATGACTGGGGCTTCAAGCCCTTTTGCGGCAATGCATACATCGGTTGTTGGGGAATTGTCGAGGCTTTGAAGGCCGGCGCACGCATCGTCATAGCTGGCAGATGTACAGACGCGTCCCCCGTCATGGGTGCTGCCGCCTGGTACTATGGCTGGAAACAAAACCAATACCAGGAGCTTGCCGGCGCGTTACTTGCAGCCCATCTGATAGAATGCGGTCCATACGTCGTCGGCGCAAACTTTTCAGGATTCAAGGACTTTCTGCCTGACTTGGTGGATCTCGCATTTCCCATCGCTGAAATCAGTCGAGATGGTGAGTGTGTCATTAGCAAGACCGCAGAAGGGGGTGGGCATATCACGCGCCACACCGTCACAGCACAATTACTCTACGAGCTGCAAGGCCACCTATATCTCAACCCGGATGTTGTTGGAGATTTGTCACAAGTTCGCGTTGAGGAGCAGAATGGCTTCGACGAAGAGCGTGTGCGAGTCTGGGGCGTCAAAGGTCTCCCTCCTCCACCGACAACGAAGGTCATGTTCGCTGCGGAAGGCGGATACCAAGCTGAGGCGACGTTCTATATTAACGGTCTGGACGTAGATGAGAAGGTTACGATGATGAAGAACCAACTAACGTACATGTTCAAGGATAGCAACTTCAGCAGGCTAAGTATGGAGCAGTATGGTACACAAGTGCAAAATCCAAGCTCTCAGCAGGCGGGAACGGTGCAACTCCGGGTATTTGCGCAGGCGCGAAGGAAAGAAGACATAGCCGCTATGAGGTTCAAGATTCCTATATACGCTGTGAGAATGCAGAGTTACCCAGGATACCATATGTCGCTAGACTTCCGGACCATGGACCCGAAGCCGTTCATGGAGATGTTCCCTGCACTTATACCTCAATCGGCCATCGACCACCGCGTTTTGCTAGGCACGGGAGAACTGATAGCCATTCAACCGCCGCAAGAAACGGCCACATACAAAGTGGTTCGCCCATCCGCAGATACTGCAGAACCGATAGATATACTTTCATTGGGGCCGACAGATTTCGCTCCTTTGGGAAGCATCGTTCATGCTCGTTCCGGCGACAAGGCCGACAACTCGAATGTTGGCTTCTTTGTCCGACATGACGACGAATACCCGTGGCTTCGAACTTTGATGAGCGTCTCGCGGTTGAAGCAGCTGTTAGGCGACGACTGGTTCAAAAACAATCCGATCAGAAGAGTGGAACGTGTAGAGTTTCCCGGTCTCAACGCCGTCCACTTGTAAGTAGCCTTCGTTACAGAAATATTTATAAAGCTAACGCGGTATTAGTCGCATTCTTGACAACCTGAATGGTGGTATTGCGTCCTCGGACAGGATCGACGGCTTGGGCAAGGGCATTGCGGAATACTTACGAAGCAAATACGTCGAAGTCCCGCGGAGTTTTCTTCAAAGAGGCTCGATATGACGGGACTCATAGATTGATAAAGGGCGGTAGTGTAATACTTTCAAGTTGTTCTGTTTTTATAGATTTTAGAAATACCGACTTGGGGTCTCCCCTAACCCAAAGAGCCAATCTTGTGATAGCTGGGCAATTGCATCACCGTTGTACTGGTCATAGTAAATATTCTGCAAGTCCCCAAAGCAATCCCGGAGTGTCTCGTCGACCGTCATGTTTACAAGGCCCTGACTTGTGCCGTGTCCGTACATGGCATCCGCAAGGCCCATGTCTTCGGGCTGTGGCAGCTGGCCTACTTCGGCGGACTGAGTGGGAAAAGTAGGGTTGCTTGTTGACTGAGCTTGCCCACTTTGAGCCTCGACAATGTCTGCAACCACCGCATCACTCAAACGGTCAAAGACTTCAGAGCAGTTTCGTGCCATGGCCCATCTTTCTGATAGAGCTACCAAAACCTTTGAGCACGCTCGTGTGTCGTTGACCACACGACTAATCGTAGGAGTTGATCGCAAGGTAGCGTTGGCAGTGTTTCCATTAGGCAGTACCCTATTTTGGATGTGTTGAAGGTGGTTGCGTAGTGCATAGATATAGGACAAGCCGGCAATAAAAATGGAATGCAATGTGACCCAGGAGTAGTTGATCTTCCTCGACCGGTGTAAGTCGGCGTACAGCCTGATGGCTTCCTGAGACGAGTCGAACATGTGTTGCAGCACATTGCTGTTCCGAGAAGCATCGCAAAGAGAGGGAGAGGGGCGAAATAGCATCAAGATGCCATTATGATACAGCAGATTGTACCACTCTTCCGAACGAAAGCTGGACCTGCTCGCTGGAGATGTGAGAAGCGCTTCTGCCGGGATGAGCGGCAGGGCTGTCGTCCCCGCACGCCATGATTGAAGTTCCTCGGCTAATGCGTCCCGCGCGCTTTCGTAAGTGACATTGGTCTCTCTGTTGATAGCGCTTCGGTGATGAGAATTGAGAATCTTGCCACATATGAGTCGATATCTCACTATGTGGACGAATATCGCAGTCCCCAATTGCCATTCCGGCGTACCGAAAGATGCTGTGGATAGAGATTGATGAAGGGACACACTGGTTGTAATAGGTTCAACGTGAGGAAGCTCGGTGTCGATGTCATCAAGCTGAATGGCTAACGGCCGCCCAAGAATGAGACTTGCAATACGATCCATAGAAACAACACACCAGAAACACCTCCGTTTGATCTCCATGTCTTCAAGTCTGGATTGGTTATCGCTCTCGCTATCAACCTGAGACTGAGGCAGAGCATAAGTTGAGGCCTTGTGTAAACCAAGCTCGAAGCATGTCCTGGCAGCCACGCCGATGAGATGCCATACGCTGGTACTTGTATCGTGCGAAGTGGTTCCCATTCTGTACTGGCAAATAAGCAGAAGAGCTTGGAGCGCTGTAATACCACCTCGGGCTGTCACGTCCACAAGACGCGTCAAGGCGCGGTTGTAGTGGACTTCGGCGTCCCATATGCCGTTCCAGTTGAGTTTGTACACTTGCGCAGTTCCAATGGCCAAGGCCATATCGATGATAAACCCGTCAACTGGGTCAGTGGCTTCAGGGCTTTCCGCCTTGTATACGGCTTCCAAAGCATTATCGAGTGCGCTTGGAGACAGAAAGGGGTAGCAAAGGCGGTCATGACTGCAATACGCGTCAAGGATCTCAGCGGCCATGCTTCTTGGTGGAAGACTAGAAGTTGCGTTAAGTACCAGACTACCTGTTCTTCCACCTCCAGTGGCTGTTGATCCTGACGCTTGACCACCAATATGAGGATAAGGGCCGGCGGATTGACTATGCGATTGCAGCAAGTTGGCGAGAAACAAGCCGCTCGTCGATCCAACAAAGTCCCTTCCTCCACCAGCACCGAGAGAAAGATGAATAACCTGGCTTGCTATCTCATTGCTGCCAGCAGGGGCTCGACTTTCATCTGTTGGGAGACCGAGGCTTGACGAGGTGGCTGGTGTCGCAAGCCTGTCTCCACTGCCGGTTCGTTCCATCTGTTGTTGCTGAGCCTCGGCCAATCTTCCAGAAAGACTTTCATTCTGAGATTGTAACTCTCGTATGCGCTGTTCTAATCTTTCCACGTCTTGTCGCCGGAGCTCGACCTGGTGCTCCCTCGCTGCATACGTGCATTGCACGTTGATCCTGCTACACGGCGCGCATGACGGCCGACTACGGTCGCATCGGACCTTTCTGCGGTGGCAGCGCTGGCATGCGCCAGTCCTACCAGCCGAGCCGGATGGCATTGAATTCGATTAATGCGAATTCAACATAGAACGGGGTCGGTCTTGGCTGGTCGTTGAAGGGATGTATGTGGGTGTCATGACGAAGGTGAGTGGCCCGAGGTGAGGAGATTACCCCAGACCAGGGAGTGGAAACAGGGTCTTTAGTTCAACACCCTCCCGGTCTCGGTCCCGTTAGTGGGTCATATAACCGGCCACAGGCATCTAAATCGCCTGCGTGCTCCAAGTATGATTTTATGATTTATGTTCCAAATGAGTAGCTACATGAGTGTCGAACGTATTAAACTTGACTCGCCTGCTCTGTATTTGCCATGATTGATAAGACAAAGCAGTCGACCTATGTTAAGAAGTATCAGACTTTGGTGTAAAAGGGACTGCGGGTATAGAAACTAAGAGCAGCCTTGTCGCATGGATCAAAAATAAATAAAGATTCATATTCAATGATGGATTTTATTGTTTCTTTTTACACGGTGCTTGGCTAGTTGCTTTTCTACAAGAATACACCAAACACCTAGTACCCATATGATAGTCGGAGCAAGGTTGAAGGATGGTTTAAAGTAACCCTCAAGTATGTCAACCCAGTAGATAGCATGATGAAGGAGACTTCCCTGCCCTGCCACAGTTTCGATCCGTAGGTAGTAGATTTACCAGAGACATGCCAATTAGGGCAGGTTGCCTACATTGAATGACGATGTTAGAGTGTTCAAGGCTCTAGCGTAAGTCTCTGTTGGTATCACAGGATACCCGTGAAGTGGGATAACTGATGGGGGAACTGGTCTGTATTTCTGTCTGTGTCTGTATCTGGAAGAAGTTCCAGCAGAAGTGCTGGAGGAAGTGGCTGTTGGTCTTATAGCCGTCAGCCGGTCTGCCCGTCACGTGGGCAGCCCGGGTGCCGGCAGGACTGCCGGCGACGGAGCCACTTCAACCCGGAGTTCCGGCTATTCCAACAGTCTCTTAGCATCGATCTTACGTCTGCCAGCTAGAAATCCTATATGAGCCACCAACCATCAAATCACCCATGGTTACCAAGTATAGAAAATAAGAACGTGTATGTTTCTATTTAAGAAGAAATTAATCTGGTTCGTAAATCATAGCGATTTAAACGACTTAGGTAGACTGGTATCGCCATAGCTCACCTGAAGCTGTGGCACTTTCTAGATAACATAGAAAGAGGCGATCATTCTTCCATAGCTACCGTTATCATGTATACTTAGCACTTCGATATGTGATTTCTCTGGAGACGTCTTACATTCCTCTTGTGTAACTTTATCCAAGTAACAGTGCCGGTCTCAAGGCAGCTGTAGTACAACCAAGATAGTCAACAGCAGGCTACCAAGTCCGGGGAAGCAAAATAGCCAATATTCATTTAGCATAATGTTGATGCAACATTTGAATTTGTGCACAAAGATCTCAACTTGCAGTATACCCTATCATAGCAAAGATGAAGCAGCTTCAACAAGGATCTGATCACACTGCCCACCCCATTTTCAGTATCATAAGGCGAAGCATTGCCCGAGTAACCACATCTAGCATCAGATCATACCAAAATAATTCATAGACCTCAACGAGGTTACGTATCTATTTGTCTTGGCCGTGACCAGCGAGGCTGACGGCGTATCTTGGCATCATGGCGCAGTATCAGTCCAAGAGGCTTTGCAGCTCATTCTACGAAGATATGTCTCGTCCGGCGTTAGCGACGGCCTGCAGTTTAATACCGTACTCGAATGAAACTGGCTCATATGGGCATGACGGCTCTTTAGGCATGTACAACCTAGAACTTTGATGGTCCTCATTCTTGCATCGGCGTGGGGGGGCTTACGCGGTCGTAGAGACATGCTGGGCAAGCCACCGTCATCGGCTGACACGATTTTGAGTTAATTCCGACCGACTACCATTGCCAAGTCGAAATGTATCAATCCGGACTCGGGAGGCCGAACAATCCGCCCGTGTAACTAAAGATGCTGATTTTGAAGAATCATTACAACTCGAGGTATAAGAACCCCCTGCTGCTCGTCGCTAAGGTGAGTACAGACCAAAAGACCATCTCAAAGGATAGATACATCAGCAAGAACACCATAGAACGAAATAGCTATGGCTAAATTTTTACCCTTAATTGCGGCAGCTCTGTTAGCCGGCTCGTTTACGGCCGCGACTCCGGTCGACGAATATGACTTTGTTATCGTTGGCTCAGGTCCAGGTGGCGGCTCGCTTGCGTAAGTTTTCATGCCCTGAGAGGCAGTGGCTACAATTATGATTCTTGCGCATTGTAAACTAACAGCGAAGCATAGAGCCAATTTGGCCGTGAGTGGACACTCAGTCTTCTTAATCGAAGCCGGCGGTGACAGCTCGGATGATGTGCTTGAATTGCTCCCGCTCCTGTAAGTGCCAATTGCCACCGATGCCACTTTTACTAACTGTAAAACCAGGTCTGCGCGTGCTGCTGAGACTCCGGGTCACTCCTGGCAGTTCTTCGTCGAGCATTATCAAAACGAGACCCAAGCCCGGCGTGATCCTAAGTATACTTATAGACAAAGCAACGGGTCTTACTATTACGGCCTGAACCCCCCTGATGATGCAGTACCGTAAGCCACCTATCTTATTTTAATGAGCGACAATGAAATGGTTGTATCTTTTGACGCTGACATTGTTTTGAAAATCTAGTGCAGGTATTTACTACCCCCGTGGTGCCACATTGGGCGGCAGCGCGCAGGTGAATGCCATGAACTTTGCATGGGCACCTGACAACGAATGGGACTACATTGCCGAACTCACCGGAGACGAGACTTGGAGTCATCAGCATTTGCGCCGCCACCTTATGGATCTCGAGAACTGCACGTACGTTCCCCAGGGAACACCCGGTCATGGTTTTGACGGCTACATCGAGGTAAGAACACATTCGCCTTCCTTGGCTTGACTTTGGATCACTAATTTGATCCTTGTTGTGCGCAGTCGAGCATGGGGAACTCAACAAGCGGTTTGACATCCCCCAACGCAGCGCTCTTCGTAGAGGAAATGTTCCGCCAGGCTGAAGGCATCGAGGTTGACGGTGTCGAGCACATGGCCGAGCTGCTCCTTCGCGACCTCAACAGGATCGACAGAGACCGCTATGAGAACAATTTCCTGTTTCTCACCCCCGCAGCCATTTCTCCTACTACTGGCGGTAGGAGTGGCGTGGCAGGTTACATTAATCAGGTCGTTGCTGCCGGACACCCTCTGACCGTTAGCCTGCATTCGTTGGCGACCAAAGTCCTCCTTGAAGACTGTGGCCGCGGCAAGAAGCCCAAGGCTTACGGCGTCGAATATCTGCTGGGCGAGGGACTATACTCGGCTGACCAGAGGTACAACGCCTCGCAGACAGGGGAGACTAGGACGGTTCGAGCGAAGAAGGAGGTCATTGTAGCAGGCGGCACGTTCAACACTCCTCAGATTCTCAAGCTTAGCGGTATTGGCCCACTTGAAGAACTGGAAAGCCTGGGGATTCCTGTTCTTGTCGACCTACCCGCAGTAGTAAGTTCTTTTGAATAAGCACTCAAATCGCTTGTTTCATTGCCAGACCCCCAAACTAACCGGACGTTTTTCACAGGGCAATTTCATGCAGGACAATTACGAGGCGCCTGTTCACATTCGAGCCGAGGAGCCATGGGTTGAAGCCGCCAACTACCCATGCACCCACGCTTTTGACGATTCGGATCCGTGTTTCGTGGTTTGGCAGGCAAACCGAACCGGGCCGTACACTCAGCGTGGCGGGACGTTCAACATGGCCTGGCGAAGCAGCGTCAGCTGGGACAACGACACAGATCTCTTTTACCTTAGCTCCGCCGGTTTTGGAGGCATCGCAGGTTTTTATCCTGGGTACTCCAACAGAACTTTGATGCCCAATGACTGGAACACCCCTATCGTCAAGATGCAGGCGGGCAACGCCGCAGGCACCGTAACGCTCCGCTCCGCGGATCCGCGACAGGCACCGGAGATCAACTTCAACTACTTCTCTCAGCGGGGCGAGGAGGATCTGCAGTCCCTCGTTGAGGGAATCGAGTTTATGCTGGGCGTGTTTGACGAAGTTGGCGTGCCGTACAGGGTGATCTCGCCGGACCCCGAGATCGACATGAGGCAAGGTATCAAGGACACGGCATTCAGCCACCATGCGACATCCAGCTGCCGCATGGGCCCCGCTGGTGACAAAGACTACTGTGTCGACTCCAAATTCCGAGTCAATGGCGTTGACGGGTTGCGCGTTGTCGATGCCTCCGTCCTGCCCCGGGCCCCTGGCGCTATGCCAAACGGTCCAACATTTACGATTTCGCGAAAGGCGTACGAGACTATCTTGGAAGATAACTGAAGTGGTTGGCGTGGGATGACTGGGAGTGTGGCTGGGTGAGAAACGAGACTAGAGTAGCAATCTCATATATGAAGCTATCAGAGTTACACACTCGTTTGTGTTTCTGCATAGGGCTTGATATATAGTTGCTGCTTTTTGCAGTTGAGTTAGCATCTTTTAGTTTTTCATGCCAGACTATTTCCACCACGGATTGTTGTTTCTCTTTTCACTTTTGATTAAGCCGCGGTAAATATTTAGTTTTGATCATCCGGGTGAACGGCAAACTCAATGAGTTAGTTCTCGCAAGAAAGTTCTGTACCTCAAGTTTTCAATAGTGCAGGTCATGTCAGCCTTGTGAAATGAGCAGGCTCTTTCCCCAGGAAACAAGCTGCAATTAACGAAATAACAAGTGAGCCCGCATTTGCTTCTAGGTCTCTGAGCAATATCCAAGAGGGGATATTAGGGAGCAGCACCCCTCTTCGTAGTGCTTTTTTAGAAACACCAAGGAGGCAACAGGGGTACCGCTGTGTATTAGACTGAGTGTACACCTGAGTTGACCAACGTGATCTATTGGCTCACTCCACAAAGCGGGGTTTGTGGTAAGCCAGCTAACTACAGAGAACGTACGACTGTTCGGCTTCGGAACGGCAGGGTCCGGTTTGTAATAGGCCAGTGTATGAAATTAAGGTAGATTTAAGAACAAAAAGTGAAAACTACGAATAGGGAAACCGAACACGGTTGGATCTCATGAAATGTCCCGCTTCCGGCTGCAACTCCCGAAGGCCCTGTCAGTCAAGTACTGTGGTAAGAGTATTTATAGAGTTTGTGTAGAAACCGTTAGAAAAAAAGGGTAGGGATTTATTAATCTCATGAAGGATACGTGGAGATTATGACAGCCTCATTCGTCCGATGTAGCCAGTGGCTACCCATAAACCCAAGTGAAAGGCTGGTCGCCCGCCCAAGCCGGAATGTTATAAGTAAGGTTTCAATATGAGAGCGAATTTGAGTTCAGCCCTGAGCCAGGGTTCTAAGTTTTACCGTCGCTTATCGATCAGAAAGGGGGGGAAATTCCTATAATCAATCAGAGCAGGAAAGTGGGGTAAAAAAAAAAAAAAGATGGAAACTGCTGCTGGTCTCCAATTTCTCCTTTACTGGCCCGTCCAAAGACGTCAATGCCACCAGATGCGCAGGCCTTCTGTAGTGTAGGGAGTCAGGAGTACATAGTAGCAGTAGTTGTACACTAATCAAAACCAAGCCACCATGCCCCCGCCCCCCTTTTGCCCCTCAAGAGGCCTATAGAATGCGCAGTATGGCGATCTCCACTTTTAAGTGGATTACAAATCCGGCCGTTGGCTGCACTTTTGACGCACTGATCCGCCAACCGCCAACCGCACTGATCCCGTTGAACCCTTTCCTGTCGCATGGAATGAGCCGCGCAGTGAACGACAACGACGACTTTCGCTGACAAAAGAGCGGTTGATCGTTTACTGCTGCATTTTATATCTCGAGGCTTATTGAGCCCCCCTTCACTGATGATTAAATCTTTTCTGAGAACACTTAACGCGATAGACGGCTGCGATACGCGTCATGTTCTCACGAAATAAGGACTCCTCCTCGACGCTGCTCCCGACCAGCTTTCGGTCGCGGTTGAAGTCCAGCATGTCGTCGTCAGCCAAGATTCGCTCTTCCGAGGGATGCTGGACCTGTCGCTTGCGTCGCAAGAAATGCGATGAGGCTCGTCCCGTCTGCGAGGGCTGTGCTTCGCTGGAGATCACCTGCTACTACAGCGAGACCAAACCCGACTGGATGGACGGCGGCGAGCGTCAGAAGGAGATGGCCGACCACCTCAAGAAGCAGGTCAAGGTCCAGGCGAATAATCGCCGCGAAAGGAAGTATCTTCAGAGCCTCGACGTCGAAGGTGGTCTTGCCCACGGTCACGGCCATCACGACGACTCGGATGGCGAGCACGTACCCTCGGTCCCCGCTCTGAGTGCCGATGGCGGCTCGTCCAAGGAGGTCAGTTCAGCCAGTCCGTCAACCGTTCACGACACTCCCGGGGACTCATCTAGCCCGGCATTTCACATGGAGACGGTCAAGTCGTCCATCTCCGAGATCGTGCCGGGCTCGTCGCCGAATCAGATGCGGCAGCACACCCCAGACTGGAACAACAACCCTAGCCCCGGATCGTTGAAGCCGTCTCCGGATACGGACCCCACCCAACCATTCCCGGACGACTCCAACCTAGGCTTCATTATGATTTACCTCGACTATGTTTTCCCTTTTCTATTCCCCTTTTACAAGCCCGCGCTGCTGGAGGGCGGCCGTGGCTGGTTGCTTAACGTCCTCAACCACAACAAGGCCCTGTATCACACCGCACTTGGCCTCTCGTCCCACTTCTTCGGTGTGGTCCTCAACGGCGCCCAGGTCGAACACACGCCATGCAGGGTAAGGAGCGTCGCCAGTCTCCAACACCAACTAGATCTCGCCCTCAAGGAACTCCGCGCCGACATGGCCGCCATCAACGAGACCGGCGTGCAGAACCAGCTCCGCCAAACCTGTCGCGTGCTCGAGAGCATCGTCCAGCTGCTCATCTTCGACGTCACCCTGGCCTCCAACGACCATTGGCAGATGCATCTGGACGCCGCCACCATCGTTTTCCAACAGATCCTGCTGCGGCCAGAAGACTGGGACCCTACAATGCTTCACATGGCTATCCCCTTATTACAGGGCATCCCCTTCCCACCGGGCTCACACAAGCCGTGGAGCGCCGACCAGGCGGCTCTTCGCTTTTTCACGGCGTCGCTACTGTACTTCGACATCGTTTCCGCAACCACCCTCGAGCGTCCGCCCAAGCTGCAAGGCTACCACCACTACCTACTCAGCCCTAGGAAAGAGGAATGCCTCGAGATTGAGCCACGGCTGAGATTAGAAGAGTACTTTGGCTGTCAAAGCTGGGTCCTCCAGCTCATCGGCGAGATCGCATCCCTGGACGCGTGGAAGAAGGAAACACGCCGCGCCGGGTCGCTATCCATGACCCATCTCGTTTCCCGCGCGGCCTGCCTCGAGCTCGCCCTCCGCGAAGGCATCGCGTGCATGGATAACCAGTGCCCCCAGCTAATGGGCTCCGACGAACTCGCCTGCCGGGCCGGGGCGTGCAACATGACGGATTACCCGCCACCTCACCCGACGCACGTCGACACCACACGGCTACCCCCCGACCCGCTGACGCTGTACCGGAGCCAGCAGACCAGAGACGACGTCGAGGCGTCCAAGATCCACACAAAGATCTGGGCCTTCGCCGCCCTCACCTATCTGTCGACGGTCGTGTCCGGATGGCAACCGTCCTGCCCCGAGACCGCCAGCAGCGTGACGGCAACAATCGAGCTCCTCGACTCGCTCCACGGTCCCGTCTGCCTACGGACGGTCGTCTGGCCGTTCTGCGTCATCGGCTGTCTCGCCACGCCCAGCCAGGAGAGCATGTTCCGAGACATGGTCGGCAAGATGGGCGCCCTCGAAGTGTTCGGCTCCATCACGGCCGCGCTTGCCGTCATGGAGAACGTCTGGGCGCGCCGCGACACCATTGACGAGTCGTGGGATCTCGCGGCGTGCTTCAAGGTCCTCGGCCACCCTGTGCTGTTGACATGAGAGAAAGTTCGATCGGAATCGGGTATATATATGGTCTGGGTGGTTGTTAGTCTAGCATTTTTAGTATTTGTGCTTCCAGGGGGGGGCAAATGAGGGAGGGATACCAATGTTTCGTGCCTGGCGTCTGGCGATAAGTGAGAAAGGGAGGGCAAATGCATATATGTCTTTGACAGTTTTGTGACGCTCATGTTCGGAATTGTCTTTTTTTCTCGTAATCTCACAATGGCATTGTAGGAAAGATAACTCGATAGAATTCCCGGTTATTTTTCGTTTTTTTTTTATTATTACTCACGGGTGTTTCAAAGAACACCCCCGAGTTTCTCTCTAAACGCCAGACCAAGAAGAACAAACAGTGCAGCCTGCCACCGTTTTGAAGATACCCAGAGAGCGAGCGACCAATCTATCTACCCAGTAGACATTACCCAGAACCCGAACCAGAAAACAAATCCTCTATTACCAGTGGAGAGACACCACAAACAAAGGGTTTCCCAGAAAAGGAAAAGAACCTCAAAACAACCAAACAAATCAGGCTTTAGGGACCTTGGACGAAGCCGCCCTGGCAAGTTTATTCTGCCTCTGCGCCTCCAACAATCCGAGATCCCACCACCCGTCAATAAATTCCATAATCGTCTTACGCTTCGACTTGGCGCGCGCGAGAGGTTTGCGAGGGACCTGGTGGTGGTGGTCGCCGACGACGGCCCGCTCACCAGGGGACGCGGGCGACGGCGGCGGGGGAGGAGTGACGACGATGGCCATCTCGGGTAGCACAGGCAACGGCTGCACGGGTAAAGCGGACTGCTCGACGATCAAGACCTTCTTCTTGCGTCCGGGGACGGCCGTGGGGAGCGGCGGCGGGGGGAACCACGGCCGCTGAGCGGAGGAGACGAGAGGCGCGGCGGCGGCGGCGTCCGAGTCGGAGTCGGATTCGCTGCCGCTGCTGTCCCACCTCTTCTCCCCCAGCACAGCGGTCGTTCCCAGGCTCTTTGTCCCGCGGCTTCCTCCTCCGATGGTCGTGGGAGGAGGAGGAGGCGCGAACGAGGAGCCGTAGGGGTAGTAATAGGACCCTGCTGCCGCACCGCCACGGGCGCACCCTCAACCCTCAATGTCCTTGTGCGCGGCGGAGGGGGCCATCTTGATGCGGCGCCAGAGGCACGCGGCCGTCACGGCGCTGAAGGCGAAGAGCACGCACAGAGCGATGGACAGGCCCCAGACGGCCTTGATGGCGTAGCACGTCCTCTGGTCCGCGCCGACCCAGACGAAGTAGTTGAGCGCCGACCCGGTGTTGATGTTCGCCGTGACGGAGGCCATGAAGTTTGCCGTGCTGCCGGATTTCGGGAGGGCCGCGCAGTTGAGGTAGGAGAGGGGCTTGCCGAGGGTGCAGGCGACGACGATGACGGCGATGAGGAGGGCCGAGTCCGCGCCTGTGGCGATGAGCAGGGGAAGCATGTTGTCGTAGTAGAGGATGTAAGTTATGACGATGTAGAGGGTTGCAATGCACGACTGGAGAGTGTTTTGTTAGTGTCTGCTCATCTAGTCTCCGTGCTTGGCAACTTTCAACAATGAGAAAATGATGAGGGGCAAAAGACTCACGACTACCAGAGTCCCGATCAGAACGGGCGGCGACAAGGCGTCGGCTCCGTTGATCTCGGAGATGAAGTTGGACGTCATGCCGATGATGGCGATCAACGAAGCGAACTGCATCGCGCGCATGGCCGTGAAGGTGTGCCCGAGGGCGCCGAGCTGCGGGGCCGAAGGCATCTTGGCGAGAGAGACGGGGGTGATGAGAGTGAGCTTCGGGCGGGGTGTGTTTTGGTGGAGCGCCGTGCGGACGGGGAAGCGCCGGGGCGGGAAGGGGATGTAGGCGGAGGGAGTTGAGGAGGGAATTTTGGAAATCGGGGAAAGGAGTCGCTTGGTGTTAGCGACCGTTTGACGTTTATTCTTTCAATGAGAGGAAAGCGTATTTTTCGTTATGAGACTAAGAGAAATGAGAGAGTGTTGCTCGTGTTTTCGTGACCGGTTTGAATCGTTCCTCGTTAAGGTGGTAAATGATGATTTCGAGAGAGTTGAAAACGAAGAAAACGGTTGATTGATGGAAGATTGAGATAGACCCGAGACTTGGAAGGAAATTGACCTAGGAAAGAGAGTCAAGGAAAAAAAAAAGAGAGAGGAAAAAAAAGAAAAAGACGGTGGTTTGGTTTGTTGTAACTGCTTGTGATGTTGATAATAAGAGAGAGGAGAATGACTGTGATGGAGGAAGCCGTTCGTCTTCTTTATACATCTCAACTCACATCAAACCCTGAGACGTCACTTTCAGGCCGCATACCCATCCTTGTGGTTTGCTCTCTCTGCTGCATTGTTGTTGTGTTGCTAATTCCAGCAGCGACATCAACGCGTTCTGGATCCAGGCCCAAGATACCTTGCCCGCGGTACCTGCATGCGGCACGGCGAACCTCACATACGCCTGTAAGAGCCCACAGAACCCTGGACGGAGTCAAGGTGCAGTTCGGCTAGGTATGATGAGCCGCTGGGGTTGGCCAATCACGGCGCCGAGCCGGGGTTGCGGTGCGGCGCTTACGGAGAGTGGAGCAGGTGTTGGACAAGCGACGCGGTTATACGGACGACTGCCTGCCTACGTTGAGATTACATAGGACTCAAGTTTCTCTCTGTTCCTGGTCCCTACAAAAATAAGGAATGACGAAAAGGTGGAAAGGTGGAAAGATGATAAGCGCACCCAATGGCATCTCTTCATTCCCTGGCTTGGGATTGACCAGCGACGCGGCTGTTTCGTTGCTCAGACTGGGGCTTGATTGGGTCTGCTTCAACCCGGAGACTTGGTCTCGACCTTGCTTTAGAGCCGGTGGAGTCATGATCCTCGCCTCGCAGTGGCATGACAACCCGTAAACGCGGGCAATGTGGGACCACGGGCATGGAGGCTGAGGCGCCAGTTCATACAGTCATAGTACTAAGTCATGGATAGCAACGGCACCTGAAACGAGGTCTGGCGGCTGCCGGCCTAGGCCGCATGTCTTGGGCTGGAGAATGGTTCATTAAGAGGGCCTGATTCTTGGGCCGTTGGGTCCTAGCCAGGCCACTTATATGCAGCCGAGATGAGATAGGAGTGGTCTGCCCATGAGCCTCAAAGCTGCAAGACGGCCATGGTTGGCCCGCGGAGGATCGACTTGCTTTGATCGGCTTGGCTTTTGTTGGGACCTTGCATCGGAATATTCACGGATGGGGTTGTTGAAGGCCTAGGCTTTGTTCGATCATCTCTTCACCATGAAAGCCACCTGTCTCGGAATGTGGACTCATGGAGCCGGTCGCCGCGTTGGCCGCAGACACTGTGAAGGCTGTGAAGTCCTGTGATTGTCATGCTCAATGGTAAACTAAAATGAGAAACTAGAGGCATTAAAAACATTGGCAGCAAGCAGCTCCCTGTCCTGTTGATGTCACTTTGCACAACATCAGGAGATGCATAAGACAATTTGTGAATTGCGGTTCGCTTTGAAATTCAAGTTAGATGGTTCATGTTTTGCAGTCTTTTGCGCGCCAATATGCCCAGTCTAGCAGCCTACTAGCACATCTCACCTGCTCACCGCACCCGGTGGCCTCCCGATTCCTCTGCATAGTAAGGTGTCGTGAAGCAGGTCGTCGTCTCCCCCTTCATTATATCGTTTAACCGAGCAGGTCGTCCAGACCATGGTTACCACCAGATGATCCTCCAGCAGGCTTTGGTGCTGGAGAAGCAGCGGCGGGAGCTCCCCAGATACCAGCACTGCTCTTCTCCTTTGCAAGCTGGCCCATAGCAGGGCCGGCGGTGGGGGTGCTCGTCTTCTTCACACCACCACTGGCTTGAGACCAGAGCGCGCCGAAAGCATCACCTCCAGAGGCAGCGGGCTTAGCAGCGGCTGCCGCCACCGGCTTTGAAGCGGCTGGACCGGAAGGGCCGCTAAAGGAGCCACCGGTACTCTGAGGAAGGCCAGACTGAACAGAGCCGAAGTAGTTGGGTCCTGAAGGCTGGTAGCCGGAAGGCTTAGGGGCCTGAGAAGCAGGCGAGGCGACAGCCGGAGTGCTGAAGGCCGAGTAGTTAGGTCCGCTCGGGGCGGGTGACATGGAAGACATGCTGACCATGTTTCCGAGGTTAGCCTGTTGCGGGGCAGAGACGGGCTGGGGGGCGGCAAAGGTCGTGGTAGAGGAGGCGGACGAGGTCATGATGGGAGGCGACAAAGGAGTGGCGGTCGAGGCAGAGGTAGCAGCAGGGGCAGCAGACTGGAAGTCGTCGAACTCGTCATCATCGTTAGCGGAGGCCGGAGCTGCAGAGAGAGCGGCGAAGCCTGAACCGTTTGAGGACGAAGGCACCGCTGCGGGAGCAGCAACGGAGGATGGCACAGGGTCGTCGAAGGAGAAGAGGTCCACCTCGGGCTCCTTCTTCTTAGGGGGCTCGGCTTTGGGGGCCGCCGCACGCTCGGGTCTCTTGGACCGAGACGCCGAAGAGCTAGCAGCTGGCCTGTCGCCCTCGTCGAACTCATCGTACTCCTCAAACTTGTCGTTGTGCGCCTGTGTCCTTCCATAGTCGTTGCTTTCCTGTCCGCCAAAACCGCCGCCGTCGCCGTAGACACCGCCGGAGTAGCCACCGTAGCCACCCGACTCGCTTCCGAAACCGCCATATCGGCTGCCGCTACCGCTCGAGAAACCGCCGCCGAGGCCCATACCACCCTCAACACCAGTGTATTTGTTCTTAGTCGCACGCGCCTTTTTACGTTCTGACCGAATTCGCTCGACGTCACCCAGGAGCTCGGCGAGCTCCTTGGCGCGATTCCGCACGTTAACACCCTGGTCCTTGCCATTCTGGTCGATGAAGTGGAATTGACGCAGCATCTTGAGTAGTGTGATATGACCGCGGGCATCGTCAATGACACGTTCAGAGCCGTGCTTGATGAGGAACTCAAGAAGCTGAAGGGCTTTGTAGATTTGGCGCCACTCCTCGGCGGACTTCTCTGTGAATCGGCGGTAAATCATGGGCATAATCTCGTTCAAGGTCGAGCTTAGAGGACGTCAGCGTTGCGAATCGGGTGGTATGGCTGGGGGGGGAGAGGTACTAATTGAAGGTGCCGTTGGCGATCTCCTGCATCAGTGACGAGGACGCGCCCCAAGGTTCGTTGTTGGTAGCTTCGCGAACCTGTATTTGTTAGATCGAGGACATCCGACAATTGATATCTTCAATGAACGAACCTTGGCCTCCATTTCTGTGTAGTTCATGACAGCTAATAATAGTCAGTAGGCCATTGTGGCATCGTAGACTGGATACTGGGTCATTACCATTTTGGACCTTCCGCACTCCGGCCTTGACGTCGTACAAGGTCAGGTTAGAGACGGAATCTTTGAGCTGATTCCAATCCATGACGGCGGTCGTAGTAGGAAACGCTAAGAGGAGAGACGATGGCTGCAGAAGGCAACTGACGGCACTGGTGAGAGTTGGAAAATGTTTCCCCTTGGGGTTCTTTGTCGACGTTTCAAAGAGATGCGCGACTGAGAGCAGTCCTGGCCACCTGGAACTTTCAGGCTCAGGCTCAGGTCGGCCTCGGACGGCGCGGCGGCAAGGGGGTACGTACCTCTCAGTAGTGTAATTCGCCGTGGTCCTTCCAATCAAATGGGGTCAGCCTGAGAAGGGAAAAAAGGAAGGGGCATGTGGGGAAAGAACAGTAAAGGAGGGAAAGGTCACGTGGTGACATGTCGGCCTACGTAAGCAGCAGCGACATGATGGCGGTAATTACTCGTAGAATGGTAATGACTAAGGTAGTGAGGTGCGGAATAAGGAAGGCACGGTAAGAAGCAGCAAGCAACAGCTCCCCTGGTCAACTGGCTGGGATGTGGGTCCGATGGTTGCGGTACTTGCCAGTTTGCAGCTCTGATCCGGAACAACCAGCGTTTCTCGAATGGAAATTTTCTTCTCAAAGCCTCAGATTGGGTTTTTTTTGGGCAGTCAATTGGGTTTCAGCTGCCTTCAATGCAATGCTGTGCCTTGGCAGCAGCTCTAGCTGTAAAAACAGAGTTGATGTCCTAATGATTGCGTAGGCCGCGGAGAGCTTCCATTTGTTGCTGCTGGCTGGAGCTATCCAAATTGGCTGGGAGCCCGTGCTCCAGCGGCAGGCCTGACAGCCGAGAGTGTGTTCCTCAGGTTGCGGGCACCGTACCGTGCCATCGGTCCCTGGCCTCACCAAAACTTTTCCCCCCCTGAAGAGCATCAAGATCATTTTTTCCATCAGCAGCATCAGATCTTTCATCGCTGGCCATCGTGTAACAACATTGCTACCTTTTTCTTCCATTTCTTACCTGTACCTTTATTCAACTGTGTAATCCTAGCTCACTGAGGTATGTGATATGGTTTCTTTTGTCGATGCTTGAATCTTTCCTTCACAAGCTTCCCATTCCCGCATACTCCGTACAAGCAAGTTTCCAGGGAACCAAAAGTTGGCTGGACGGTTGGCTCGGCTCCTATGCAGGTCAATTGAGTTGCCGGCTCTTAAGCTGTGGCTCTACTACAGCTCCCACAGCTTGACTGTTTTGTTTTTCCTGCCAGCCCGTCCCCAGCCTAAGCTCCCTAGTCTGGTTGCCAACTTGGACAGCTCCAAGCACGGCCTAACCGGCGGTGACAAGCCATCAGAGCAGTCAGTCAGAACAGACCAGGACAGACAGGGCGGAGCGACAACACCGGGACGGATGGATGGTGCAATCACCTCGTGGCCGATGCACCTCCTTTCCGGCTCGGCCTATCAGTCGTATCCCGTTCTGTTCTGTCCTGCCATGTCCACCGCTGTTGCTGCTGTGCCATCCCACACCCCGTTCACAGTACAAACGCCGTCCGCGCCATCCCCGCTTCCCAGACCCAAGATTCCACGAAGTTCCGAAGGCTGTCAAGGGCAACGTGGGCCAGTGGGGGACGGTGACTTGGCCGAGTCAACTAGAGTTCCCAGCTTGCTGTCTCTATCCCTCCCCCCTCCCCTCCTCTTGTCGCTCCAATAGGCATCGTCGTCGGGGGGCTGACGTGCATCACCTTCCTGCCCGTGCCGCACCGGGGTGTCAATGGCTTCGCTGGGTGGCTGGACAGCCGGAGGTATTTGCCTCTCGCTTTGTTGAGCTGCGAGCGAGTTCACTCAGGTACCGGTGCCAAATTGGCAGGGCGTTGCAGGTATATGTCTCTAATGATGAGACGAGCCTTGTTTGTCCAGTCATGGCTACCTACCGTTTAGGCTTGACCAGCACAACGCATAGGTACCTCAACTAGGCACTGACTAGAGTGTCGGGCTTGGGCCTTGTCACCTTTCTAGTCATTGGAATGGTTGAGCTCTAGAACCTTGTTTCCTGTTTTTCTTTTCCTTTTTTTATTATTATTATTTTATTTCCTTTGCTGTCTCTTTTTTTTTTCCCGGCTTCCCGTCAGGCTAAGCCTAATTGGGTCAAGGAGGGGTGTTGTCTTGATGAAGTCATTCCCCCTCAGAATGCACTTTCCAGCTCTGGGACAACAGCTCAACTGAGGGAAAACCAGAGCAACCAAAGGCAGACCAGGCCAAACGGAGAGAGGAAGGGAACGAGCACCCTTCAACCGATTACCCCTCGTTCCTTCCCTTTTCCTTCCGTCTCTGTTACATCCCCTCCACGCCACTGCCACGGACACGTCCCTTGCCCCGTCACAACGTCAAGCACAAAGTGGAGGAGGTACCGCCCATTGGCAGGTACATCCTTTCAAGTACCTTTCCTCAGTGACCTCAGCAACAGCTGACTTCACGTGACCAAAACCCCCCCTCTTTTCGTGTGTGTCGGACATCTGATTCGCTATTTCGGCATCCGCAGTGGAGAGCTTCGTGCGCTAACAATAAACCCCTCCACCAGCTGTTGAAAAAATGAGACCAACCCTTTTGCGACCCCTCCTACCCCGCCATAACCTCGCCTGCTTCTCCGTTTCACCCTCGCCCTTTTCTCGACCTTCCACCCTTCTTAAACCCCTCCGGTCATCTCCTCTGTCTGCATCTACCACCAAGCCATCCGTCAGATACTTCTCAGCATCTACAATCATGTCTGGTCCCCAAGTGTAAGTTTTAGTCCCCGTTGCCAGGCCTCTACGATGTGATCTGGATAGCATCACAAGCTCTCAATGACGCCATACTCATCAATTCTGCAGTTTCTTCGACCTCGAGTGGGAGGGCCCCGTCCTCGACGCCTCTGGCAAGCCTACCAAGGAAGTCAAGGGTAAGTCATCACAAGTCATCAAGTCCCATCGCGGAGCATCGTGATTTGAGCTCTGGTTGCTTCGAGCTGTTCAATGCTAAGCACCAGAGTGCTTGTACAATGCTCCGAGTCTCCCCACTCTCGCTCTGAGCATCCCAAACTCTGCGCCCTCTGTTCGCCTGTAACCCCCAATCCCCTCGGCAATCTTGACAGAATCAACCGAGCTCTGCTGACAATCATCCCATCAACAGAGCAGTCTGGCCGCATCACCTTCAACCTCTTCTACGACGTTGTCCCCAAGACCGCCGAGAACTTCCGTGCTCTCTGCACTGGTGAGAAGGGCTTCGGCTACAAGGGCTCTTCCTTCCACCGCATCATCCCCGAGTTCATGCTTCAGGGTGGTGACTTCACCCGTGGTAACGTACGTATTTTACCCCTCGTCTTGAATCGACCGAATTACTCACAGTCCGTAGGGCACTGGTGGCAAGTCTATCTACGGCGAGAAGTTCGCCGACGAGAACTTCCAGCTCAAGCACGACAAGCCCGGTCTGCTCTCCATGGCCAACGCCGGCCCCAACACGTAAGTTACATCCTCTCTGAAGATGCACCAAGCAATCGTCTAACACTTCCCAGCAACGGCTCCCAGTTCTTCGTTACCACCGTCGTCACCTCGTGGCTCAACGGCCGTCACGTCGTCTTCGGTGAGGTCGCTGACTCCGCCTCCCTGAACATCGTCAAGGCTCTTGAGGCTACCGGCTCCTCCAGCGGCACTGTCCGCTACGGCAAGCGCCCCACCATTGTTGACTCTGGTGCCTTGTAAACTGCCCCTCGTTCGTGCTTTGTACGTTAGGTCCGACCTTGGCGATAGTAGTCCGAGAGGAGCGAACCGCCAGGGAAAGATGGAGGATATTTGGTGAAGACTTGGGAAAACGCGCCGTCGCGCGTCTTGGCGGACTTCGGCACCGCTGCTGATAATTAGCTAGCCAAGACAAAAAGTTTGCTACCATTTTTGCTGCGTCTGCTCGTGCTCTTCGTGACTGTCAATTGTAAGCATGTCAATATGACGTTACCTAAATCTCGAGATCGTCCTACCTGCCACGGCGTCTCATGTAAATCTCAATGACGCAAGTGAATGGATAGACTTGATGTTATCGTCAAATACATGGATGGTATATTGTACAGCCAGCCAGGCCGCCATGAACTATTCCGCTTGGGAGGATTACAAAAATCTACCTCGACAAACCATACCGCCCGTGTCCTCTTTTTAATTGTGTCAACGCCAATGCAATGCTGCCGTGATGCGAATCAGTTTCAAGCCCAAACCCTCTCAAATACTCCAGACCGCCACCTTTTTCTGCTTTTTTTTTCTTTTTTAGGTGTCAGGTCTCTCTCTCCGCAGTAAATCATTCCAACCCCAGCCACCGCTGGAAGTAGACGCAATTGCTCGCGCTCACCGGTCCACCCTCCTCGCAGAGGTCAAACACGGGACATCTTCCACAGGGAGCCTCGGTGTAGCCATTGACAAACGGCTCGGGGCCTCCCTCGTCCGGACCGCCCTCCTGCCGCCCCGCCCAGCCCGCCGTGCTCTGTCGGGGTGCGCGGCACACTCTGTACCCCAGTCGACCCGCGACCCGAATCGGCTCGATGAGGCCATCAAAGACGAGCACGTCAATGAGCTTCTGCACGTCTTCCTCTCCCAGGATCGTGTCAGAAGTAATGCCCGCCTGGGAGATGAAGCGCGCAATCTCGCGGACGGTAGGGTACTCTTTGAATCCAGCGGGCAGGGGTAGACAGGCTGGCTCGCGCTTGGGTGGCGGCACCGCGGTCACGGCGGCCTTGTCATCCTCGCCGGATATCTCTCCCGCGGGCCTCTTCTTCGCCTTGTGGTCCAGTCCGCCCTTGAGGACGCCCTTCTTGGGCACGGCCGTCCTGACGGAGGTGCCAGTGCTGTGGTAGGTGCTCTTCCGCCTGATCTGGTCAAAGATTACACGCTGCAGCTCCTCGATGAAGGCCTCGTCGAGGGCGGAATCGGTGAACCAGGGACCGCCGGTGGCGCGCTCCGAGGGCCGCATGGAGGCCTTGATGAACATGCGCTTGTTGGGGTGTTCGACATTCTTGAAGGGGGCAATGAGGCCTTTGCCTTGCAGTTGCTTGAGGGCCGTCTTGAGGACCGAGTCGTGCATGTTGAGGCGGTGTTGGATCGTCTTGGACCAGATGCCGTCGCCACCTGCTTCGTCAATCGCGCCGTAGACCATGCGTTGTTCGTCCGTCGAGCATAGCTTGTACCTGCGACAATCAGAGTCAGCATGCGTTTTCGCGTCGCGTATTGCGAAGGATTTGGAGGGGGGAGAGGAAGGAAGGGACTCACTTTTCCGCATCTTCGACTGAGCGCCAGCGCCAGGCCAATCCCGTCTGCGACGAGACGGCGATGAGGAGGCGGTCATTGGTGAGGCTCTGCAGGACCTTGAGTAGGGTGACGGTGTCGCGGTTGGGAATCACCTCGAAATCGAGAATGTCGTACTGGGTGAAGAGGTGGTTCTCATCACCGGCCTTCTGAAAGGCATCGTATAGGGTCTCTTTCCAGACCTCGAGCTTCGAGTCGGTGCTCGAGGTCGTGGCGGCCGGCGACGGCGCGGAGGGTGTTGCGGCCATTGAAACGGCTACGGCTTTGTTAACCCCGGTCAGGTAACTGTCCGAGGGAAACCCGGGTTGTATTCTTGCGGTATCACAAGCAGAGGTGTATGTCGAGTCTTTTGTAGCAGGCGAGATATACGTTCAAATTGGTAGTGGGGTTGGCTTTGGGGTGGTGGGCTCTCTATTCTTTTTTTTTTTTTTTCCCTTCTGTCGCCCGGGGTATTGAAGCGCTTCTTGCGCCTGGAGGGGTTCAAGCTTTTTTTATTTTTTCTTGCGCCGGAGGGGTTCGTGAAGGTACGGACGAATTGGCGAATTGCTACATCTGCGTACGAAACAAGGAATCAATTATGATGGTCACCGATTGAAGAGCATTGGCGATTTGTCTGGATTGGGGACAAGAGGAGGAGGTGGTGGTGGTGGTGGCTGGAGTGTAAAGGCAGCAAAAGCGTCAGATTGTAGACAAAGTGACTTGGGTCGGCGACGATCGAAGGTGGGATTGGATTTCGGAGGCGCATCAGAGGCTAAAACGAAGGCGGGAAAAAAAGAAAAAAAGAAAAAAAAAAAAAGTTGCCCCGCCTCCAAAAATTCAGGCAGGGTCGAATGAGCTCGACGGCACATCAAATCAGCCTTGCATTGGTGCCGGATGAACTGCGGGTAGTGGGAAGAGGTGCTGGGGATGCCTGCTATGGAGGGGGAACAGAAGGGTCGGTACGTACCGGTCCGGTATAACGGATGGTGGAGTCAGAGGCGGATCAACCAAAGACAATTACTCTTTAGCTTTGCTTCGGCGATGATGATATGGAGTCCTGCTGGATTGTTTTTACGAAAGAATATAAACAGTGAGGAGTGCTAGTTCAGTTTCTAAGTATTTGTTAAATCAGGAAAGAATTGCGACTTGAGTTCTTGTGCGCCACACCTCTTTTAATGATGTCCTCGATCCCAAGTGAGTCACTGCCGGTTTGCTTAGAGCTCATCCAGGAGTCATTGCTGGTCAGCTTTGACACGAGGCTGCACAAGGTAGTCCGTCCAGGTTTGCCCTATCGTACTATTATACTGTGGTCGACCACTTATGACCCCCAATCATAGGACGAGTTCGACGCCCCGTTACATCAGGTCTTTTGAATTAGTCAAATCACAGAAGCATAATTTGTAAGTATAAGTAACCTTGGCTCACATGTCCATTTACCCAGTTTTATAATAGCCAATATCCTACTACAATCACATAAAGCCTTTGAATGGCTTGGCTCGTGTCAAAGTCTATTTGGTTCCCCATCATCATAGGGGACATTCTGATGCTACCAAAATTCTACACCATAATTTTAGCATGAAGCTTCCTTATTGTACCACAGTCATATCGTGTTCTGACATGAATACATTTCATAACTATTACGAACTACTCTCTTAGAGTTCCTTGTTACTATTGTGGTAGTTCCGGCGAGCCTGCTAGGAGTGGTATTGCTTCCGTTTGCTGGTGCGCCATGTCCCACCTCTACACAGAAGCGACTGACTGGCCTCAAGAGTTGAGGCCTCGAATGACGAAGTAAAATTTAAAATACTATGGCTATTTGAAGCCTTAGAATAAGAATATCAAGTTCAGTACTCAATCAACATCTGCCGAAGCTTGCCCCTCCCTTCCAAAATATCGACTTGGTATCGGCTAAATGACAGTCACGGCAACGAGCTTCACGAACACTTTGTGGCCAGACGGCAGCTGCGGCTAATCTATCGTATATTTTAAGATTATCTTTACACGTAGCAAATACTTACAACTTGACTTCAGACTACGGTAGTGTCGATGACTACTTAAAGATGGCACTCGACAGAGCCAGCTTCATACGGATTAAGCAGTCCATCACAATACCAAGCAAAGATGAAGTACAGTGGAACCTACTTAGCCGCCCTCGTGAGTCTGGCTTCCAGGTCTGTAGCTGTCTCATCAGCTATTCAGAACTCGACCGTAGAATGCGCCCCCTTGCCATCGGCTTGGCCAACATGGCAACAGCTTCCGAAGCAACCATCCCTTCCCGACCCCTTTTTACCACTAAAGTATATGACTCTTGACAACGCCAGCAGCAACCCATCTCAGTTCGCCACAGAAATCATGACAGGAAAGGGGAAGAACCGCATCAAAACCACCGAAGAATGGTACCAGTGCCAGCGTCCCCAATTTCTCACCATGCTACAAGAATACCAATTCGGATACTACCCAGACCGCTCCCAGGAAAAAGTAGAGGCTACGCGCAGCGGGAACACACTTACCATTGCCGTTACTTCAGGCGGCAAAACAGGTCGTTTCCAGGCATCCCTTTCCCTTCCCGCCGGAAAGGGCCCCTTCCCAGTGGTGATAAACATTGGAGGCATGCAGGACCAACCTTACCTGCAGTCCGGCATCGCGATCGCGAGATTCAACTACGCCAACGTTGCAGCGGACAGCGCCTCAAAGACCGGCGCTTTCTGGGACATTTATCGCGGGCGAGACATTGGTGTTCTCACAGCTTGGGCATGGGGCTTTCACCGCACCCTCGACGCTCTCATCCTCGTCGCCCCTGAAATCGATGGTTCCCGCGTTGGCGTGACAGGCTGCTCCCGTCTCGGCAAGGCAGCTCTCGCGGCAGGGCTCTTTGACGAGCGGATCACTCTGACGATGCCCATGTCGTCTGGTGTCCAGGGGCTAGGGCCATATAGATACTACGGCCTCAGCGGACAGGGCGAGAACCTTGAAAATTCGAAGCAAGGGGCGGGCTGGTGGACCAACAACAAGTTGGGAACTTTTGTCGGGCACTCTGAGAACTTGCCTTTCGATGCGCATACTATCGCCGCTGCTATCGCACCGAGGGCTCTGGTGATTGACCAAGGGACGGGGGATCCGTTTGTCAACTCCAAAGGAACGTCGGTTGTGGTATTTCCCGCTGCCAAAGCTGTTTATGATTTCCTTGGGGTTGGAAAGAAGATTGGGATTGCTGTCAGAGGCGGAGGGCATTGCGATATGAGTGGATAGTAAGTCCATCATCTGTCCCGATGATGGTTTATACTAACTGAGTGTAGTTCGAACGTTCTGCCGTTTGTGCAGGAAGTGTTGCAAGGGAAGTCGACGATGAAAGACTTTCATAGTCTTGGGACTTACGGTTCGCCTATGGCGAGTGCGTACCCCTGGGCCACAGCTATCCCGAAGTTGTAAGTCTGTCATTTTGTGGGCTGTTTCTGGACAGCCATAATGCAACATGTTCACAATGGGAAGAACCCGGCGTTGATGTGAGAGTCGTTCCTCCAAATTTGTGTTTTCCTCATGAATGGGACATTCTAGGAAATCGATTAGCACAAGTAGAAAGTCAAACTGCTTCCTTTCAGTCTCACTCCACCAAGCAACTGAGTCCTTGAATTTGTCCTTCTCCGTAGCTCCGAAGGTCCATTGGTGGACCGTCGTCCCCACCCGGCGGCGGGAACCGGGCACGGCCCCACCAGACGCATGAAAATCTCTTCACGTCAAAGCCCTAGTGCTTCATAAACGACTCAACCGCATCGGCATTCAACAACAAATGGCAGATCACCAGATCTGCCCGGCTAGCTCAATCGGTAGAGCGTGAGACTCTTAATCTCAAGGTTGTGGGTTCGACCCCCACGTCGGGCTCAATTCCCGTCCGCGATTGCGCGTTCTCTTTTTGGTTTTTGTGCAATATTGCTTTGGATGCCTGTGGGCTGTCTTCGCTGGTACTCTGCATAAGGGACTATGTTTTTTTCTTTATTTTCTGCCTGGGAAACCTGTGAATACAGACTTTGGCACAGTCCTCTCGACGGCATAGTTCATCAGCATAGGACTGAGTTGACCTGGCATTGCAGGTATGAGGACTGTCTGGGCCGCGTCCATCCTGACCCATTGATGTCGGTCTGACAGATGTACGCAAGTGTTGGTATTCGCTGGATCGATAGTAGTATCGCATTCGAACCAGAGGGTATACATGTTTTCTGTTGAAACTCCTTCATAGTGTGAACTTTTTGAGAATGAGTTAGGCTCTCCCATCTCCTTGTCCTACCGAGCCTCTCTCTTCGCAGTATGGGATCAAGCAGACAGCACACACAACAAATGAAAAGCTCAAGGATAATGGTTAGCGATCAAGTCATGAGACTGTTGTCTTCAAGTAACTAAACGTATGGAGTTTCAACAGAGCCGATGCATTTTGGTGTCCTAATCTGATACCTGTCTGCAACCTCGCCAAGCGGCTGGAAGCACTTGTACCGGTACTCGACAATTAGATATAGGAGACACAACTGAAAAACACGCTCAAGTCTTGTCTAGAATTAAAGATACTTTTAGACTAAGAAACCAAAAGTCACTGTCATCAAGCAGACTTTTACCGGAGACGGGGAAATAGGGATCTTCTACTCAAGAACTAGGAAGATAGTTGCATGGAAATCTTGTTTAATTGCCAAACTCTAATTAAAGTTACGCTTGCTTTCAGTCCAGATTAACGACTATGCAAAAGCGCCAACTGTGGCCATGAGTGAAGCACCGCCAATGACAGCCAGATAGGCATTGAGCCGCTTTCTCCCGAAAAGCGTCTTGTAGCTCTTTTCTGAAAGGAAATCCTCCGCCAATAGTTGCACAAGCCCCGCGAAGAGAAGCAGCCCTGCAGAAATAGCGTTCATAAAGCCTACCATGAGCAGTCCAGTTTGGCTCATCGGATCATACAGGTTATGCACAATTAAGCCAATTAGCTGACCGAGAGGCGTGGTACAACCGAAAGCAAGGACCATGAGCCATGGGCGCATGGACGATCTGGGCATCTGGATGGCAGCAATACGGCTGCCGAGGGCGAGCCCCTCAAAGGTTTGGTGGAAGCTGATGGCGATAAGGAAGACAATAAAGGTCGGGCCCGTGGCGACGGAGATGGCCATGCCGATGAATATGCTGTGGAACAGAATGCCTCCCTCTAGCAGAAGACACTGGCGCAGCAGTCGGCTTTGCTCCTCCTCTGTGACGATTTGCGGTGCACCCGGCGTGACAGTGATCTTGGGGCGGCCGTCCGAGGAGCTCCGGCGTCTTGGTCCCTCTTCGGACACGGGGTCTAGCTCGTCGACGTCGAGATCAATATCGGATTCATCGTCGTCCAAGCTGTCGCGCCCGTTTGCGAGCCTGGTGCTTGGTTTCGCATTCGTTGGCGTTGAGCTTGGCAAGGGAGAAGCGCCTGCCATCAGTCCCTGAGTCGACTCTATGTTATCCAGATTTATGTCGGTCGGTCGATGGACACCAAGTCTGCGCGACGCAAGACTGCCTGATCCCTGCCTACTCTCTCCTGATAAATCGTTTTGTTCTTCATCCCAGTACTCGTACTCGTGAGAATGGGAGTGGGAGTGGCCGGCACCGCGAGTGGCCAAGTATGATTCCAGGGCAACGACAGACAAGGCCGCAGTCATAGCAACCAGGCCGGCCATCTGAGGATAGCCTTTGTTGAAGACAGAGGGGAGGCATGGATCGGTGAGCGAAGTGAATGCCGTCGGCAGTAGATGTACAAAAGATGTCGCGAGAAGGACGCCGGTGCCAAAGTGTTGGCAGTAGAAGATGATCTTGCTTTGTGACCGGCCTTTCGACGATCTTCGGGGGAGGAGAGGGATGCCACATGCTGTTGTTCTCCCGTCAGCAAACCCACCTGGCGTAAATTGAATTCTGCCCGCGGAAACCATGATGATGACGACTTCCAAGACTTGATTGCTCTTGGTATTCAATCACCCCTCTTTGGCCTCCGGAGCCCGCATCTGTAGTTCAAAACAAGAAAAACTACTTACATATCGTGCTCAATGCCAGTATCAATATCAGGGCACCGACATGCAACGGCGTGTCGTAGGAATCCCTTCGCGAGGAACCACATTCCGGCTTGGCCGCGCCCGCGCCCGCGCTGGCCTTTTCGCTACCACCGTGTCGTTTAGAGAGCTCTGCGAGTAAAAGTTCGGTAGGTATTGAAGCCCACGAGGCGGCATCTATGAAGTCAGAAAAAGCAAGTCAGCACAAAAACGGGTGTTCCGGATTTCGAAGTTTTGCATGTGGACGCCATGACGCTGGCCGCCACTACGACAATACGAACCTCTCGCCCACACTCCAGTAGCTCCTAGATCAGCCATTTTGGACGGTTGTCGTTGGTGACGTCCAACTCAATATCATGGCTAACTGCGCACGACGGGGTTGTAGACGGTCAAAAGTGGAAATCCTAAAAGACAGAGTGCAAACAATAGGGGACACGGATCTTGCTTCGTCTTCGTCCAAAGTTTAGTTGCTGGCTTCAGGAGGACGCGGGACCCGAGGGGACGGCAACAGCAATAGCCAGCGGTTCGCTAGAGGACTGCAACAAGCCGTAAAAAGGACAGGGAGGTAGCTTGTGGCCCACTATATCATGATTTCCCCCTATTAAAACGTGCGCATCATGGGGGCCAGTCCCCCTGGAATGTCTGGAAACAGGGGTGATGGAGCCTGGGGACTGAATTAGCAGGTGAAGATCGGGCGGGAGTGGTGGTGCTTGGCAGCCCATTACAGGTGCAATCTGGGCTAAACGGTGCAACTGATACGTAATTGCCTACCGAAGCGAGGGGGCCATCCAGGGACCTTTTCGAGCTTAATCACCGCATCCGCACCGTGTGATGTCTTATCAGTTTGGGTCTTAGGTAAGCACCCCAGCTTGGAGCTACGATAAGATAAGAGCTATGACGAGAGCCTCGGAAGGATGACTAACCGATTCGCGATATCGGTTGTTAATCGCAACACAGCGCCCGGTCGTGATCTGTGACACATACTCCTCTCACAGCCCCCAACATCGTCTCAACCTCATCTCAGCACCTTAAGGGTTCTTCCGTGGCACTGAGAACCATAAAATGGCTGGATCACGTAGACTTCAATTGGCTGGATTAGCCTTGCTCGGCGGTGTTTCCGCCCTGCAGATGCAGCCGCAGGAACTTGGACAACAAGCACCGATGATTGCCGACGAGGTGCCTCTCGTCTTGACCTCTCCCTCGACCCCGTCCTCGTCCTCATCCTCGTCCGAGAAGAAGCCCTTGATTGATACCGAGGCACTCCAGGATACCATCAAGGCCGACAACCTCCTTGCCCGTGCGAAGGAGTTGTATGAGATCGCCAAGCTGGGCGAGGAGGAGTACAACCACCCTACACGCGTAATTGGAAGCGACGGTACGGCGATCCTAGCTACTTGTTCAAGATCGCATATGCTCACATTCACACAGGCCATTTGGGAACTCTGGATTACATCAACTTCAACCTTGCCAAGCTGGGTGACTACTACAAGGTCTGGAACCAGACCTTCCCCGCCGTCTCGGGCAATGTCTTCGAGTCCCGTCTCGTCATTGGCGACCATGTGCCCAAGTCTGCTTCGCCTATGGCCCTGACGCCGCCTACCAAGAACAAGGAGCCCGTCCACGGTGATCTTGTTCTGGTCGAGAACGATGGTTGCGATGAGTCCGACTACCCGGCTGAGGTGAGCGGCAACATCGCCTTTATTCGTCGCGGCACCTGTGCCTTTGGCTCCAAGAGCGAACAGGCTGGCAAGGCTGGAGCTGTTGCAGCTGTTGTCTACAACTACGAGAGCGAGACTGTCCATGGAACTCTTGGCACCCCCTCCCCTAACCACGTTGCAACCTTTGGCTTGGGCGGCGACGACGCCAAGCCCATCCTCAAGAAGCTCCGGAAGGACAAGAAGGTCGATGCCATTGCTTACATTGACGCCATTGTCAACACTATCCAGACCACCAACATCCTCGCCCAGACTACTGAGGGTGACCCGGATAACTGCGTCATGCTCGGCGGCCACAGCGACAGTGTTGCCGAGGGACCTGGCATCAACGATGACGGCTCCGGCAGCTTGACCTTGCTCGAGATTGCGACGCAGTTGACCAAGTTCAGCGTCAACAACTGTGTGCGCTTTGCTTGGTGGGCAGCTGAGGAGGAGGGTCTGCTCGGATCCGACTACTACGTCTCTGTCCTCTCTCCCGAGGAGAACAAGAAGATCCGTCTCTTCATGGACTACGACATGCTTGGTAGCCCCAACTTTGCCTACCAGATCTACAACGCGACCAACGCTCTTAACCCTACCGGTTCCGAGGAGCTGCGCGATCTGTACATTGACTGGTATAAGTCTCACGGTCTCCACTACATGTTCATTCCCTTTGATGGTCGCAGTGACTACGATGCCTTCATCAGAAACGGAATCCCTGGCGGTGGAATCGCTACCGGTGCTGAGGGCATCAAGACTAAGCTGGAAGCTAAGATGTTTGGCGGCAAAGCTGGTGACTGGTACGACCCTTGCTACCACCAGCTCTGCGACGATGTTGGCAACGTCAACCTGACTGCCTGGGAGATTAACACCAAGGTAAGCATGGCAGTTCTTTAGATTTGTGCTTCTGATGTACTGACGTTTTTCTAGCTGGTCGCCCACTCTGTTGCCACATACGCTCTGTCTTTCAAGGGCTTCCCTGAGCGTACCGATACGGCCGTGGCCTCTACCTACGCCAAGGAGACCAAGTACCACGGCAGCAAGCTCATCATCTAATATTGTCGAACTTCAATGTGTTGCAAAGCATCTCGCAATACGGTGTACAATAATGGGGACTAGCTACTGGGCATGAAGCATGAGCGTTGTGGGACGTTGTTTTAGTATCGCACAGAGCATTGAAATTAAACGAATAGCGCGCAGAGAGTAAATTGCATTTCTATAACATGGCCTTTCTGATTCATGATTGCAGTTGTCAGTTGTGTGTACAAGGGCTGGGTCTGATCTAAAATGCAAGTCTTGGTGTAAATGATACGCCCTACCTAAGCAAAGGAACAATCATACTTATTTCCCAGAGATGCCCTTCTCCTCATCTCTCCTCCGATGTCTCGGCCGGCCCAAGACAGCAAACCGTCTCCTCGCGCTTTTTTTCTCGCCAATGGCTGTCGTCATGATGGGCTGTGACAGAGAAGACCTTCTCTGCCTACTGAACTGCGTTGAAGCTCCCAGCGACGAAGGAGGCGAGCTCTTTGAGGCGGTTGACGGCTTTCTCCTCCAGTTTTCGAGGTAGTTCCAGAAGTTTAAGTACATTTGTTTTGCTTGGCCTAGCGTTATGAATTCGTAAATCTTTAGAGATACGGCGATGAGGAAGAGAGTGGCGATGAGGCTTAGAACTGCGTGAGTTGTAAGTATCGTGCTTCATATGGAGACGGGAGGATAATACTTACAGCACGCGAGAATCAAAGTGCCCGCGCCAATAGGGCTTGGTAATCCATCGATGCTGATTTCGAAGATGCCTGTGGCGAAGGATAGAGGCGTCTACGGCTGCTGTCAGTAGCTGTGCCCATGATAAGAGGTGTATGCACTTACGAAGACGACAGTTGCGCCTGTGAAGATGAAGAGAATCTTGGACTGCTCGCTCGCGGACAAGGCCTCCTCGATGTTCGCCTCCCGCTGCCTCAAATCCAGCAACGTGGTGATCTAGCACGAGGCGTCAGCAGTCAATCTTGCAAGTTTGTGGGGGGGAAAGCTTACCGAGTCCCGCACGCGATTCGCATCTTCCTCCAGTCTCTTGAAAAAGTCCAGTGTAGGATGCTTGAACGCCTTGCCTACGTCTTTACCATCTACGCTCTTTTCCTCAACGTCCGCCCGACGAAACTCTTCAAACACGCGCTCCTGAGACCGGAGTACCCGTTTGATCATGTTGATCTCCTCACGAATGTCGTCAATCTCCTGCAACAACTCGATCTCCGCTCGCAAATCGTCCAACACCGTTTTGGAAGTACCCATCTTCTTGATGGACGCCTTGAACTCCGCGTAGCGCTTCATTCCTTCGTTGGACTGGGAGGGTCAGCAACCAGGAAGGCCCAAACTTAGCATTATGAAGTGGTAGATAACTTACGACATGAGCAATGGACGCCGCAAAGACAGTGCAGTAACTCTTGGGACCCTCGAACTGGAAGTGGAACTCTTCCTCGCTGTATCTCACCGCGCTCTGGAGGATGCTTTCCACGATCCGCATCATGTCTGTGTCCTCAGATCGGAGATCCCTAATCCCCAGAACACGGTGCTTGATCTCGTTGAGAAGCGTCTTGGCATTCTTGTTATCCCATCGGTCAGGGAACGCGCTGATGATAGTATCTAGACCGTCAAACGCCATTAGCTTCTTTCACACACACTGGCTTCAGTCCTTACGATAAGCCAAGGGGAAAAAAAAAGGATCGATACTCACTCTCATCAATCCTCCAAACCCACAGCTGCGCAACACACAGAATCTGCTTCCGCCTCTCGCTATCCATCCTCCTCTTCTCCTTAGAAATCTTGGCCTGCACGCTACTAGCCTGATCCTGCCGCCCAGCCATCCTCCCCAGCTCGGCCTTCGTCCCGTCAGTCTTCTTCTGCTTTGAGCTCCCCTGCCTGGAAAACGTTCTCTGCGCCCGTCTTTCAAACGCATTCTGCTGATGCGACTGATTCTGCGTCGAGCCCAACGAATCCTCAATCAGCGGCTGCGGACTGGGCTCCTGCTCCTCTGCGCCATCAGCCCTCGCGGCCGCCAATCTCGCCTCCACCCGCCGGAGGTACCGGAAGAGCACCTGGCTCTCGTTGCGCGAGGCGAGGTCCGCGGCGCTGAGGGCTTCATGGTACGACTGGTCCAGCGGCCGCGGGACGTGCAGTTCCGACTTTGTGAAGCTGGCCCTCAACTTCGCCATCGCGTCGAAGTGCGCGAGGTGGGGGAACAAGTAGTGCTGGAGATTGGTCGGCATGGCGCTCAGCGGGTGTCGTCTCTGGACGTCGACGGGGACCTGTTTTCTCCTCTCGTTCCCTGCGCCGCCGACCATCTCCAGCGGGCGCAGGATCTTCGTCTCGTCGCCAATCTGCACATCCTGCAGGCTCCTCTTCGTGCTCTCGTCAATGTCAACGTCGATCACGGGCAAAACCAGGGAAAACATCCTGGACTGCGGCGGAGGAAGCGGCAGCACCGGCGGCGGCGTCGTCGGCCCCACTCCGACCCCGAGACCGCTGACTCCCGGGTGCACGGGCTCGGCGGTCGCCGCGACATCCTGCTTGAAATGCGGCCGGCGGTACGGCTCCCCTGTCCTCATCTCATGGAACGTCTCCTCGATGAAGGCAATGATCCGGTTATACTCCGCATCAGTCCGGTGGTCCATGGCGCAGATTCGCTGTACGAGATCCATCACCCACGCCACGTTATTCGCGGGAAGATGGAACCACCTCTTGATGGGCTTCTCATCCCTCACGACCCTCGGAGCATGCGGACTCCTGCGGCGCGACTGGTCGAGGTTCTTCCTCATGTCTTTCATCATCAACACCTTGGCGTCCCCGGTAGGAGGCGTCAGCAACGGGGTATGCGGGGGCGAATGCGCAGGGCTCGTCCTCGGCGAAATCAGCGGGCTGCGAGTCGGACTTTGCGCGGGGCTCCTCGCAGGACTCCTCACAGGACTTCTCGCGGGGCTCTTCGCGGGGCTGGGCATCGTCGGGATGGGTCTGGGCGACAGCCGCATCTCCGTCTCCGGGTCGTACAACATGTCCCACATGTTGAGACTATCGAAGCTGCAGTCGCTGGTGGGGCACCAGAACAGCCCGTTGAAGTGCCGGCACGCTTCGATCTCGGCGTCCTGGTTCGGCTTCGACGGGGGACGTACCCTCTTCGGCCGGAAGTTGGACAGGACAGACTGCTTCGGCATGACCTGCGGCGCGTTGAACAAGTCCGCGATCGAGTTCCGGTTCAGCAGCTTCGCCAAGCTCTGCGGCGTCTCGCCCGTTGACGAGATGACGGTCGGATCGGCACCGGCCTCGAGGAGGTCGCGGACCATGGCCTTATTCTCGTTCTTCACCGCGTGATGCAGCGGCGTGCAGTCCTCCGTGTCCCGAATGTTCACGTCCGCGTCCGCGGCGAGCAGACTCGCTACGACGGCGTCGTGCTCGAACATGACGCCCGCGTGGAGCGGCGTCTGGTCGTCCTTGTCCTGAAGGTCGACGTCCGCGCCGGCTGCGATCAGGATCCTCACCACGCCGTCGTGGCCTTCCGATGCCGCCTGGTGCAGCGGCGTGCAGTACTCGTTCGACATGCTATCCACATCCGCGCCCTGCTCGACCAGCATCCTGACAATCGCATCACGGCCATGCCGCGCCGCCACGCTCAGCGGAGTAAAGTCGTTCGCGTTCTGCGCCTCGATAGACACAAGGCCGGTCTCGAGCAGCATCATGATGACTCCCTCATGGCCTCCCCGCGCGGCATCATGGAGCGGCGTATCACCCACGGCATCCTTCGTCGCCGGGTTCGCGCCGGCATCCAGCAACACCCTGATGACGTCCTCCTGGCCGCGCCGCGCCGCGATATGCAAACTCGTCCCGCGGTCCTGGTTCGGCGCGTCCACCACGGCCCCGTTCTCGATCAGAAACTTTACAATCTCCGCGTGCCCCGTACGAGATGCCTCGTGCAGCGGCGTCTCGTGGAAACTCTCCTCGGCACGCACGTCCGCGCCGCTTCTCACCAGCGTACGCACGACGGACTCGTGGCCGTTGCGGCAGGCGAGGTGCAGAGGCGTGCACTTGTCGACATCCTGCACGTCGACGTCGGACTCGGGGTTCGTCGCGAGGATGGCGTTGACGATGTTATCCCTACCTAGGCGCGCGGCGTGGTGCAGTGCTGTCCGCTGGTCCTCGTCTACGGAGCGGAGGACGGATGGGAGTGAAGAGATTAGCTGGCGGACATGTTCCTCCGTGTCATTTGGGTCGGAGGGCCCCGAGGCTATTACTTCTATGAGTTGGACATATGCTGGACCGTGTTAGATTCGAATCTGATGGGTCAGAGAGGGATTGGTGGCGCACACAGACACACACCTTCTTTCATGGGGGAGTTCATGACTTTCGTTGTGGTCGAGGTTTAGTATAGCGAGTGAAGCCGATCCAGGTATAACAGCAAGATGGACAGAGAGAAACCGGGATACAAAGGTGAAACCACATAAAACGATAACAAACAACAGAAAAAAATGAGGAAATGCCGTCTATAAGCCGTTGACATGATGTGGGTGGGCGACTCGCGACGGCTCCCTCTGACTACCATCACGAAGCGGCTGACACTTACACGAGCAACAAGTGTGGACCTGGTTTGGCACACCACCAAGACCGCGAGCCGTCTCCAGACCAGTGCAAGCCGGAGGGGGCGGTGCGCTCAAGCTTGGCAAGATCTAAAGGGCTCCTCAGGCATGTTCCGCCGTCTTTTGTTTAAAGAGAAAGCCGCGCGGTCGCAAAAGTCATTAACACCGAATTTCAAGACACTGAAGGTTCTCACGTGGAGAGTCTCTGTTGTTGGGGTCACATTGCAACCACTACGAATGACCTAGTGTGAACATTTTTAAGCATTTCGTCGTCCAACCATTACGCATGACCTTTCTCCTCATCCTCTGCCTAATTATCCCCGCACCACACCTTTTTACCGACCAACACGGATAACTCCCGCCGCTACCAGCTTTTGGATCTTTGATCTGATGTCGGGGTTCTTCATGTGCTCCGTCAGCGCAGCCGGGTCCGACTGCGCTTGCTGGAGGATCGACTGCATGATGGGGTCCTGCATGATGCTCATGATCTGTTGCGAAATTGTTAGCGCCCCAAGTACGGGTAGAAGGAGCTGGGGATAGCGTTGTCCGCTTATAACTTACCTCGGGATCGCGCGCCAACCGCTCCCGCGTCTGATCCTCCGTCTCGTTCTCGCGCGCCGAGTACATGGCGTTGAAAGCCTTCTGCTGCTGCTGCTCAATCTCGCGCGCGTTGGCGCCGTTGTGGTGCTCCAGGTCGACCTTGGCCGCCTCGGTGCATGCGTCAACCGACTTGGAGTACTCGCGCATGCCGAAGAAGGCCTGTGCCTTGCGGATGTAAGCACGAATGAAGGTAGGGTCCTTCTTGATGGCGGTGTTGCAGTCCTCAACGGCGCTGGGAAACTCGAGGAGCTTGACGAACGCCGCGGCGCGGTTGCTGTAACCCCTGGGGTCATCGGGCGCGCGCTTGATCATCTCGCTGTAGGCCGCCACGGCGCCAGGCCAGTCGCTCTCCTTGAACTTCTTGTTACCCTCCTCACGCGCCTCCTCGGCCTTGGCGGGGTCGATGTAGGCAAGACGCGCCTGCTCCACCTTGTTGCGCTCGGCGGCGCGCAACTTGGTGTTGACATCGGGCGTGCGGTGCTCGGTAAGCGACTTCTTGTAGTTCTCAATGGCAGCGTCGAGGTTGCCCTGCTTCTCGTAGGCGGTTCCAATACGAGCGTAACTCTTGGCGATCGTCTTGAAGTCGGCGTAGATGGCGCGACCCTCCTCAACGGCCTTTGTGCAAGCCTCAATGCACTTCTCGTAGTCGCCCTTCTCATAGTAGGCAGCACCGAGGTTGTTAAGGTAGGTAATGTCCTTGAACAGCTCCCAGGCCTTGCTGTAGTGCTCGATAGCCTGGTCGAAGTTACGCTTCTTGTAGTTCTCAGTGCCCAGGGCCTTCTCCTTGTCGGCGGCTTCCTTGGCCTTCTTCTTCTCCAGGGCCTCCTCGTCCAACTCTTCAGGCTCGGGCTCGGGCTCAGGGGTAGGGGCCTTCTTGGGAGCAGGCTTCGACTCGGTGGGCGCATCGGGCATCTCGGTGTCCTTGGAGGCGCCGGGCACGTCGTCGGGCATGCCCATCTGCATGTCGACGCCCATGAGGACGCCGAGGACCTGGAGCATGCGGGGGTCGCTGAACAGGTCGGGGGAGGCCTTGGGGTCCTTTTGCATTTGCGCGAGCTTTGCCATGAAGGTGGGGTCGGAGAGGTAGGAGCTCGTCTTGGGGTTTGCGGCGAGCTTCTGGAGGAGCTGGGGGTCGTTGAACATGTTGCCGAGGCCAAGGCTAGGGTCACCAGCGTCTGTCATAGTCAGCATGGCAGCCATTTAGCAAGTCCAAGTGTGTATAACTTACCACCACCGGCCTCCGCCTTCATAGCCTTCTGCACGGCGGCGAGATCCTTCTTCAGACCAGCGTTGCTAGGGTCAACCTTGAGTCCCTCCTCGTATGCGTCGTTGGCACCGAGAAGGTCGCCAAGGCCGTACAGCGCAGTTCCCTTGCGTCCCCAGCCCTTGGGCCAGTCAGGCTTGATCTCAGTCGTCTTTTCGGCATCTTCCAGGGCGTGTTGCCAGTCCTTCTTTGAGGCGTAGGCGGCAGAACGGTTGCTGTAGAGAATGTGGTTGTCGGGCTGGAGCTTGATGGCCTCGGTGAACTTTTCACTGGAAAAGTTGTCAGCAAATGAAGAGGGTATCTCAAACTGCCAGGTTAAAACACTTACACAGCCTCGTCAAAGTTCTTCTCGGCAATGGCCTTGTTGCCGAGAGCCTTGAGCTCGTCTGCGGAAGCCATATCAATATGTGTGTGTGAGATTTTCTGTATGTACGACTTGGGGGTTTAAAAAAAAACAATGACAGAAACTTGAATTAGAATCGCAACGTTGAGGGTATTTTCAGGGTATTTGGTTCAATCGTTGGAAAATTGCAGAGAAAGTTGAAGTTTCGCCGTGGGGTGAGGCAGGCGGGACGAAGGCAGAAAGAAAACAGCCCAAAGCTCACCACCCGGTGCCTTCTAGCTGTTTCGATGGTTGGAGCGGCAGCGCTTGCTGATTGGATAGGAGGGGCCTAGAACTGGCCAGTGCGGGTGGTGGGGTTCAAGGCTGAGCCCAGCTCGCCTGCCACACCTTGTCAGTTACCCCTCACCTGTTCACCTCCCTCACCTCGGTGAGGCCACATCTTTTCGGTGAGGAATCAGACCGATAATCCTGGTCAGTCTCCGTCGATGGGAAATACACAACGGATGGGTATTGTTCTCGTGTACGGATAAGCCTGTAAAGACCGAAACCCGGTCATTGATTCGCAAATCAATTCACACTAAAAGTATCTGTTTAATCCGCATTCTCAGCCATAGCAACAATGCTAAACTCCAAATTCCCATCCGCAAACTTTAAGAACCTCTTTATGCCACTGTCAAGTGCCTTCTCACTAAGCATATCATCCCCGTCATCCAACAATCCCCGATCGACGGGACCATCCGAATCACCCTCCAACTCCCACAAATGCCCATCCTTGCCCTTGACATACGCAATGAAATGATAACCGGGGTGTTCATCGAGAGGCGGCGCCGTGTCTCCCCGTCTGGCAGCCTTCATATGCGCCTCCTCCAGCTCGTCGCTCTTGTACAGCACATCCGCCCTAGGCTCCCAGGCCAGCGGCTCCGCTTCTTTAATGAGACGATCCATCAGCGAACCCTCCTCAATAAATCTGCGATTTCCGCCATTGGCCACGGCATGAATTAGAGCATACAGCCCACACGCGTTCCCGAGTGTCTGGCGGAACCACAAGACGGGTTCGTCGGCGCCGGAGCCGCTGTATGTGATGCCGTGCTCCTTGGCCGTGCGGGTCCCCTCTTCGGCGCGGACTTGGTAGTACATTGGCGACGGGGTGATGAAAATGAGTGCGAGGGCCGGGCGGGGCACGAGGTCTAAAAGGGCAGGTTCGTCAAGACTGTAGACATCGTAGAAACCCACCTTTGGGGAGATGCCCAGGTCGTGGATTAGCGTGGTGAATACTTCCGGGTTGTTTTCGAGAGGGATGAATGTCTTTTTGCCATCGGGCGTAAAGTAGACTCCTTCGACAGGCATTTTGTTTGTGGGTTCTGCTGCTGCTGCTGCTTCTTCTTTTTCTTCTTCTTCTTCTTCTTCTTCTTTTTTTTTTTTCTTTTCCAGAGTTTCCGCTTTGATAACAATGATACGGATACCAATGGTGGATTGATCGTGGTGCTAGATTAGGACATGGTTTTAGGTATCCTCCCAGGTACTCATTCGACTTACATACAAACAGGTGCGTTTACGCAACCCGTGCCTGCCTAACCCCCCACCCGCTCCCTGATTCGCCCGCTCATCCAGGTTTGGCAAGTACTAGTAATATGGTGGGAGCTCCGTGGATTGCATCACAGTGGTATTTTTTAATACGTAACATTGAGTTTCAGAGTTCAAATTCATAGCCGGAAAGAAAGACCGAAGTAGTCAACCGAACCCATTACTTCAACACTTGAAGGTTTAGCGGCCATCTGAAGACATCGCCCAGCATCCAGTAGCGGGCGTTTATGCTCATAATCATCTTACCTGTCGGCCCATCTATCACTCTTTTCGTTTCTTGTTGATTCTTTTTCTTGATGAATGTTATCGCGTGAGCTTCCCACTTTGGGTTTGTTTGCCCTCCACTTCCTGGAATGTGAAATAGGCCTGGCCAGTTGGGCAACCCTTGGGGAGCTCCGGAACCCAGAATGCCAATTTCGTCATGACATTCTCTTGAATTAACGAATTCGTACCCACATGTTCTCCCCATCATCATCAACGCCATTATTCCGACAGTTTAGCCCATCTGAGCCCATATCATCGAGAGAGCTTTACGTGGAGACTCTCCCATAGGTTTTCCAGGACTGTTCCGAACTTCTTCGGACTTTTCCAGCTCTATAAGGTCCGAAGCCCCGGTTCGAAGTGCCATTGCTCCGTACGGCAAGGGTCAATCACCCAATCGAGGCCGCCTCGGCTCAACCATCCCGTCGGCTGTCATGATCCCACAGCGGCATTAGTGGGAAGCTCCCAGGGTGAAACTGCTCCAGAGCTCCTGCAAGTCACCCCAGCAATAGCAAGCACGGGCCAATAAGGGTATCCCTTTTAATCAGCCAGCATTCCCTCGACACCCCGCCAACCCACCCTCTGAAGCTTGCTAGAATATTGGACCAAGCTCCGAAAAAGACGTGCAGCTTCGCCTCCGTCACGCAACCCCGGAGCTTTAAAGGGCAAACGCCGTCAGCGAATCGTACGACTTTTTTCGTGTGTGCCTCTGGTTCGACCATATATCAAGCTCTCTCACTTGCTCGCTTCCCCCGGAACGCCGCTATCGCCCGTTTCTCAAAATGGCGGGATATCTCTTTCTTGTGGTTCCAGCCATCTTCATCAGCCTGCTGTTGTCGAAATCACCCTTCATGATGTCCAGCAATCCGCGATCCGAAAAGCTGTGGGCGGACGCCCCCATGGCACTTATTCCGACACCACAGTACGTGACCAAAAAGGTAGGTTGAAATCGGTTCGTCTGCATTGGCTGTAATAATCGGCCCTATGGGAAGAAGCTTTAAACTGACGGGAGCCCATTAAGTAGACCGATCTCTTCACGACGGGTGCGACGCACATGTGCTTGCTGCACAATTCCATCCTGCGCGGATACAACTCCATCTACAACCAAGCCAACGGCATCCAAGAGGCCGACAAGGCCGATTTCATCGGGTATTCTCAAGCTTGGTTTAAATTCGTTAAATCACACCACGACGATGAGGAAGTCTCGCTCTTCCCCAAGATCGAGGACCTCTTGAAGGACAAGGATGTCTTTGCCGGCACCCACAAGGAGCATGGTACGTACTTGATGCTGCCGGAGTCATATCGACGGTTCCAACTAACACGACATTTGACAGAGTCTTTCCTTGGTGGTCTCGGCGAATTCAACAAGTACCTTTCCTCGCTGTCCTCGCCCTCTGACTTCTCCGGCACCAAGCTCCAGGAAATCATGAAGACCTTTGAGGGAGCGTTCCAAAACCACTTCCACAGCGAGATCCGAACCATCGCCAACCTTGCCGATCACCCGAACGCGCCGAAAGAGGGAACACCCGAGGCCGCAAACGCAAGCCTGACGTTCAAGACGTGGGGCAAGAGCACCGTGACCAAGGCCGGCACGGCGGATGTGGTGCCGTTTTTCCTGCTCAACCTCGACCGCACGGCGGAGGAAGGAATGTGGGCGAACTGGCCGCCCATGCCGGCGCCGATCAAGTGGGGTCTGATCAATATCGCTGGTGCATGGCACTGGGGCTGGTGGAAGTTTGCCAGCTGCGACGCGTCGGGCCACCCGAGAGAGCTGTATGCGTTGCAGACGGTGCAGCTCGAGGACAAACCAAAGGCCGAACTATAAAAGCTCCTTCGTCCAAGAATGACTGAAGTGTTTGTACGTTCGTGGGACGATGATTTGGCGTTCAAGGGAGTTTGGGTCTGGGGAATCCCTCACTTGTAACAGAAACATTGAGTTAATCAGAAAAAGCCAGTTCCTTTTTCGTTAATTTGATTTCCCTTATGCCCCGCTGGGGACACGGTCAACGCACGCCATGCTGAGATGTTGGCCAAAGCTTGCATAGATGGGGGAAATAAGTAAGGAGGAAGAAGAGGATCCTTCAGCGAAAGGTTAATGTCGCTGGGTTCAACATCTGGCGGCCGCAGATACATGAGAAAAAATACCGGCGAAATTACCCAGCTGAAGACCAATTTTGCTGCAACGCACCGGGACCCCCTTGTTGCGCCCTTCGTTTTCTCCACCCAGTAGCTCTGAACCTTGATTTCACTCATATTCTCTTCATAGACGAAGGACATGCAGCATCCAAGCCTAAAGCATCACGACCGGCAGGCCAGCCTGGTTTGCGGCGACGGAGATGGGGGATGGTGATTCGACGAGACGGCCGCCAATGGTGCAAAATCTCGGATATGTGAGGCGAGGCGAGGGAACTACAATGCGACGTAACCCCCCCAAAAGACAGCCGCAGATTGCAGACGCAGGCGCCAGGCGGTACTCCGTAGAGGCTCGTCTCGTCCCCCAATGGACAACGCATTTGAATGGGGCTCTGCACGGTAACATTGCGGATGGGGGGATCTGATGACTGAGCCATGGTTGGACCAGGGACTCTCGTTGTCGTCCCACGACGCTAGGACACAGCAAATCTGACCCCGAATCTTTCGCAAACACTCTCAATATATCACAGGGTCGATCAGCGGCGGCGCCGAGGGTCTTGGCTAATTCAATCGTAGCGGTCAACAGATGTATAGCTTCCTTCACGGCGATCGCAAGGGGTCCTGCGGGGGGTTGTACTAGTAGGGGCGAAGAGTACCACAACCGTTATGAAAGCCGATGTTTTGTCGTGTCTCTGATCTTGCTGGAAAGGCGGGCCAGCCACCGAAAGATGAAGACGCAGAGTGCTGCAGTCGATGTCTTGCCGCCGTTCTTGGCATGTGTTAGCTGGAGAAGACCGCAGTGTTAGTTGTACAAGTTGGGGCCATTGCAGGGCATCTCGACCTTCTTGTTCGCGAAGATCAGCCCGGCGCTGACAAGGGCAAGACCCCTGGAGGTACATCAAGTTTGCGTCGGCCGGTCAAGTTGGTTGATGACCACGTTCATGCTTGGTTTCCCAGGATGGCTTGGTTGCCTTGTTGGTGCATCTGCACCTAGTCTGCAGTAACGAAAAAATTGGAAGCTGCCTGATGTATGAACAAGCCCCAGAAAAAAAAAATAGAAACGAATGCTACTATGTAGGCGGGCGCTGCATGGCTCAGCAGATGGCGGGAGCCAACATCGGAAGCTGAAGAGGAGGGGGGGATGAAGCCACTCACACATCGAGGCCAAGCTGGAAGGTTATCGTACAGGAATCAGCCGGGGGTGGGGAGAGGATTACTGGGGTGGCAGGAGCATTTTCAGATGCCATTGGACCTTCTGGCGATAAACTTGCTCAAACACACTCAGAATGTGCGAGGCAGGAGCCGATAGCACATTTCTTGGCTTGGCCCTTCTTATTTTTATTTTATCTTTATTTCTTGTCGCACCCACTCATGCCTTCCTAAACGTACGATAGCGCCTGCTGCAGGTCCTTGGGGCCTCGAACCTCTCTGCATCCGATGGGACTAACCACGCCCAAAAAAAACCTCTCAAACTGTCTTATTCGTTGGTTTGCCTTCGTTTTGAGTCACCAGTGCAACCTCGTGGCGTCTTTGCTGTCGTCCCAATTGCCTCCAAAATGCTCAACAGTGGGCTCTCATCTGATGAAGCAGTCGACATGCTTGTTAGTTGCCTTCCTTGCATCTACACCGGCCGAACCCACCCACCCCCGTCCTCCTCTCCTAACTAGGTTCTCCCCCCCAAAAAGGGTACAGAGTACTGAATCTTACATGCCATTTTCTCAGACAGAGACCCTTGTCTGTTTCTCGGGAAGGAATCTAGCGCAAGTGGGTACACAGGCGCCCTTTCTTCCATGGTAGAAGAGACTGATGATTCTGTCCTTACCTTGTGGCCCAGAGGCCATATATAACTCCTACCTGCAGCACTGCAGCCCTTGGCTTTGATCGCCTTTTATTTTTCCCCAGCATCATCTCGCCTTGACTGCAACAAGGAATACCCTGTTAGCTCGATCCGGCGTTAGGTTGTCATCTTGGACAAGCACCTCTTATTGACTAGGCCGAACGTCCATTCCTAACTTCAATATCGACAACCACCAACCAAACCGACACAATGGATCACAACCACATGGCCTCGACTACAGGTGCCATGGCTGCTACTGGCACCATGACTGGTATGGCTGCTTCTGCCACTACCAAGGCTGCCATGTCTGGTATGGGCGGAGGCTCCTGCAAGATTTCTGTAAGTCGCGAGTCCCATTCGATGTCAAACATCACCACTCTTCTGCCACCGTCAAATACAGCAACTAGATTTCTAATCATTTCCAATAGATGCTTTGGAACTGGAACATCATCGACAGCTGCTTCATTGCTAGATCATGGCGTATCACTTCCCACGGAATGTTCGCCGGCTCATGTATCGGCGTTATCCTTCTCGTCATGTCCCTCGAAATGCTCCGCCGTGCTGTCAAGGAATACGACCGATACCTGATCCGCTCCCACAAGGCCCGCTGGGTCGCTGCCGGTGCCGGTGCCCCTAGTTCGGAGAGCGCAGGTGATCACGGAAAGGCTGGCTCCAGCTCCGCTGTCGCTGCCGCCAACGCCGTTGTCATCCCCCCTTTCCGACCCAACGTCCTCCAACAGGCTGTTCGCGCGCTTATTCACATGTGCCAATTTGCCGTTGCCTACTTTGTCATGCTGTAGGTTTCTCTGGAACCCTGATAAAATAAGAAGACTGGCCACTGACCGTTCATCTAGGCTCGCCATGTACTACAACGGATACCTCATCATCTGCATCTTCATCGGTTCTTACATTGGTTCCTTCATCTTCCAGTGGGAGACGCTATACGACGAGGCGACCTCTGCGGCTAGAGAGGCCACTGTCTGCTGCGGTTGAGCAAGGAGCGGAACTTATTCGCCCGGAGGAAACGATAATGGACGGCAAAGAAATCAATGATACCACATTCCACCAAGCCTTGGGTGCTTATGCTTTAAATAGATAGTTTATAGTTAATCGTCTAAGACACTCTCCAATTACCACGCATCAAACAGACCTTGGGTCGTAAAGACACGCACAGCCAATCAATGGCACACAGATAACTTTCCAAGTCCATTTCACTTTGTGCGGGGAAAATTAGTAGTCTCATGAGGAACCTCGCCATATCAAATACTCGACAGTTTGACAGTGCTTAGAGGGTGTTTGGAATCTGATATCAATGACGATGGAAACGTTCGGCAATTTGACATCCTGTTCGTAACTATATTCCTTCCACTTTTGTGAATGTTCTACAAGCATGCCAGCGTGTATCGAGCGACATTATCATCACTTATTAACATGGTGTTTAATTTAGTATATAATGGGTTTGCAAGCTAAATCCAACTTCTTCACATCTCTATGGTAGTAGCAGTCGAAGGTGACCTATACGAAGAGAGACAACCTTCAGCGCTCTAGTCTAGAGTCTTAATACTTATTGAAGGCAACCAAGCTAGTGGAAGCCAGGTCTTGTGCTCATATGCAATATAGTTGGTCTAGTCGTTTCTTGTAACTCTATTAAACCCCAGGTCCAAATTATAGGATTATGGCCTAGCATCTGGCGCAGGCTAAATTCAACCGCATAGATCGCTTTGAGTCTTTTCAAGCGATAAAGCAAGTGTGTAACCTGCTAGTACTGGTTTGGATCATGTTGTGTAGACTATAATGCATTAAACAAGCAGGCCCAAATTGGCTTGCCGCCTGTATTTCATTTCGTAACGTAATGGCAAGGCCGAAGTCCTCAGGTATCAAAAAGTTTTTCTCGTGGCCGAAAGTAGCTGCTGGTCAGGTACAAGATGTGATGGAAGGCGACGATCCCTTTTATGTTTTCGCCAAGTGAAGAGAATAGTAAGCACAAGAGAGTCCGGGTATACTGTGGAAAACGCAACTCAAGTCCTTTTGCAATGGTGAGACTAATCGAATCAGAGTTGAAAAAGTTTTAAGAAACACGCCGCATACTTTGTGGAAAATGGGATATATTATCTTGGACTGAAATCGCAGTTTCTAAGAAATGCACTCGAGCCGTTTATTGGGGGAAATAAAATGTACCACGATTCCTTGAGGATCTGCGGTTAAACCATCCACATACAGACATCAATGGTGCCTAATAGCCCTTCTAACTAGCATATTGCTGTCCGCAGGATCAAATGCTCCCACATGGCAGAAAAGGCTGCGCATATGCCGAGCCTGGACCATGCTGTCAGCATTTGGCAACTTCTCCCATGGGTATGGATTGACTGATAGGGGCAAGGAACTTGTTCACCAGCCTTCCACTGAATACTCGCTAGAAGCCACCCGGAATATAGTTTTTAGAATAAAGATGACCAAAGTGAATGCGTTAAAGTGTACGCACTTAGCCCGTATTCAATTTTCACAGTCAAAAAAATCAAGAGCACAGCCCCAGACGCATCATTGGAGACGCGTCCAGCGCAATTCAATATCCTTTCCATCAGGCAGACACTATATAGCCAGACGCCAGGATCGTACAACTACTGCGGACTTTTCGTAGGATACCGATCCTGGCACGCTGCCCGCTGATTTTGGGGGGTAAATATGCCAGGATTCGCTTACAGAAGCATTTCGCGTAGACGAGATTAGCGTGATCCTACGTGCACAGCCTTATAGAGGCAGGGATCGGACTTTTGCCAAGTACCTGAAAACTCCGTTCAACATCTCCATCGAGGGGCATCGACCAGTGGTTCATTCCATGAGGAATAAGTTGCATGCTGGCCTAACGTGAAGAGACCCAAGCCTTCTTAAAACTGCCCGCAGTAATTGTTCCAAATAAGCTGCATCCGTTATTAAACCTTCATATCGCGCCTTTTGTCATCATCTTCCTCATCCGTGAACCGTTGAAGAAATTAAGGCGGGCTTGAATGCAAAAGCTCACTAGTGTCCTGGTATCAGATCGTTCATCATTTGGTGTGTTGAGTGAACATCAACGACAAACCAACATCGATATGGCCTCTACTTCACCGCCGCCGGCGTCGACAAGCCGCTCTACCCCAGAGCAACCCCGGGTACCGCCCGTGGCTCGATGGGGTGCCGCTTGTGCGCCCTGTGCAACGGCAAAGGCAAAGTGTCTCCGGTCCAACACAAACCCTAATTCCAAGTGCGACAGGTATGTTTAAGCATTTCTATCCACGCGATATACATAGAACGGACATTTCAGAAGAACTCCGAACCCGTTTCGTATGCGTCAACGCATCCGATCCTGGTGTCAGTCTTTCAGCCTCCATAGACAAACTAGTTTCAGTCAGAGAAATCCTGGGCGAGAGACCCTTTTCGTCTATGAATTGCCCTTTTGGGACATGTGGCTAACATGTTGGACCTTTTTGGGGCATTGGCAGATGCGAGAGACTGATTAAGAATTGTACAAAGCAAGTACACAAGCCGAGGAAGAAGAGACAAAGTAAACCTTCGTGAGTACACACCTATACTTCAGTAGTTCTAGCACCTGTGGTCTATTGTGCACTGTGAACACCATCTTTCTTGTCTAGAGGCAAGCCACATAAATTACAGTTGGATTTGGAACCCTTAACTGAGAAGGGATACCAATGACCCCCATTGCTAACATAAAAAACTACAGAAAAGCCACCCAAATCGAAGAGCGCTTGGATCGTCTTGTAAGTTCCTTGCGGGTATCGGGCAATCTGTCTGCGATTTCGAACCATCTTGATGGCAACCAACCGGGTCCTTCATCTAGGCGACCCAACCTGGTGCCCAATCACTCTACAACGCTACCCCCCAGTCACCCCAGCTTCTTGACACAGACCGGCTCGTCCATGTGGGAGCCAGCAAGCCAGATTGACACTGGCCCTGTTCATATTCCCGAAACGTACAACTGCTTCGTTCCGCCAACATGCATATGCAGAACAGAGCCAGGTGAAGCCCCTGGACCTCCTGACACGGATGAGAATCTGCTCGCCATCTACCGGGAACAAATGACGCCAAATTTCCCCTTTGTGGTCGTTCCGGAGGGGGTATCAGCCAGTAGTCTTGCAGCAATGAGGCCATTCCTTATGGCATCGATCCGCATGGTCGCATCTTTCTCAAGCCCAAAATCGATGCGCGGGCAGATGTACCGTCTTTTGAACCGTATTGCCGATCATATGCTACTAAGATCCGAAAGATCTCTAGATCTCCTGTCAGGTTTGGTCGTTATTCTCGGGTGGTATCATCATCACTGCATCGCCCACGCTCAACTCAACAAGCTCATCTCTCTTGCGGCATGCCTCGTGGGAGAGCTAGGATTGAAGCGTAGCCCGAGTTTACCGGAACGAACGAGACTTATGGTTATGCGCCCCAGCGAGTTGAGGGAGAGAACGAACGAGGAGCGGCGGTTATTGCTGGCGGTTTGGTATCTTAGCTCTTCGTAAGCCAACGAATTCCTAGATGAAGAGGCCGTAAACTGACTAAACAGAATTTCGTTGGACATCCAACAGATCGATCCGATGAGGTTCTCAAGCTATGTGCAGCAGTGTCTTCGCGAACTCGAAGAGTTCAGGGAGCTCGAATCGGACATGCATCTAGTCTACATTGTACGGATTCAACGCCTCGCAGAGAGGATCTCGCAGATTAGGGGCAATGAAGATGGGGACGAGGAGACGCCGATTCCCAAAGCACCGATCTCTGCATATGCATCAAGCTTCCAGGCCGAGCTGGACAAACTGCAGGACCAGATGCCTCAAAGCCTGCAAGATAATTGTAAGTAATGGAAGCCAAATCATCTAGCATGCTGCGACTGACACAAGCGTGCAGATTTTCTCAAAGTCAGAATGGCAACAGCCCGACTCCGGCTCTATGAGCCACCAACCATCGACGCCGACCTCCTCGCATCTCTTTCAAAGTCTCTCACATCCCTAAGCTCCAGTTACAGCTCTGCTCTAGATATTTTCTACCAGGCCAACGCCGCGTTGAAAGCATGGTTCGAGGTTTGGCTGGCTATACCTGTGCCGGCCTTCTCCACCATGCCTCTGACCCTGGCGTCACACATGATTTTTGCAGTGGTGATGATGAGCCGTTGGGCATGGCTGGCCGCAAGCAACAATAGCACGGCGCAAGAGCCAGCGGTTCCCGTTGACCCATCGGCCGGGGACCCTAACGTCGCGCTTGCGGCTATGGAGGCGGCAATCGGCCCCAACACACCAGTCTCATCCTCGACGCCATCTACGACCTCCAAGGCCACGCCGACGTGGGATCCGCCAATTCCGGATAAGAACCTGCCTCGGGTTCTCGCTGATATTAGGGCTCAGCTTTCGCGGCAGCCGGAGCTGATGCTCAATGTTTCTGACATCCTCCACAAGGTTGCGGACCAACTGGAGGAGGTCGATGCAACGATGGCGAGGGTTTCTGTTGAAGATGGACCGTGGCGAGGAAACATTTGGACCCTGGGGGCAACAAAAGTGCGAATCGCACAGTTGAGGCAGAAGAGATGGCTGGACTTGGTGTCTGGGGGTCTCGAGCAGCATGATGGTGACGAGGAGGATGAGACGGATGAGCAGGGGGGTTTGGGTGAGATTGATATGGAGGAAAGTATTGCGGCGGGTCTTCCCACGATGGGACCTTGGGAATATGATACTACCTGGGGGCCGAGTATCTATGATATCATGGATCCATCGATGTATATCGATGGAATGGGTGTGACGTCTGGTGATTGGGCTTCCGCGGGCTTGGTTGGCATGGCGCCGATGGAGCAACTTCAAGGGATGCAAGGCCACGAATCGAGTTACATGTAAAAGTGTGGCATTTACTACGCTGCGTAAGAGCATGAATTTTAGTGCTCGACTTTGGAAAAACAGGCAGTCTCCTTGGTAAATAGTACATGGCCTTGATGGTTGTCGGCACGGCTGTTCCATTGTGCTTTTAGGCGGGCAAATTGTCTACGAGTGAAAACAGGAGCTCACTGTCGTATAGCCAGCAAAGTTTGGGTAAACTAAGACGTGTGTGAATGTGTAATTAACAATAGGCTTTGGATCAGGGTTCTGTTTGTCGCGAATCCCAGAGATACAGGGGCAAGATAGTGGAGCTAGGGTATTAGTCCTAAACAATCTGAACATTTCCATCAAGAGGCGTTGTGGCAGAGTGGTCTAATGCGCAAGACTAGAAATCTTGTTCCTTCGGGAGCGTCTGTTCGAATCAGGCCAGCGTCGACTTTTTGAGTTTTTGCCGTTCATCATTGAGGCATGGTACTTCCAGTAGGGGTATCGGTACATCTGGAATTCAAAGGCAGAAATCAGATGAGCCCATCTTGTGATTGGTTTGAGAAGAATAACCTCAACTTCGCTAAGATGTAATTTTATAAAAAGAAACTAAATTTTGGGACACGCCCAGACGGTGTCAGCCTAGGCCGTAATCTCAATCCTCCCATGCGCTCTTCTATCATGCTGTTCTCATCGCTCTCACCAGTCAACTACCTTTGGCGAAGTAGGCGGAGGTGGAACACGCTCAGCCTGCCAATCCTTTTGCAACAATCCCTTTCCGCTCTTCTTATCTTCCTCCTCCATCTTCAATACCAACTCCCCAAATAACCCATTCGCCCAGCCGAACCACGCCCTCGTCCAATCCGACTCACTCCAGCTATTCACACTCTCGTGCAAAACTCCTGTACCTGCTGTTGAGTCCAACACCATGGCCAACTGCTCTTCTACTTCCTTCTCTACGTCCTTTACTCCCGAGATTGGATCATACGCAGTGATAGCCGCAATAACGGCCGCCATCGGCCATGCTTTACCTGGCCCTACGTGCGGTCCGCCTACTGCCGATATCACAGGTCCACGCATGAAGTATGAGTTGGCGTCGCTAAGGACATATTTACGTGTGTTGTGATATACCTTGGCATAGTCCTTCTTCTTCTCACCCGGGGGCGGGGTGGGAAGCTTGAACTTTGACTGGACAAAGTTCCACAGAGGCATTGCAAGCAACGAAGGGACGTTCGCGTCGTCCATCAGATTCGCTCCGCCATAGCCATCGACCTCGTAAGCGAAAATGTCGCCGAATCCAGGACGATGTACGATGGCGTCCTTCTCGATACCCTGCCTGATTCCAAACGCCTGCTCACGCATCGCCGCCGTCAAATTCTGAGCCCGCTCGTCCTTGAGCTTCTCCATGATCTCCGAGGCAGATTCGAGATACTTTGCCCACATCATGTTTGCGGGCACCAAGAACTGGAAAATACAGGCGTCGTCGGATGGTCGGAAAGCGGTGCGTACCATGCCGTTCTCCTTGATCGGGTTTCCTAGGCCGTCGTTGGTGAGAGTCTCGCTGCCGCGGTTCGTCCAGCCTGTAAAGGTCCATGCAGACTTCTCCACCTTGCCCTCCTTCGAGTAGGTTCCCAGCCGCATCGCGCCGGCGGCGTCGACAGCTGCTTCGACAGCGTCAACCCAGCCGTACTTCCCAAAGAACTCCCAGTCGCCCGTCTTCTCCGCGTACGCCACGGACAACTGCAGGAAGCTGGCAAGAGAATCGAGCTCCCACTTGCAGTCGAACACCTTTTTCGGGTCATACGCCGGCATGGGGTGGTTATGGGTATACGCGCCGTTATGCGTAGGCGGGATACCACTTTCAGGCGGGGGCTGGAAGGCGTGGCAGTACGGCGAAATGACAATGTACCGGGAATGGGCGTTAATCAATCCGCGCCAGAGACTCGCGAGTGAGTCTTTATCTTTTGAGGCCTCGAGAAGAGGGAGGTAAGAGTAAACCTGAGAGGCAGAATCACGCAGCCACAACGCGTCAATGTCACCGGTGATGACGTACGTGAGCTCCATGTCAGTGACTTTGGTCTCACCAGTCTCCTCGTTCGTCTCGTTGGCGTAGCCTCGCCACTTGACCATACTGTCGAGTGTCATCGGGTACGCGTTCTCAAACAGACGGTACAGATCCGGATCCTTAATCACGGACTTCATGCGGGTGAGAAGAGATTCCATGGCAGGTAAGTTGAAGGTGCGGCACTCTGGCCGGGGCCGGTTGAGCGGGAACTTGCGCTTGCCTTCAGAAAAGGGACCGGGCCGAGTCCTCATCCAGCTCTCAAAGGAGGGACACGGCTCGGAGGAGGGCGGCGGGGGCAGCGACGGCGGCGTGTCAACAGCGGGTGTAGTGCCGGTTGACGGCGTTGGTAGTGCCGCCGCTGGTGCGGTGGACTCGGATGCGGGTTTGTCGGCCACGCCCGAGGGCTTGTTGACTAGTTCGCCGTCCTTGTCGCGGTAGGAGTCCTCACCATCGGCATCGGACTTGAGTTTGTCGGCCGCGGCATCGGGCTCTCCGTGCGCAGCTGGCAGGCCATTGCTGTTGTCCTGGCTTCCGTGCTGATGGGCAGCGCCGCCCGCAGCTTGCCCTGCACTCTTTGATGGCAGGTATCCTCCACCAGCCAAGCGTGAGTTGTGAAGGAATAGCATAAACACAATGATGACGAAGGCAACGACCAGCACGCGGGCGCGCTTTTGCTTGGTGCTACCGCTGAGGACGGTAAAGGCAGGCATCGTGACTGGTGTGTTTGTTTTGGCGTCCAAGTCTCACACTCCGGCGGTTTGCATGTGAAGCCGACCTTCACTTTCCTTACTTTCTTCCCGCTCTCACTCTCACTCTCACCTCTCTGTGATGGTCAGGCTTCTGGATTTTCTTTTCTTGTGTCACTCACGACACGCAAGGCCAGTCGCCGACTGACTCTTGATGACTATCACTCAGCAGATCAGGGCATCATTCAACGTTTCGGAGGAGAGGTTCTGGTACAGGCGACGGTGTCGAGACGAGGAAAATTACCAGGGTGATCCCTCTCTCGGCTGCTGACTATTTCTAGTACTCAGCTCCATTCCACTGTCTCGAAATGCACCAGGGGAAATTTGGGCCCCCCGTTCGTTGGAAAAACGCCACCCCTGGCTAGTTAACCTTTTTTACGAGTATGGTATGCATTCTGGTTAGGTGACGGGAAAAAGGGGGGGTGGGAGGACTTCCGGACTTTTGAAAGGTAAGACTCAAAAAAAGCAAGATATACAGGCTGTTTTCGTCGCAGCTTATGGATTTGGATGCGCCACTGCTGCAGCTGTATATCGTTCATCTCAACCTTCTAGTCCAAATTCGGATGCGTCCCTCCGAATGGACAGGATTCCAGGCCACGCGACCCCCAAGATGATATGCATACCACCCACCCTAGCGCTGTATGTCAGTAGCTAGTGAGCAATAGTTAAAAAGATAAATTTTCGACGTTGGCCTGATTCGAACAGACGCTCCCGAAGGAACAAGATTTCTAGTCTTGCGCATTAGACCACTCTGCCACAACGCCGATGATCTTGAACCCGCTTTGTAAGCGGAGATGGGTATTGTCCCGCTCAGCAGCATCAAGATGTCGACTGGCTTTGACATTCCCCATCCGAAGTTTGACAAGGAAAGCTGAGTGACACTGGATGGCAATTAAATACTATTCATAATAATTGGCGGTAAATCATTGTAAAAGCCTGGTAGATGTACTAGTACATGATAGCCACGCATTTTGCCTGGAACTTTGCAGTTTGGCACAAACTTTGCCCTCGACATTACAGTTTTTGTAATCCCAATCACCTCCTTGACTTACAGCTTGAACAAGCGCGGTTCTCTCCCATCCCTTTCTGCTTCCGCCACCAGCTTCCGGTTCATCACGCCGTAATACACCCGCAGAGCCGCACATCCAACGACAACGACAAACAACAGCGCTGCATTCGCCCAGTGCCCGGTCGGATACCCGATCGCCTTCTCCTCAGCTTTATACACCCACACACCCGGGATCTGCCCCAGTCCAGCCCCAAAACTGACGTTGAGCGCGATAGCGAGCCCCGTTGACGCTGTGCTGAAGATATTTGACGTTAACCAACCCAGCAATGGCGGGATGCAGGCAAAGGCACCCGAGGTGCCGACAATGAGGCATCCGTAGCGAGCATTGTATGCGTTTGGGGGCAGGACGGCGGAGACTGCGAAGCCAATTGCGCCGATGAGAGCGAGGGCTGCAGAATGGACGCCGCGAGCGTTGAAGTGGTCTGCGGAGTACGCAACAATAATCTGGACAACTAGTAGGATGTCAGTATCTTGGACCAGGTCGCGACGACATCGATGGGGTGATTGCTAACCATAGGCCGCTGCGTACGGCGGAACGGTCATCAACTGCGCTTGCAAGTCTACGAACCCCAATCCCGAGGTAATCGAGGGCGTGAATAGCGACAACGATGAAAACGGCGTTGAGATGGCGAAGTAGACGACGTAATGACCATACAGTCTCCAATCCGTCAACGTCGCCTTCGCATCCTCCCAGGACATGGTTTTGTGACTGCTCTTGCTACCCTCGTGGTACAGCCTCTCGACAGCGAGGTCTTTTTCGCGTTCTGATAGCCATCCTGCACTTTCGGGGTAATCCGGCAGAAAGAACCACACGAAGAATGCAGACAAACAGGAGGGGATGCCTTCAAGAATGAAGAGCCACCGCCAACCAGACATCCCATTGACCTGGTTCATGTGTCCAATGCCATACGCGATCGCTCCTCCAAAGGCACCAGCCAACGTTGCGCTTGCAAGAATCATTGCCACTCTGACGCTTCTCTCGTCGTGCTTATACCAGAAAGTAAGGTAGTACACCAGGCCCGGAAACAATCCAGCTTCAAATACCCCCAAGAGAAATCTCACCCCCGTCACAGCGGCAAAGTTGCGCGTGCCGCCGAGGCCGATCGTCACGGCACCCCAAGAGAACATCAGAAAAGCCAGCCACCGCGAGGGCCGCAGCTTCTTCAGCAGGATGTTGGATGGGACCTCGAAGAGGGCGTAGGCTATCAAGAAAATCATTAGGGCAATCGTAAAATCGTGATTCGACATGTTCGTTTCAGTTTGCATGTCATGGCCGCTTGACGAATTCAGGATCTTCGCGTTGCCGATGTTGGAGCGGTCGAGGAAGCAGAGAAAGTAGATCCCCGCGGAGAGCGGGATGATTCGTTTGTCTTGTTTCCAGAGGAGTGCTTTTTCCTCTTCTGGAGAGGGTGAGAGTGTGAACGAAGGGGCAGAGTCCTACGATCGCGTCAGCCGACTGTGATGTCTGAACATCGATATGTTAACAGACCTCTTTCATTGTCGGGGTCTCGACATCGCGAGGGCCAGCGCCCTTTGAATCGAGCGCCGCCATCGTATCGCGAACTTGAAGGATTTGGTGAGATTTGTCAAGGACACTTCTTCTGAATAAACATCAAGATTTGAGGCTTCAAACACAATGCACGACCTTAAAACTGAGTTTTCGGACGTAAAGGTAGTTTTCGCGCCTCCTCTACTCAGTCGAAACCTCACCCCGCAAACAAAAATATCAATCAGTTTCACCGGGCGGCAGCGGGATCTCGCCTTTTTCATCGGCCGGGTTGAATGCCGCATACGCGGGGAAACCCCTCCAATCCCGCTCAATTGTGCCGACCAACCGCTCCAACGTGTTAGTCGTCCTGCACCTCAGTAGCACTGTTGGTGGAGCGGGCATTGGCGATCTTGCGAATTACTGGCCTGAAGTTGGTGCGACGATCGGCTTCTACGTGACAAGCATGACCAAATAAGCGCCAGACGGTCACCGACGCCGGACAGGTTCGTGACCGGGGTAGCTTTGCCCATCACTTGATGTCTTACTAGGTTATCGAAGCTAGAGCTTCGATATACTGCTGCACATACCTTCGCGACGTGTCATGTTGGCGAATAATCGCGAAAACTAATGTGGGAGGCATAGGCAGGTTGGCTGAATGAGTGTTTGCTCCCATGATAACCGAGTGCTGTCGGCATATAACATGTTTGGAGAAGATGAGTACAAGACTTGGACCACTATATCAAATCGACAAGATTAGTGACTGGCCTCGTCAAGAAATTCTACGGATCTATGGATCTAATAAGCAATTAAAGTAATCAAGTAATTCATTTCGTCATCCAGTCGTTCGTCGCATCGTGGGATGCTAACACCGGCATTTTCCGTAGACTCAGTTCTTATCATGTAGTAAGGAATGGTTTAGTGATTCTGGAAAATGACACTCAGCTTACTCCTTGGGCTGAGACTTTGTCTTAAAAGGGCCCCTTGCAGTAATCATCCTGGATTCCTCACGACTTGCAGCTCTACTCAGGAGAACTGCCTGGCTGCTGGCTTACAACGATTCCTGTCTCTTCAATCACATGCAAATTCTCCAGCATGGCGAGAAAGTTCAATTAATCACAGCCATTGCGTGAGCCTCCTATTGAAGTGATGCTGCTCGACGAACCACAATGTCCAGTGGCAATTGTCTCTGCCCTAACCACATTAGAGCTTACATTTCGACACAATCTGAAACTAGGCCCCAATGGTGAAAGCCACCCGCTTCTAAGATAACAGAAAATGTGTATAGAAAAAGAACACCATCGAGTATGACATTCCGGTACCTACGACTTCTTCCCCTGCATTTTAATTCTGTTCGCAAATTGGTACATTCTTTAGCTTCCTCATCATACTTCTCTAACCAGCCTTACGTGGCTTAACCCCTGAAAGTGGCTTGTCGATATGAGGAAGCTTGCAGATTTATCACATGAAAGTTCCTTGCTCTCCAAAATGAAGCGCCTCTTCTGAGCTGAGCTTTTTGCTGATGTTGTAAGCATATATCCCTTGGCGTGCCCTTGATCAGGCACATACACTTTCCCGAGTCTCTGTTTTGGAGGCCTTTGGCCAGTGGGCTACAACATCAGCACGACTGAGAATCTGACACTATGCAGAGCACATCTGAGAACTTTATCGACTGCGCCCACCTCAGCAGACCTGACGACGGGAACTTTCCTGATCGAAAGCGACTGATCGTTTGCTGCGATGGGACGTGGAACAACTCGTACGCATCATGTGAGCTGCATTTTTTTTTGCAAGCCCAGTTAGACTCACACTTCTTTTACAGAAACACCAGCGGGGCCACTGTGCCTTCCAACGTGAGCCGTCTTTCCGCAGCCGTTGCACACAAATGTTGCACTGGCATGGCCCAAGTCGTGTTCTACCACCGCGGTGCCGGAACTGAAGAGTCAAAGACTGCTAAGTTCTTGGGCGGCCTGTTAGGCCTCGGTGTCAGACAGGTACATTCGTCATCCAGAAGCCCTGATCATAAGTTAGACAGCCGAATTGACGATGTGCGTCTGAAAACAGGACATTGTGGACTGCTACCGCTTTATTTGCGACAACTACAATCCTGGCGACGAGATTATTATCCTAGGCTTCTCCCGTGGCGCATTCACTGCTCGCTCAATCGCCTCCATGGTATGCTCTCTAGGCTTTCTCAACCGTACCGGCCTCAAACATGTCGGCGACATATACGAAGACTACCAGTCTTTCCAAGATTGGACCAGCGAGTGGATATATGACCCTAAGAAGCACTTGCGAGCCTTCACTATTGAACAGTTGGAGAAGAAGATCAAAAAGGAGTTCATGGACAAGATGGAAAAGATTGAAAAGCGACTAGAAAGTCAAGTTGATGAATCCGAAGAGCTAAAGAGGCAAACCGGAGAAGAGTTTGCAAAGTTATATGCCAGCTATGGGAAACGACTCACTCAAGATGCACTAGAGCAGCAGCTCGAAGCCGATAAATGGGATTTGTTCAAGCGGATGACGCGAATGAAGAAAGAAAACGGAACAATGCAGTTCAGGAGGATGGCAAAGGCTTATCGTGGCCAACTTTCCGAGGCACGTTTACGATTTGTATTGCTTCGAATTCCTTGGACACTAACCAGCGACAATAGTATGGCATGTGCCTCACCAGATTGAGCAGCATGCAAGCCCAGACCACTTTCGAAGCTGTAGAGGGTAGTGTCAAGGCAGTCGGTCGGTTACCCAGCGTCAAGATCTTGTAGGCTATGGCTGATGTTGTTGAATGTTTAGGAGTATGGGATACTGTTGGAAGTCTCGGTGTTCCCAGGATGCCATGGTGCTTCTGGCGGGGAAACCGTAGTCCGTCCGAGGTAAGTGTTTTGCGAAACAAATGTTAGTCCGCTTGAGCGGTGTGAGGTTGACGGAGACTCTAGCTCCGCTTCACAAGTCTCGACATCCATCCCAACGTCGACCATGCATTTCACGCACTCGCCCTTGATGAATGGCGAACACCCTTTGAACCGACTCTCTGGAACATAGGCTCGAAAAATACCAACACGCAACTGAGACAAGTCTGGTTCCCAGGCTCTCATACCAATGTTGGCGGAGGCTCAGAATCACAGCAGATCTCCAAGATCGCACTCGCATGTAAGCGGTCAAACAATTGGTGTAGCTTGGTCATACGCTGACCATGAAATATAGGGATGGCAGATCAATTGACCTCTATCGGTGTAGAGTTCAGTAAAAAGGAGATGAAGCGCATATTCCGCAGCCTACCTTCCCAAGTTGACGTCCGTCCATGGGGATTGGGCAAAATCAATAACCCAGAGAATTTAGCCACCACTCTCCCTGACACAGCCTGGAACCTTCTGAGCTTTCCATACCGAGTTGTAACCAAAGAATGGACGGAAAGATGTGTCCGAAAGCCTGGACTTTATATTAGCGACGACCGCAAAAAGTACCTCAAAAACACGAAAGAGTTCGTTCACCCTTCTGTGAGAGTCAGATACCTGTATCACGGCCTTGGGCTCGACGACACTGGCGAATGGCAATGCAAGGCCCTCTCCGGCCGTGGTTGGCAGCTCATGTTCGAAAAGAGCCCACCAAAGGCCGAAGTCATTCGCCCTAGTCGGGACCCAAAGATTGTTGACCAGTACAAAACTACAGCGGGCTCTGTCACCGCCGTTTATGCACAGTATCCTAGAGAATATCAGCCCGAGGAGATGCTCGTAAAAGTGGAGCAGCCGCTTGAATCCGACCTCAGAAAGCTTGAAGCGCCGAAAAACACCTGGACCTGGAGACTGCACCATAATGACCGCCAGTTAGTACTCCCGGAGGAACACATTGGCATGTGGGAACGCATGTATATTGACATTAATGATGACATGGTCCGGTGGCAACAAATGACAATGGAAGAGAAGAAAAAGCGATGGACCAAGGGCGATCATATCAGGGAGTTGGCGACAGAAAGTGTGGCGTATGCGTTGAAGAGGGTAGACCATATCGTGAAGACGGCTTTTGGTACACTTTTGGGCATGCCTTTGGAGAAATACCTTCCCAAAGGATATCCCAGTGAGCATGGGTATCATGACTTTGTATCATGGCAACGGGGTTTAGATCCACAAGACTCGTGTGTCGCCAGGAGAGCCTCTATCGAACTTGATGAAGGTTATATCCATGAGTAAACTAGTATCAACATTTACCGCCTAGTATAGGTACACTGAGATTCTCAAAAAGATGCTCAGCATAGGACATAAGACTTCAGCTTGTGTTACGCATCTTTACGAGCGCCTTCAAATGCCCTCCCTCTATTACACAAGCAACAGCCCAACTAATATTGAGAAGATGTGACAAAATGCCGTAATTGAAAACTTTCCAGAAAAGCTCCATATTCAGCCAAAGACTAAGAGTGGCTTCACCTTGGTATTATCCAATGTCACTTCCCGGCTTCAGATCAACCCAACATGTCATTCTTCAAAACCTCTCCACTTGTCTTCGCACCATCCCCAAAACTCGCTTGCAAGGCCTTCACCGCCCTCATCAACTGGCTTCAATGCTTTGACAATATCTTGTCTGGTCATCTGGGCCTCCGGCATGATCCTTCCCCAAGGAATAATGTAAGACCCACTCCCTGCAGCCGCAACCTCCGGTCCAAGTCCAGCGAAAAGCTCTGTGTAAGCACCGTACTTGGGGTCAGAAAGAAGCTTAAATAAGTTCAAAGTTGCCATAACGGGCTTGGAAACCCCTTGGAAACTAGCGGTGTTGAGGTTACCGGGGTTCTGCGCAATAGCAACGATCCCATCATGTCCATGCCCATATCTTCGTGCCATTTCTACGGCGAAAGCCCAGTTGGCGCATTTGGAGATTGCATAGTCTGTGCCTGGGTCTCCAGATCCACCATCTCTTACAGCCTTCATATCAATCCCCCTCTTTGGCCCACTCAAGTCGACAAGATTGCTGGATGTCCACACCACGCGAACACGACCCGGGTTAAGCCGTTTGGCCAGGTTTGTTGTGTTTTCGTTGCTTTCAAATACATCTGCAGACATTCTTGCCGCAGATTGTAGTTTGGGAAGCAGGAGGTGGGTAAGTAGATGAGGGCCGACGGCATTGATGCCTATGATGCCATTCAGACCCTGAACCGTCCGGTATGATGCAGGAAGTGCCAGAGAACCCACTCCCGCGTTGTTCCAGAGAATATCAAGGTATTGTTCATGATCAGAGAAAAAAGCTGCGGCCGCTTTTATACTTTGGAAGTCTGACAAGTCTATTTCCAGGGGCTTCAAGTTTGCAGGGTTCTTTGGCTTCGGCGAGGTAGATATGATTTTGTTGATTGTGTCTTCAGCAAATTCCTGCAACACAGCTTGTCAGATTAGCAATGTTAAAAGCCGGGATGATGTTGAAATAAATTTACCTTACGCTGCGTGGCTAGGTATACCGTAGCTCCAGTGGTATAAAGCATCTTGCAAAGCTCAAAACCGATACCTGTGTTGGCGCCAGTCACCATGAAAATGCGTCCAACTTGCGAAGGGACGTCCGACTCGGTAAATTTCGGTGCTGGTGGCCACCACTGTGTGTACCAGTTGCGGAATGAATTCATCATGAATAAAAGGGAGTGAAATTGCTCCCAATATGGGCAGAATATACTATATCTCGTCACTTCCGGTTCTTTCAGCAGTCCAATGATTTGCTCAGTTGACGATGGTACAGATTTATAGCTAGCCTTCTTCAACAGCCGTACCAATGGTTAGTTCAAGGTGGACTTTCGTAGATAAGTCCCAAAACTGAACATATCTAGGAATATTGCGGGGTTTCATGGCGCTTGAAGAAGTCCGCAGCGGAATACGCAAGTCCGCGTTGCGGCACAGTCGAACAAAAGTACTCACTGAGAGTCGGGAGACGGAGTTGGACAAGCTGACCAATTAAAGTGAAGATCCATAACAGCCCTTGAAGATGAAAACAGCAACCCTTCAAGTGAAGATAATCATACTAAAAACATGCCATATGATGTAAGAGGACGGAAAAGGGTTAGAAAGACAGATAATTTATACCTTGCTCGTCTCGAACATGTGTTCAGTTAGCATGAACAGGGGCTAGGGCCATTGCGAGCGCCCAGATATCATAGCCGGGTAGCCTTATGTACCCGTATGTCTTTTTATACTGAAAGAGAAAGAAAGAAGGAAAATATAGGAGGCTAACTGCAGTCTATATAGCTGAATAACGAACCCAGCGTAGAGACAGAGGTAGTATTCATCGCATAAATATCAGAAATTCTTTTGCATGGCGAATTATTATTGACTTAACGGATTGAAGAATTATCTGTTGCATATATCAAAAGATAGGGGATTTGGCAAGATTGACGGTACTCGCTGGTATAGTGATGACTGGATTCTTTCGAAATGCGAATGTGAATTGACTCTGTGTGTTTAAAAAGTCCTGCTACAAATAGCTTCCTGCTAGCTACAAAAGCTCGCGCGATGGTGGATTAGAAATCATTGACTAAAACTCCAATCCCTTCTCCCGCAGCAATAGCCAACAACGCAGTTCCGATCGCGAGGTCTGTTGTGCTGACACCGATATTCTTGTACACTACCAGACCTTCTTTAACCCATTTGGAGAGCTCTGCATTGTTCGCTTGCTTTTGTAGAATCTCAATCTCGCCAACCTCCACTAAATTATCACCCTGAAGTCTGCTTCGCACAATCTCTCCAGAATGTAGCAAGGCAGCCTGGCGGTCATCAACAAGAACCGCACCCGTCGAATTCCCTTTCCAGCAGAAGTCTTTGTCAACGTGTCCAGCCGCGTGTAACAGTAGTTGGGGATCCAGTTCAATCATGTCTGGTTGCCATGAGCCAACCGCTGATATAAATGGATACCGTTCAGTATTGCTTCGGTTCGTTATAAAGTGAGCTGGGAACAGGGGACTTGTACTGCCGACTGTACAAAAAATAGCGTCGGCGATACCTAGGCGGCCTTGAAGTATGGTGTCGTAATCCGAACGCGACGGATTCAGGTACTCAATCTCAGCTGAAGACTTCCATCTTTTCTTATTCTCCTCATTGATCCGGTCGATCATATGTTGGGCACGCTGTTCGGAACGGTTAACGACAGTGATGGACTTGATCTCGTTTCCCCTCAACGCTATGGCTATGCGAAGGTGCCACAAGGCTTGTTTGCCGGCACCAAAAACGACAATTCTATCCGTGTAGCGCCTCCATATATAAGGGATAAGAGCGCAAAGTGAAGTCCGGTAACCTGTGACTTCTTCGGCATTTATAATGCCAGTCGGAAAGCCGTCCTTGTCGCATAAAGTGATGACTCCGTGCAAAGCTCCAGCGGCTTTTGAAGACGGCGCCGGGGTAACTACTATCTTAGTCCCAAAATATTCGGGTGACGAAAACGGTCGAAAAAGACATTTCTGTCCCTCGGGCCGGTTTACAACCCCTACAGAAGGTTGGAAGTCACGCTCAGAGCCGTTGGAGACATTGATGAGGCATTCCAAGAGAGTGTCGCGAAGTTGTAAGATACCATCCTTTGGCAAATTGATCAAGATGTCGTGAACACAGGCGTCATTAAGGACTCTGAGACTGCTCATGGTTGGAGAGTGGATAAAGACTGTTCAGGCCAAAGTACTTTTTGTTTCGAGCGGAGGAGATACCAGATGTGCAGGGGAAAACGAAGTGACTGAGTCGACGATATTACTCGAACCTCGTGCAGCTTCTTGCTCAAACGGATTAATCACAAAAAAAAAGAAAAATGTGCGAGGAATTGTTTGAAGCGTTAACATTCCAATCTATTTCTTAAAGGATGCTCTTAAGGCGACATGTTTACGAGGTGGGCCGGAATAGTTCCCGAAGTGCGGGGTCTGGCGGGACGTGCATCCGCTTCCGATCACGGGCCGGAAAATCGTAGTTTAAAAGAATGTGTATCCGGTGCCGATCACAAGCCGGCAAGTCGGGCTCCACAAGCCGACTTAATGATGATGGTCATCGCAAATATATAAGGTACTAGAGAACCCATTGTAAACTGTAGGTTACATTTCTTTCTACACCAGAATCTCAACCAGCAACTCTTCTTTTAGCTTTTGTATCATTAAAATGACTTTCGGGCGAACTTTCAACGTTGTAGGCGCGCACTGCGGCGGTGAAGTTTGCGACGTCATTGTTGGAGGTGTTCTTGACGCCCCGGGCAGAACTATGTTCGACAAAATGATGCACTTCTGGAAAGAGCGAGATAACCTTCGAAACTTACTGCTAAATGAGCCTCGCGGATCATCGGCAATGTGCACCAACTTGGTTCTTCCACCTTGCAACCCCGAGGCCGATGCTGGCTTCATCATCATGGAACACGAGGAGTACCCGCCCATGTCTGGCGCCAATACCATTGCTACTAGCACCGTGCTTCTTGAAACGGGCATGGTGCCCATGCAAGAGCCGATAACGACATTGAAATTAGATACGGCAGCAGGTCTGGTCACAGTGACCGCTGAGTGCGAGGCTGGCAAAGCGAAATACGTTGAGTTCGAGAACGTCCCGGCTTTTGTCTACGCCCTGGATCTAGAAATCAATGTGCCTGGATTCGATGTCCCCGTCAAGGTCGATATAGCATATGGCGGAATGTGGTATGCTCTTGTCGACTCTAGATCTGTCGGTCTAAAAATCGAGAGTCGAAATGGCCGAGAACTTGTTGAAGTGGGGGAGCGTATCAAGCGTGCCGTTCAGGCACAGACGAACCCAGTTCATCCGGACAACCCCAAGATCCGAGGAGTTACTATTCTCGAGTTCACCGAGCCCCTCACTGCTCTAGGTGCTCAAAAGACAGCCGTCAATACCGTTGTGGTTTCTCCGGGGAGGTTGGACCGTAGTCCCTGTGGGACTGGAACTTGTGCACGGCTTGCTGTGCTTCACAAGCGTGGTCAGCTTGCTGTCGGCGAGTCATTCTGTCACAGCAGCGTAATCGGCACAGAGTTCATTGGTACTGTTCGAGCTAAAACTAGGATTGGGGAATACGATGCAGTCGTTCCTGCGGTGAAGGGAAGTGCTTGGATTACAGCATTCAAACAGGTTGTTCTTCACCCTACTGATCCTTTCCCAGAAGGCTTTAGAGTGGGTGATAAATGGCATATGAGTTGAACGACATACATTAAGTTTGAGGAACACAAGCCAACATGATAAGAAATCCGTCCAGGTTTCAAGCCATGTAGATTTCGGGAAGGTGACGGCTGCCAACGGTAAAAAGTTTGACTTGTTTTCATCGAGTATTGAAGTAGAAGGTACATGTTTGGTTGGCGGAAAATGAGGTGATGCTTACTTCACCCTTCCTGGCCCATACCAAGAGGCTAGCGTATATGAACCTAAACGGGTATCTCGATACGGTGTTTGGGGTTTTGGAGACATGTGCCACTATCAAGCGATCTCGGTTACTCCTTACACTGTGTCATCAAATAAACTGAAAGCCTATGCAAGATGCGACAAATCTGTCCTGTTCTCCAGCTTTGCGGATGCAAATGTGGACGCAGATGGGATGTCAGTGACGATTTTTGGACATCGGTATGGATTTGCCGATTTCCCTTGGGTACATTTCCCGGGCTTAACAAACATCAATTAAAGTACACACTGTTGCAAAACTTGGGGCTTTCTGTGATATGGATTTTGGGTTTCTTGGTGAGGGGCTTCGTGAATCCAAAACAGTGGGGATGCAACAGGGTTGATAGAGTTTGGGCTTTTGGTTGCACATAACGTCTTCATTCCCCACCCCGAAATCCTGCTTCGTTCAACGCGACTCTTCGATTAGATGATGACTTGTAATCTGCTCTCAATCTCAAAATCAGAAACTGTAGGTTTCACAGGGGGTGAAACGGAATTCCGTTCGTCAATAACAAATAACAGTAAATTGGTTCTAATCGATGGTTCATGATAGTTGAAAGTGGTGTTGTTGACTAGAAGGTGGGGATATTCCCCCTTGGCCTGTCACGTGGGTCTGGGAGGCTTGGCCTCTCAGCCTGGCGGGCGTGTGGCTGGAAGTGCCATACGACTCCGTATTCCAACTATCGCAACACTAGAAACTCTCTTTTTATAGTATTAAAGCGGTTGGAATACGTTATCCCTATATAGTTCCGTCTCCTCGTCAATTCGGCCTCCTATCCCTACTTTCTCCCGTAGTTACGGTCTTATTACCTATCCCTCTATACGTATCGTTATCGTATTGCTATCAACGAATCTCTCGAAGGCTCGATTTAGTTTGCTCTTCGTGAAGGCATTAGCAGGGTTGTCTTCGCCGTTAATCTAACGAATTTCTTATAGTTCTCGTCTTTCGTACGATTATCTTAACGCTATAATATCGATTATAAGTCGCTTTTCTTTAGTAATGCCTAGCTTTATAAAATACTCGTATAGCGAATAAGAATCGGTATAGACGACTATCTAAATCGTTAGTAGGTTAAGGTAGTTAGTAATTATCGCTAAGGTTATAGCGAAGGCGTAGGCTATATCGACGCTAGCAACTATCCCGTAGATCTCTAACGCTAATACGCTACGGGTAACTCGTTTACTCTTCGTAAAGCTATAATAAACAAGGTTACCGTAAATCGTGAATTCTCCGTTATTACTATTAGAGGAAGTATCGTTAGCTAGGATAATCAGAAACCCTAATTAGGAGGAAAGGTCGTAGTTATTAGCAAACAACCTGTTAACGAAAACGAATAGCTTAGCTATTATAAGGTCGAGTAAGATAAACGTTATTCCTCGGTTAAGCGATTCTATTTACTATCGAATCCGTTAATTTAGTACTTTTATCGCTTCTAGCAAGGGGTCTTAGTATTAGGCAGTAGTAGATAAATCGAAACAAGCCTCGGGTTAGCAAATTAACGCGATATACGCCCCTCTAGCGCGTTATTCGATATATTACTATTTTAGGTTAGGTTTAGTAGTCTTAATATATCGTAACTTCTTAGCTTATCCCTTTTACCTTAAATTAATCGAATTATCGGTTGACAGCGCGACTATCCCTCTGTTAAATTAGAGGGGTTTGTTAATTATAAGGATATTTTTCGCTTTTGCTATAAAAGCCGCTTTTTCTAACTATTCGTCTTCTAATTATAAAAACGCCTTGTCTAACAAACCGAGGGTATCGTCGGTTTATATACCGATATAGCTAAAGTATAGATTTTCGGTAGATAAGATCAATAAGTCATAGATCGTACGAAGAAGTAACTATCTAGAGATTCTCTCTATAATGCTTATGATACGTTGCCTACTAGTAGGTTCTAGCTTCTGCGATTCCGTACAGAGGCTTTACAACCTTTATAATAGTCCCTTTTAGGTACTAGTCTTGAATTTGCTTCGGTAGGTAGGCGAGAATAGTACGATTAAGCCTTGTAGAGGATTAAACGTAGGCTTATATAATATCTCGAAGCTATAGTTATTTCCCTTCTCGTAGGAGTAACAAGGTAATTAATAGAATTAGCTATTAACTTGCCTGCTAAATCGTTAGCGATTAGGTTAATATAGCCTTCTTACTATCGTCGGCATAACCCTATATTATAAGTCTCGATTTCTCGTAAGGTTCGGTTGTTTTACCCTTAACTTCGTTAACGATACGAGATCGGAAGATTCGTACGTTCTAATACCTTCTCTTATTAAACTAAGTAAATTTAAATACTCCTCTAGCAATAAGGCTATTAATCTCTTATTTAGTTAACTATTAAATAGTTCGCTTAGTATAGTAATAATACCTTCTCGTCGTAGTTTGATTACTAATTCTTCGTCTACTTACTCCTTAATCGATAGGAATATTTGTTAATAATCCGGGTTATCGTTAAATTCCTCTATAAAGTAGGCGATTAGCAGTAGTCTCTTCCGGGGTCTGCCCGGGCGTCTTCTCGGTAGCTCCAGTGCCTCTTGCGGTTCGTCCGGTTTACTACCTCCGCCGGCGACGATAATTTCGTCGCGTACTACTTCCTACTATAGTATCTTAGCTTCAGGTTCTTCTTCTTCTAGCGCGGCGATAGAATTAGGTAGTTAATTAAGATCTTCGTAGTATAGTTTAACTATAGTAAACCGGAAGGTCTTTAGACTACGTAGCATATCGATAGTATAGGTTTCGCCGTTTATAACTACTAAAGTAAATAGTCCGGTCTAGCCTTTCTTTTCGCGCTATACTCGTACTTACAACCATAGTAGTAAATTAATAATTAGCCTTATATCAAGGCTATTATAGGTAGCGATAGCTTCTACTACCTATCGCCTTACGTAAAGTTTATATACTTCGCTTATCGCCTTCTTAATCGCTTTCGCCTACCTTATAACTTCGGGAGATAGTAGCGAATCGTCGGTAATTCGTAGGTATAAGCCGAATACTAAGAGTATTAATACTATTCCGTTCAAGCTAGCAGTATCGTTAACTACTTTAACTACTATTTAAAATACTAATTCTAGCGTAATTATTAGGTCTTCTACTTTAATAATTTCGTACGCCCTCCTTAGAAGTATATAGTATCGTTTAACTTTCCTAATACTATTATAGGCTTCTATAGGAATTTCCTTGATTTTAATTACTATTCTTCTCGCCGCGTTTCGGAATTCTATTAAGCGGAAGTTTGTTCTAGCGTCGGTAACTAGCTAGTCTAGGGGTCCCTAATACACATCTATCCAGCAGAGGCGTAAGGCTTCCTAAGTAGCTTTCGCAGAAATATCCTTAAGGAACTAGGCAGCGTTAAACGCCGTAGCAGTATCGACAACGTAGAAGACCGGTCTATTACCCTTAAGGTATATTACGTCGGCGATAACCTTGTAGTTAAATTCGTAATCGTCTCGTAACGTGAATTTAAACCGTGATAGCGCTAGTACGTACATTTAGCATCGATAGCAGACTTTCGATAGTTACTCAATTACCGTAATTTCAACTAGGTAGCTAGCCCTCTAGAGCACCTTATATAATCGTTAAACAGATAGGTATCCGAAGCGACGGTAAACCCGTCGTAATTTAGCGTCTATAAGGTAGTTCCAGGCGAGTAGTTTCTCCTTATCAAGTAATAACTATAGGTAGCCCTATTTGTAAATAATAAGTATAACCTTATTTCCTTAGATAAAGGTATTCGTAACGTTATTAAAATAGACCTTTAATTAGTCTATATCTCCTAGGCATATAAGAAAGGGAGTATTAGTCTTAATAACGTAAAATTTAACGCTTCCAAACAGCGTTAGCACTTTAGTAGTCCCTATAGACTCTAGTAGTATCCTATCGCCGAATTTCACTATAACACCGCCAGCCGCCTCAGTGTTTAACGTAATTCCTTCGTAAATTTATTATAAGGCTACGAATTATAAGTAGCTAGCGGTTGAGAATCCTACTGCGCCCGAGTCGGGCATAATCCCTTAGAAGTTCTAGGTAGAGTAGCGTCCCTCGAGTATGAATTGCGAAGGTAGCTCTTTCGGTTCTGGTTGGTTATAGAAGAGGTCTTCTTTCGTAATAGCATAGCAGGTTAACTAGTCTACTAGGATCGTAGCGATCCTATTGCCGTCAATTGCTATTATAGTGAAATAGGCGGTAACCTAGAATTAACTATCGCTACCGGTCTCTTCCTCTTCGTTACTTTTACTAGTTTATTCGGTTACGTAGTAGTATTACTAAGGGTCTTCGGCGGTAGGTTATAAGTCTAACCCGTCGAAACCCTCGTATTAGACGAGAAATTAGCTATATGCTAGAAGTAACGTATCCTAGGCATATTAGGTAGTTTTAAACTTCTCGTACGCTTTTCGTCTCTCTTCTATAGTATGTTTGGTTGACTAGCAGTTAGGTTTTCCACACACGTAGCACTTCTTAGGCGTTAGCAGTAATAAGGGTCTGTTACGGCTTCTTCCTCGTAATAATCGACTTCGTAATAAACGACTATATCGTAAATAACGCCCTCGACCGTTAAAAGTTCTATCGGTCTAGTACTACTCTAGTAGGTTAGCTACTATATTAAATTATTATTAGTTAAGACAGGTAGCTATCTCGATCGACAAGATTAATTAGCTATAAAGTCCCTCGTACGTCTTAGCCGGTATAAATAACGCTATTACATACTCTGGAATATCTCTACAAGCGTGTAGAAGTTAGGTATAGAGGGATCGGTCGTTATGATCCTGTTATAGCAAACCAGGCTAAATCTTGCTTAATTTATTATATAGTATGTCAAAATACTCCGATTTAGTCTTTCTAAGGTTATTGCGAATGATTTAGGGAAGAGTAGTTATATTCTACTACGTAACGTACGCTTATTGCCTTTCCCTAGTCTCGAAGTATGATTTTAATTAGTTAATTATAGTCTCGAAGTTAGGCTATAAGTTAATTACTTTAATCAAGGCATAGAAGTAGGTTTTAGCTATTCCTTTCAGTATTAGGGGAAGTACCTTATTATATTAGGAGGTATAAATTCCTAGCATTCTATAGTAATCTACGAATACTAGCATCTTCTTTTCAAGTATATCGTATATATCGCCGCTATATTTCATATCGTCGGGGTATAGTTTCGCAAATTCTATTAATTACTTTCCGATACGGTCTATTAACTCGTATAGTTAGAAGTCTGTTAATAGAGAGACCGTAAGATATAGCGGTCGGTATAGTAGTTACTACTATTATTATTCTTATAAAGGAGGTAGCTATAAGGTTAGTTCGACTCTTCCTCCTATACTATTAGCTACTATTGCCGGTCTCGTAATCTCTTCGTAGAATTCAGGGTCTTTTATCAAAGCCTTTAGGTTGCGATATCTCTTAACGCCTTATTCGAGTTCTTAAGGTAACTAGTAGTAGAATTCTTCCTTTTTAAAAGCTAATGCTACGTTTTTCGAGATTTTCTTACTATCTATTTCGACGTAGACGCTATTACCGATTAAATAGTCTCTAAAGAATTGTAAGATTAGGGGAGGTACGTTCTAAAAGTCTTCTTCTAACTAGTCGGCGAAATCGGGAGAAACTTCGTTCCATAGCTCGAGGCCTATAAGATTCCTCTTCTCATAGGTCTTAAGTAGGAAACCTATATAGGAACCTAGTTACTATAAGCTAGCGTTTATAAGGTCGATTACCTAGTTACCTTATACTGCTAGATCGATCATACTTTCGATTCTCTATAAGATAAGGACTATTAATTAGCTTTTAGTAGTAATGCCGCTCGCAGGCGATCCTTCTCGTGAATTTCGCTCTATTCTAATAGTATAAAAGGATTACTTCTATTTAGAATCTTAAATTCTAATCCTTAATAGCGTTAGCTACGATTAATATAAGATATAGGCCTAGAAGTAGGAGTTAAAAGACGATTTAGGATATTACGATTCTAAAAGGAAAGAATCGTAAAATCGGTGATTTTCGTCGGTTCGTCGTTTATTTCCGTCGGCGCTATTCTTGCTAATATTCTCAAGGGGTATGAGGGTATATATAGGTCTCGAATTAGTAAGGAGAGAGTTCTACCGTAGATTCTCTCGTAAATCTCTCTTTCTTACTTCAGGCTTCGCTCCTTACTATTAGGAAGTTTAGAATCTAGCAGACAGTTAGCCTTATAACGCCTACAACCACGTGCGTTTCTCCTAAGCCGTAGCCTCGGAGGCGTATACGTATAGCTATATAGGCGGATTACCGCCGGTAGTCTCTGCTTGCCTTTCGGCGTGTTCTTCTTTCTGGTAGGGAGGTCTCTTGTGGCAGGCGCCTCGCGGTTAGCACCTCGTCTGGGGATTTATTAAGAAACTAGCAGGCGCCTCGTAATTAGCACCGCGCGTAGGGGATAGTTATAGTTAGGGAAGTTGTTATCCCTTGTAGGATTCGTAAATCTTCGCCTTTATAGCGTGAAGAGGTTAGAAGACTGTCGATTCGGTAAGTCTCTTCTTCTAGTAATTGAAAACGCGTAATAGAACGCTCTTGCTAGTAATAATTAGCTACGATTAACCTTATCCCGCCTAAGGTAAGCGTAGCAGTCCCTAGGTTACTCGAATAATCGGATTGCTAGTAGATTCGAGGAAAAGAAGCTTTCTTCTACTAGTTTCCGTAGATCCTAGTTACTCTCGCTTCTTCTCTCGTTAACACGAAATCCCTACTTTTACCTAGGCTTAGGTATCCAGTTCAAGAAGTCGTCTCTTCTAGTATTAACCTTACTAATCTACGGTTTATCCGTAGCAAAGTAGTAATTATAAAGTTAACCAAATTAATAGCAACTATAAGGTTTACTACTAATCAGTATAGGTTTCACAGGGGGTAAAACGGAATTCCGTTCGTTAATAACAAATAATAGTAAATTAGTTCTAATCGATAGTTCATAATAGTTGAAAGTAGTGTTGTTAACTAGAAGGTAGGGATATTCCCCCTTAGCCTGTCACGTGAGGTCTGGGAGGCTTGGGCCTCTCAGCCTGGCGGGCGTGTGGCTGGAAGTGCCACACGACTCCGTATTCCAACTATCGCAACAGAAACAATTCGTTTGCCTTTCCGTCAGTAGGACTATGCCGCTGTCATACTACCAATGTGCCCCCGAGGAAACATCCTTCCTTTCCCAGCACCTACATGGCAACCGAAATCAAAGCCAGGCATAATAGCCGTGCTAATGGGTTGCGTTTTGGTGACTGCTGCAGTGAGGACCCCAAACACTGTCCTACTGGGAACACTGCTCACAATATACTTGCCTTGTAGATGCAGGGTTATGATGTGGCCATGATGGGTGGAATGAATATCTTGCCGCAGTACACGCAGTATTTTCAACTCTCAACTGCCACCCGTTCTTTGAACGTCGCCACTAATTACATTGGGGGGGCCTTGTCTGTGAGTCAACTCTTTGTGCTTCCGCTGATCTCACATTTTTCAATATTTCAATGATATGCCCCAAGCTACGATGAATCAACGTCTCTAAGTCACATACAGCGTCCGCAAAGATCTCTCAATGCTAACCTGATCTCAAGTGTTTCTGCTGGGGATGGGTTACAGATACCTATGGTCGGCGTGTCGGACTGTTTTGGTCGGCAATGATCACCGTAATCGCTGCCATCATGCAAGGGGCAGCACAGCACATCGCCATGTTTTGCGTAGCTCGGATTTTCATTGGGTTTGGCACAACAGCCTCTGTCATTTCTGGATCCGCTTACCTTGCCGAGACTCTACCTTGGGAGCAAAGGGCATGGGGTCTGGCTTTGTTTGACGACTTGTTTTACGTCGGCGCTCTCGCGGCCGCAGGTGTGACGTTCGCATCATTTCGACTTAATAGCACCTGGGCATGGCGACTACCGAGCTTGATTCAGGGGGTTTGGGGGCTAAGTTGCATCCTTGTGTTGCCGTGGATTCCAGAGAGCCCTCGTTGGCTGGTTGATCAGGGACATGCGCAAGATGCGCTCATTGTCCTTGCTCAGGTCAACTCAAAAGGGAATACGAGGGATGATATGGTACGACTTCAGTTCCGGCAAATATGCGAAACCATCGAGTATGAAAGAGATCCCATGTCATATAAAGAGGCACTCCGTAACCGAGGAGCCAGAAAAAGGCTCGTTATCACGGCAACCTGCGCCTTGATCTCTATGCTCACTGGCAACATATTTGTAATGTATAACATTGGGAAGATGCTCAGTCACGCCGGCTTAAGCGATGAAAGTTCACAGCTGCTTGTGGTAAGTTGTGCTACAGCCTTTTGGTAATTAATCTGTAAGCTAATCCAACAGAATATGTGGGCGAAACCAGCACAGAACGCTCAGAATGGGAAAAGTGGTGTTGTTGGTTGGAAGAACTAACTAACTGGCTAGAGGGCTGTGGAGGCTGGCTAAGACCAGTGGTGGCGGCCGTCAGCCCACGTGACGGGCCGGCGAGGCCTGCCACCTATACCCCCTCTCAGACTCCTTAGCGAAAAAGCAGTAGAATAATAGGAAATATAGGAAAAGTCCTAAATCCTCTAAATCCGAGGAGTTCTTAACTATTAGAAAACTCGGTTAATTACTAGTTAAACCTAGCTAATAGGAGGCTGTGAAATCCTCCGAATCCCGAAGTCTTAATATTAATAGTCTTATAGTTTTAAAATCCCCCTCTTAATCTAATCCCTCCGCTATGCTTAACAAACGAACGAATTCCTTGTGTTTAACCGTAACTAGTAGCTTCGTAAGTCTATCGGCGGCTATATCAGCGCCCTTGATAAGTCGGAGTTCGATGCTTTTCGCAGTATAAACCTCCTATATAATCTATTTATATCGGACGTCGATATAGCAGGTTCGTGCCTTGTTAAGTAGGTTTATAACGTTATCATAGCCGTTAGTACTATTAGTAAATATAATAGTAGGCGTAGTAATAGGTTTGCTAAGTAGTTAGGAGAGGTAACGTCTAATCTACTTTATAGTAATTACTATAGGTATAAGATTAATAAATTTAGCCTCCGTAATGCTTAAAGTTACGAAAGTCTATTTCTTTAACTTCTAAGTAATCGGCGTATTAGCAAGGAAGACGACGTAACCACCTACGAGACTCGTAATAGCTTGTTGTCAGCGAAAGAGGCATCTGCAGCAGCGTAAAGCCCTAACTCGTTAATCGTAAGGATGCCTCTAAGTATAATACCGAGATAAACGGTGCCTTTGAGGTATCGGAATAAGTGCTTAATAGCACGAAGATAGGCCTTAGAAAGCCTTGAATTCGCCTGTGACAATTTACTAACGGTATAGGCTATGTTAACGCGAGTTCTAGCTACTAGGAAGTTAAGGCAGCCGGTTTATTCGATATAAAGTTGTTATTCGTTAAGCAAGCACTTATTCTTATCCTAGGTAACAGGTAGATCGTTAGTAGTAGCTATAAGCGTCTTGACAGTACTTAAACTATTAAAGTCGAATCGTTAAAGCACTGCTTTTATATACTTAGCTTAGGAAACGAAAATCTTACTAGCAGCCCTGTCGCGTTCAATCTAGAAACCGAGAAAATCGGTAGCCTTGCCGAGGTTTTTAAGAGAATAGACCTTCTCGAAGAGACGATAAACTTCTATCATGACTTGCTTATTAGGAGCGGCGATAGCGTTATCGTCAACGTATATAAGAACGTATGCTTTAATCTTATAGTTAACGAAGAGATAAACCTCCCTATTAATAATAGTAAAGCTAATTCGTTTTATTTTACTTTTAATAAGTCGAAACTATTAAAGTAGTGTCGTGATGCCTTCGAGGCGAAGTGCGCAGCCTCACCATCACGTGACCCACATATCGCCTGTGGGGATAATCCCGAAATGGAATGACCGGAATATCTTTATTCCGCTTCGCCCACAAAACATATTTAGGCACAATATCGTTCCATAGGGTAGTTAGGAGAAGACAAGCCACTCAATCTACTACTTTGAATACATGCCTACGTTCAGCACTTTGCTTCACCACAGTTATGAGCCCAGCTCTGACCTAAGACAAACCCCGACTACTGTGTGAAGTAGAGGAAAGAACGAAACCGATTTCCAGCTCTACTGAGGAACGAACCATGACGACTGAGCACTCGTCGAAAGTGTCTTTGGACACGACGGTTAAGCTTACGGGCAGACGTGACTGGCCACAATGGTACAGCACGCTTCAGTATCTTGCCCGGGCGAAAGACGTCTGGAAATACATCAATCCAGACGAAGAAGGTTCGAATGAAATTCTGAAACCGGAGGAACTCCCTACGCCTGAAGTCTTCATTAAGAAGCGGAACTATCAACTACAAAAGGACTATGAGAAACGACTCAAAACCTGGACCGCACGCCATGAAGCCCCTGAAACGAACACTCAGGACGATACCGTCTCCCAAGTGCCGTCAGGAGAACGGCCATCTCCTCCGGACCTAGTGACGAAGCAGACACCGGGGATTTTCGACGAGTACGCTGCTCAGCTAAGATACCAAGCGGCGCAACAAGGAAGCCTCACGATACAAAAAAGAGCCAGTAGGCGCAGGGGAACGAGCCGGTCAGGAAATCATTACAAAGTCAATCAAGATGCTCTCCGGAGCCAACCTACCGACCGACCTCTGGGTGGAAGCAGTAAAGGCCGCGGCCTACCTCTATAATATCAGCCCACGGAAAAGGAACGGCTGGAAATCCCCCTGCCAGACGGAGGACGAGTGGTTTCGTCAATATTCTCGCTGGTGGACACCGGAGCTCATTCTGGACCACACACGAGACCTCCGTCCGCACTGGGGGTGGATTTACGCCTACGGTTGCAGGGCATACCCGCTCAAGAGCGACCGCGAAAGGGGAATCCACAAGCGAACATTCAAAGTAGAGCCTCGAGGGCACGTCGGATACCTAGTGGGATACGTGTTGAACGCCCATAATCTGTATAGGATCTGGGTGCCCTCGCTTGGCCAAGTGATTATCACAAGAAACGTGACGTTTGACGAGAATCGTTTCTACTCGCCAGACGACGTCGATGCTGAACCCAAAACGTCAACGGCTACCCAAATAGTGGAAGAGATTCGGGAAACAGAGTCGTCTCTCAACCCAATCCTCGAAGCACTAGGAGTCATAGATTCAGCAGAGCAGACGTTAATCCAGGCCACTCAACCACCACCAGCCGTCTTGGAACCTAATCAAGAAGCGACACGAGACGTCGTGCCGACGGAAGAGACGGGCCAGGAAAAGGACGAGGGGTGGTTGCTAACGCCGGACCCGACCCCGGAGCCGGAAAGCGTGCCCGACTCCGGAGGACCGACGTCTGAGACCGGGGATTCAAGCACTACACCGTTGCTAGAACCCTCCACCGAGCGAGACACCGCTGCAGCCGTGTCGGACGCAGAAGACGTAATATACGTCAGGACCGAGGAGGACGAAGGGGCCTCCACGGATATACGATCGGGCAACGACTTGCAACCCAGACCTGTGAGGCCACACACGACAATCAGAGAGGCAAACGACCCGACGGAATCGAGGCGGACAAGACCCCGCCGAGATTATGGCCAACCAGTACGACAAAGTCGAAGAGCACGAAACCTACCTCCAGAAAACAGAGACGGAGAAGGGCACGCCGCACGAAGACGACATGTACACGAATTCCACACGACTTTCATGCCTGATCAGCAGAAAGCCGAGGAAGAAAAGGACTACGGACACAAGACTCTGCACTACATCTTTCAGAGTTCTGTTCACCGCACGAAGCATACTCGCCTAACAGTATCACCAAAGACAAGATACCACACAGACGACCTTATTACGCCGCCGAAATCATGGAACGAGTTGAATCGTTTACCAGAACCGCTGAGAACCATGTTCCACGACGCTACCCACGCAGAGATATCTAAACTCGCGCAGAAAGGCACTTGGAAGGTGATCGATCGCTCGGAAACCCACGTGAGACCATTACCTCTCAAGTGGGTATTCACGTATAAATTTAATCAGGATGGCTACTTGGACCGATGCAAGGCCAGAATCTGTGTGAGAGGTGACCTACAAGAGGTAAACCCTCTTGAACAAACATATGCAGCGACTCTAGCCGCACGAACGTTTCGAACAGCTATTGCCATCGCTGCCCAATTCGACCTCGAGATAAGACAACTCGACGTCGTCAACGCGTTCCTCAACGCTGAACGCAACCCGGGGGACGACCCCGTCATATGTGAACTTCCAGACGGCTTCAAACAACCAGGAAAGTGTGCGGAACTAACTCGCGCCCTATACGGCTTGCGAGACGCCCCTCTCCTCTGGTATAAAGAGTTCTCAGGGACTCTGCAACGTCTCGGAATGAGATCGTCAAGTGAAGACGAGTGCTTATTCAGATCCGAAGACGGGAGGGTGATCCTGCTCTTCTACGTCGACGATATACTCGTCCTGTATCACAAATCAGACGAGACGGCGGGCGAAGACCTGATATCTAACCTCAAAGCGATATACGAGATGAAAGACGAGGGGAACGCAGAATGGTACCTCGGAATCAGAATCGTGAGAGACCGCACCGAAAAGAAAATCTACCTCGTCCATGATCAATATATCGAAAAGGTGACGTCGCGATTTACGCTCGCGGATCCCCTCACGCCAACGACACCGCTGCCGACGATCCCACTCGAACCAAACTCAGGGACTGCTACGAAAGCAGAAGTAAAAGAGTTCCAAGAGAAAGTCGGTTCAGTACTATATACAGCGATCATGGTACGACCAGATGTGGCTTTCGCAGTCGCACAGCTATCACGTTACCTAACGAACCCGTCTCCAAAGCACCTTGCCGCAATAAACCAGACGATTCGATACCTATATGGAACAAGGTACTTAGCAATCTGCTTCGGAGGAACGGGGGGTGGACAAGTTCTTCTAATAGCAGGCGACGCTTCGTTCGCAGACGACGAGGAGACAAGGCGATCGTCCCAAGGATACATCATCTTCCTCTTCGGAGGGCCAATTCAGTGGAAAGCAGCTCGGCAAAACACTGTCACAACGTCAACCACGGAAGCAGAGCTCCTAAGCCTTGAACACACAGCGAAAGAAACGATAGCGCTCAAAAGGCTATTCAGGGACGTACTTCTTGACCTTGGAGACGTTTGGAAAATACATTGCGATAATAGACAAACCATACGACTCGTCGTAGACGAAGGGAAACGTATCTCAACGAGACTACGGCACGTCGATATCCAGAATATGTGGCTAAGGCAAGAACATGCGGCAGGATCGTTTGAAGTGGTATATATGCCTACAAATGACATGCCAGCCGACGGTCTCACAAAAAGTCTCCCACGAGCGAAGTTCGAGCACTTCAGGGCACTCCTAAACCTACAAGACACACGAGTAAGGGTTATCAATCCAAATCAGACGCGAACACAATCACAAGAAGCGGAAAAGTCATTGCCAGGGGAGACAACGGCCCGTGGGCCGGCCCAAAAAGTTGATTGAAGATGGCCCATGGCCAGGAAGCATAAAGTCGCTCCCGCGGGAGCCCAACAGCAAAGAAATTTTGTATCAGGGGGACGGGCCCCCCACCCCAAAAGCAGAAGAGTAAACGACTCGTCGTTTACAGGCCGGCACGGAGAGCAGCCGCGTAGTCGTCAAGGAGACGAGACAACGCGAGCGCGATCGGCTCAGGAGCGATCGTGCCAACGAGACTGTCGATGGCGAGGCGCTGGCTGACGGACGACCTCACCGCCGAAGCAGAAGAACTCGCCGCTCTACCAACACCACTACCAACGACAGGCGGGTTCACGGTCGTCCCGTGGTCAGAACCCAAAGGAACTGTACCAACAGGAGGGACCGATTCCCTCGCCGCCTCGCCGCTACCCTCAACCTTGAGTCTCTTCCGAGCCTCCTCCTCCTCACCCAAAAGGGATCGGAGGGTCGCGCTCAGTCGAGCAAGGTCCTGAAAGACCACCATGTCAGAAACAGAAAGATAAAAGAAACGGATACCAAACATACCTTTCGAGGCGTGCCCTCGACCGCCTTGGAGGCGAGGAATCGGCGGGCGAACGGTAACGCCGCGCGAGAAAGAGGATAGCAAGGGGTCTTCCCCTTCTTGCAACGAGCGCACTTGGTTGCGCTACCGACGCGGCAATCACCGAGAGAGACCCCGTTCAGTGCGCTGCGAACGCACCGATCGCAGGGCTCCTCTCTCAGCGGCTGCGGCTCCGCCTCCCCCTCCTCCTCCTCTTCGGCCTCGGTGGCCTTGCCCTTTCCCTTCTCAGCTACGGAAACGAAGTCAGAAACGTGATGTCGAATGGAAAACAGCGTAAACAACGTCGACATACAAGGGGCCGCCTTGGCGGGCTTCTTCTTCTTCTTCTTGACCGCTGAATTGAAACCGTTAGCACCCTCACCCACGAAACAATAGGGGAAGCGAAACTTACGAGTCTCGGGCTCGGGTTCGGGCTCGGGACCCGGAGGAGGGACGTTGTCCTGTCCTCCATCGCCCTCCCCTCCCTCCTTGCCCTCGACCTCCGACGCCTTGCGCTTTTTGGCCTCGCGGGCCGCTGTGGCGGCGGCGCGAGCCGCGGCGGTCGCAGCCGCGCGCTCGGCCTTGGTCTTCTTGGGAGGCATTGTGATTGATTGGTTTCTATCAATATGATTAGCAAACGATCGAAAACGAGTAGCCGACTGCGCGCGCGGTCGCACAAACGGCGTTGATGGGCGATTTCAGCGATTCACACGTACGTTTGTTGTGGTTGTTGAGGAGAGAGAAAATTTCGTAGGCAGGCGGCAGAAGAATTTCCCCTAAGTGTGATAATTCGCCTTGGGAGGGCAACTGCGCCTGTTGAACTACAGAAGGCAGGCGCGCCCCTCGGTAGCGCGCCCGCCTCACGATCACCCATGGCGACGGCGCACAAGGGATAACTACTTTTCCCTTACACAACGCGCAACGCATTCAATTATATCTCTTTTGTTAATTCCTTTGTCAGATTTACATTCAGAAACGGCTATTTTAGCTAATTCGTCACGAATTCAGCGATGCGGGCGGTAGGAAAATGGGGAGAATTGACCACATACAGACGCGGGCGCGTCTGGGGGGGTGTGTCGTGATGCCTTCGAGGCGAAGTGCGCAGCCTCACCATCACGTGACCCACATATCGCCTGTGGGGATAATCCCGAAATGGAATGACCGGAATATCTTTATTCCGCTTCGCCCACAAAACATATTTAGGCACAATATCGTTCCATAGGGTAGTTAGGAGAAGACAAGCCACTCAATCTACTACTTTGAATACATGCCTACGTTCAGCACTTTGCTTCACCACACTGGGCTCATAACTGTGGTGAAGCAAAGTGCTGAACGTAGGCATGTATTCAAAGTAGTAGATTGAGTGGCTTGTCTTCTCCTAACTACACTATGGAACGATATTGTGCCTAAATATGTTTTGTGGGCGAAGCGGAATAAAGATATTCCGGTCATTCCATTTCGGGATTATCCCCACAGGCGATATGTGGGTCACGTGATGGTGAGGCTGCGCACTTCGCCTCGAAGGCATCACGACAAGTAGTAATTTTCTTAATCTATAAAATGCTTTGTAGAGTAGCTAAACCTTATTATCTATAGTAGCGTAGCTAGCGGGAGGCTAGACGTATACCTTAACCCCTTTTAGAATCGAGGCAGCTAGGAAAGCAGTATCGAAATTATATACTTCGTATTCGAGATTGAGAAGTATAATAACTATAAAGAAAAGGCAGGTTACGGTAGTAGAAGCAACTATAGCATAAACCTTTTATAATAACTAGTTACTTTTCTTATAGTTTTTATAAACTATATATCAAGCCTTATAGCGTACGATTTCGTTATTTTTATTTATTTTGATATTATATACCTATTTGCTAGGTAAGACTTTAGCGTTACGTAGTAAGTAAGCGACTTTATAAACCCCTTTTTCTATAAATTAAGTTATCTCTCGTTCGAAGGCTTATTCCTACTAGGGCTACTATAGGCTTTTCTACGCCTTGCGGTAGGACTTCGGAATCGCTACGCCGTTAGGTAAGACTTTCGAAAGGGTAGTAGTAGAAAGCATGCTAAGAAAGAATTAACGAGAAGTTAGTAAAGCTAAAATATTAGTAGATAGGAAGGTCTTTTTAGTATAAGAGCGTACGCTACTAGCAGCTTGGTAGTAACTAGGTAGTCGCTAGGCTAAGGCGCGGCGAGGTCGAGAGGACTCTGCCGGCTGACTTATTGCTTCCTTAACAATCGTAGAGAGGGAATTAGGGTCTTAGTAATTAGTTTCTATTATTTCTACGGAGGCGACGAATTCGTCGTCGTTATTACGTAGTATAGTAGTAGTCTCTAATAGGTTTTCTAGTAGCGGAGATATAAGATATATATTAGTAGGTACTATCGCTTTTTTAACGATAGTCTTATCTAGTTTAGGATTACTAGTTACGGGTTTTTTACTTTTAATAGGCTTCTAATAGATAGTATACTAGATAATAATATCTAGTTTAATAAACATAGTATTATATTTAATTTTATTAATATTAGGTATGCTAATAGTTAGAAGCAATACTGTCTTATACGGTTCCTTACGAAATCGAATATCTCTATAGCGAATAACCTCCTTTCGATTAGGTAGGTAAACGTAGTAAATATAGCTACGAAGAGAACCGTAACCGACGAGGAATCCCTTAATTGCTTATGGTTCTATCTTAGCAGAGCGTATAAAGCGTCGAGGGCCTTTCTTATATACGTAGGCAGCATAGCTAAACGTTCGGAGATGT